TCACGCTCTAGTTACTAGTTTGACCCTCAGCTTCGCCTCTCTTTGCCTTCTTTTCTCTCGCCCTGATGTCTGTCGTCGGTATTGTCCGTCCACCCTTGGGTTTCCTCTCCGCTTATGCGCCGAATTTTAACCAGTCGGGAACAGTCTGTCATAAGCCGAAGATTGTCTTGTACGATGGGATGACGTCTTCGCCTTGCTTTTTGTCGATCTGCGCGTGCGCAGTCTGGAGTGGATTTGCATTCAACTGATCTTCCTCGGATTGTCAAACTTCTTACGGGCATTTCTTGCCGACGGAACGGAATTGAGAGAAGCCTGGATTGGGGGGGGGGGGGGGGGGGGGGAGGCAGGTAAGAAAGACTTGGAAGCAGCAATCAGCAGCTCCAGCCACCCACCACCCCAATCAGGTGACTTCAGGTACCGCCGCCAACTGGAACATCAAGATCGGTTCCATGGAGCTGGTGAAGACCGTCGACTCCTTCATGTGGGGAAGAAATTGATACGACCTTATACAAAACTCCTTTTATAAGGATCAGTCGGAAACAATGTATTACATACAATCACTTAGTTGGCAGCATCCCTCGTGGGCATCCGAACAAGCGGGGCGGATTCACTTCACCCAGCAGTGATCCAGAGTCACGTTTTCCCGCCTCCTCCGTCCCGTCTCCCCCAACTGCCTAGAGAGGCTAAAGAGACCAAGAATGCAGCACGGAAGACACTGCGCCCCCTCGTACCCTAGTACCGATTTGGTCCTGCTGAAAGCCCCGGTAAGGCTGCTCCTGCATGAAAGACATGTCGGATGCCGTGGAGACCATCCAGGGTTTACGGGGGGAAACGAAGGGAGGGTTGTACGGCTAGAATTCTTTGTGCACGCCCACGGAGTAGGGTTGCGAGTCGCAATCATGAAGCCGGCAGATAGATTGAGGTTTCTCGGATGTGGTAAATCTGAGTGATCTCCTGCCCAATTAGTGGCGGGTCGATGATACCCAGAGGTTCCCATGCTTGCCATGATTCGCAGTGGCCAGAACGCTAGACTGGGACTAGGAGGAGTTTTACTCTCGAATCATTCATGCCCGATCCCTATCTTCACGTTCAATTCCCCCAGGAAGGAGAACCTTGTCTGGTGGTGTCAATATGACAGCTCCATTGATCATGAGTAGTATCGGTCCGGATTTTCGTCACGACGACGACGACGGCCTGGTTGTTGTACTTGTCGGTGGATCTTTCAGCTACTTCATCTTTCTTCAGTCAGACGAACGAGATCGCAGCTCTCGTTTGAAATTCGATTTTCTTAAACTCTCAGTCCCCTCCTCCTAGCAAGAGGCAATTAGGCATGGATATATTGCTTAGGTTGCCGGGCCGGGGTGGACCACTGCGGGTACCAGAAGTGGACCGTGGGGAGGGGTCAGAGCTCCTCGTCGACCTCATGTGCAGACGGAACCTTACCCAGTCGAGCGAAGGAACCAATTCAAGGCTTCAAGCCTGGCCGAACCATGCCGCCTGTGCTCGTCGTGATAGGATAAAGACCCTGGTCTACCTTGTCTAGCCCACGTATCCCAAATATGAAATGGAATCGATCTACGAGGTATCATTCGCCTGCCGTATCTCCTGACGGTTTTCGCGTGACAAAGTACGGTGCAGATCGCCCTTCCGTTGTTCTGACTGGATCAGGTTGGCTCCTTTCCGACCTCCCATAGAGAGAGAGTTCCTGGTGGAAGGACGAGATGGGTCGTCGGCTCAATCGTCGTCTTATTAATGAGCTCTCTGTACGGAGTTTGTACACGAGCTAGTATTCGAGAACCCACCTCTAGTACGCCCCATTCGAATCTCCCTCCTGAGAAGCTCGGAACCGAAGGCGAACTGACAATCTCTCACCACTACCACCACCACCGCCACTCCTCCGTCCATTGGCCTCGTTCTCCACGGAGCTTTTTTTCTCAGGGCAAGCACTGCCCTTCTCCCGAAGATCCGTGCTCTGCCTAGGAACACTCGCTCTCGGCCCCCTCCTCCTCATCTGATTACCCCTGGCCCACTTCTTCACTCCAATCTTACCTTTGCGTTCCGTCAGCACTGAGCCAGCAATTAGACTGCGGGCAAATCCACTATCGGGTGTCGGAGATCCCGCGCACAGTAGATGGCAAGGTAGGATAACCGTTGGGGGCACTGTCGCTTAAAGATTGACGATAGGGAGAATTCCTAAGGAATGATTTCGCGCCGTCTCCAGGCCCGCCAGGGCTTTCCTGTATGTCATGCGGGCAATTAGGTTCAGCGGTTCTCGATCCGCTCCCCGTCCGTCGATGGGAACCATGGTTGATCAAGAAGAACTCTTACGAGAGCGGACATCCATCCATGATTTGCGTCCCGAGGCAGATCCGCTCTTTGTTCGACGGATCCTTTGCGCATTGTTCACCCACGCCCACCGTATCTTTGATTATTGCGCGGTGCGGGATTATATTTCTCACCTCTGGTCTGTCATCCTGAAGGGGCAATTGGAAGACGATGAAGCTCCAGCCGCGGGGAAGGACAACAATTTATAGTCATGAAGCAAGGTTGGATGTGAGGAGAAATGATGGAGAGAGAGAGTGTGAGAGAGAGAGGAATAGAATACTCAGGGACGAATCGATCAACCTCTCTCCTCCATCGGGCTCTTCAAATCGAAAAGCACACCGATTGAGGGGTGGACTAGGCATATGGCCTGGGAGTCTTGCTCCACCTGGGATCGGGGAGAAGGGCGTGCCTTCTAGTACAGACTATTTCCGGGCTGGGCTCTGGAGATGGGGGGGGGGGGGAGGGGGGCAAGTGTTATCCCTACCTAAAGTAGTATGACGGCAGACCGACAAACGGTGCTTTGGATACCTGGATCTTTCCTTGGTGTAACATGCTACGCTAGTCATGCTGGATGCTCCACGCTGGAAAAGACATCCAGCCGGAGGACATGCTGGATCAAGCTCAAGCGAAGACTAGGTAAATGCAACCCCTTCCCATCCGCGATTTAAGAGGTAGCCAGTACTTAGGGATTAGCACTGGGAAGAGGAGGTGGGAGGGGAGGGAAAAGAGACCCAGGACTGGGCCGGTCGAGAGGAGATTGCTGGATTACGTACGGTAAGTAAGTAACTAGTCAGGTAAGCACGGGCAACCTTCTTTCTGGAGCAGCAGCAGCAGCAGCAGCAATAGCAGCAAACAACCTTGAACCAAGCAGTCTTGAAGGTGAAGATTACCTGACATGAGGTGGTACGAGCACGATACCGAGTAGCGGTATTTGGACCCGAGAGTCGATCCCTGTCCTTCCAATCTAGATCCTGACCAATGAGCGCATCCACTCCCCACCACTTCTCCTGCGCATTTCGGATTCTCTCATTTCTGCCGAATTCACTTTGTCGAGCCCACCCAGCCAATGATGAAAGGATGCGGTGGTAGTATCATTGTCTTTTTTTTTTACTCTTTCCCCTGCGACTGGGAACTACGGTATCTACCTATCAATCCGGGAGTAGGTCGGTAGGTTCCATGGGTCCTCGTGTCTGGTTGGCTGCACCCCGTGAGAAAGAGGAACGGGGATTTGACTACCAGTTCGAACTTCGGACTGACTGGGTTGGGCAGGCCAGATATTAATCGGTTATTACTCCACAGCGAGCTTCCTCCATGGTTCAGACTTACGTGCTGTTGCTTGTCGCTTGATGCTTGATGCTTGTTGCTTGTTGCTCAAACTGCTTTTGTCTATCTGTCAATCAAAATCTGCCGGGAATTCTATACTGACCACAGTTATAGACCGCAATCACTCATGGATATGGTCACTGAATGGATGGATGGATGGATGGATGGACGGTTGGACCATGCAGGTCTGGTCTTAATGGTCTGGAATAAATAAAGTGCAGAAGAGCACAAATTAAATCAATCAATAACACTCGCTGATAATAAACCTCGCATAATATCAGAAAAAAGAGATTTAAACAAAAGCCAAAAGAAAAGAAAAAAAAAGGAAGTAGAAAAAAAAGGACAGGAAACTCAAACGTACTCCCGAACGGAGACTGGACCGTTTGATGAATTTACTATTTGCCCACTGACGCCTTCCCTTTTGGCCTTTTCCTTCTTGGTCACTCATGAGTTAACACCTACTACTCACTACTTGCGTTGATTGGGACTTACTCTCTCACTACTTCTACTCTACTAACTGACTGACTGACTGACTGCTTGACTGCTTGAATGATTGACTGATTGACTGATTGATTGATTTATTGAATTACTCCTCTTCTTCCCCCGCCAATTGATTGGGATATACAACAAGCTAAGACCGTGGACTTCTCCGGTCGTTTCCCTGATCATCCCTGCGGTGCCTGTGCCCTGGCCCGACCCTTTTTCTGCATTTAAAAACCTCCATGCTTTCTTTACCCACCGCTCCGCACGCTTGACCCGCTCTTTCGCTTGAAAGGCGATTGACAGATTCCTCTCCTCTATCACTGGGATCGATTCCCTCCCGTTCCTGATCTATTCATCCATGCGAAGGTCTGTTGTATGCGGACGTCTTCAGTCTCGCCTCTTCCCCGCCGGAACCAACTGCTCTGGATCAGCCCTCGGGGTAGTCTATCCTATCAGAGGCCAATTGTCTGGGGAGCGCTGATCTGGTCGTTCTGGAAAATTGATACATGTCCGCTCTTCAGCTTCCGTAAGCGCAGCTCACTCGATTCCTCCAGTTCGAGTCTGAATATGCATCACTTCCTCCCCTTGTCTCGGCCCTAGACCGTCTCTCTGACTGGCTTCCAACCTATCATTGCTTTTTCTTGTCCCAAAGCTATTGATCAGATTTCGCTCCCCGGTTTCTTTATTCTTAAACCCCTCCGGGGTTGTCTGATAGAACAAGACAGATATCTTTGTTGAGCACTTGTCTCAGTGCCACCTCCACCACTTCTTCTTCCTACCCCCCACTCCCCCCTGATATACTTCTCTCCCCCCTCTCTATCTGCTTCTTCCCTTCCTGCTTTCTTGTCCCACCCTCCTCCATGATCATGATGGATCCGGAAAGTACACATGCGCCAGAGAGTGAGTTTGCGCAATCACCCTGGGTGGATATGGGCGGCTTCAGTCCATCCGAGCAATCACCCACCCTGGACTATCAGGGATTTGGATACAGTGTCCTGCCCCTCGACACTTCCTACGGGGTCTCAATCCCACCACCTTATGCTTCCTTGCCAATAGCCATGACCTCCAACAACACATGGCCCAGCATGCTCAGCACTCAGGGGCCTTTCGGGGAGGCGGGTATGCCTGCCATGCCTCTACCGCCGCCGCCACCACCACCGCAGCAACCTCAACCCTCGCCCGCTATCACCACGGTTACACCTGTCCCGCCACCGCGCAAATCCTCCACCAGCGGCTCCACCCCCCGGCGGACTCTCACAGATGAGGATCGTCGACGAATGTGTCTTTACCACGAGGAGAACAAGACAGCTAAACAGACCGACATAGGAGGTAAAGTTGCTCATCTGATACTAAGATAGACTTCCGACTGACAGGTCCTTCTACAGCATTATTTGGTGTCGAAAGAAGGTAAAGTTTTCTGTTATGTCCGGTACTATCCTCAAGGTGGCCAAATTCTCTAACGCTATTGGATTCAGTACTGTGTCGAAGGTACTCCGTCAGAAGGAGAAATACCTGAATCCTGATGATGGCACTCGATCGCCCATTAAGCGGGCCAAAGGAAGAGTACCAGACATCGAGAAGGCTCTTTCTAACTGGGCGAGAAACTATCAACGACAGGGTCATCCTCTGAATGATGAGATGATTCGTGAAAAGGCTCTTTTCTTTGCCAGCACTTGCGGCAGTCCGGACGGCAAGGAAAAGGTGTTAAGCACCAGCTGGCTCGAGAAGTTCAAACGCAAATACAACCTCATGGGGGCTAAGTCTCGAAAGAGCTCATTTAGTGCGAAGAGTGACTCGGACAGTCCGACCTGCCTGAGCATCAATTCGGCATTGGCTTCTGCTATCCACTCTCCGACCATTCTCTCCCCAACATCGACCACTGGCTTCCTCAGTCCATCACCCTTGTCCCCAATGCAGAGCAATGAGAATATCAGGGCAGAGTTTGCCCATAGTTTGGCCCAGATGACCGGCGATTTTCAGCATGCGCATAGCCACAGCACCACTTCCCTGGACACATCCTCGACGTTCTCCGCCGGTGTGACGAGCCCAACCTCCACCTTAATTACCGACAGTCCATTCACGCCTACGAGCCAATCCCTGACTTCGCCAGTGGACGGCAGCTCCAATCGACCCCGAAGCCAGACATTCCCACTGGGCTCGACTGACCCGACATTGATCTCTCCGGAAGACAATGAACAATTGTCGAAGGCTGCTCTGCGGCAATCCATCTTGATGCAAGAGGCTGCTGCTCTAGAGGAACCGCAAGATCAGAAGATTCTTCCTGGACTGGACACCTCCGTGGGTACGATCAAACGCAATCGCAGTAATCCGGAAATCAAGCCTAAGACCACATATCCGCCGCTCTTTTCGAAGTCCACGAACGCTTCTCCCGTGAGCTCCCCTGGATCTCCTAGTCAAGACGAAGCCAGAAAGGCCTTGGAGTTGGTCATGAGTTATCTGAAGCACCAGCCGGCGGGCCTCGTGGCGGAAGACTATCTCACTATCGGAAAGTTGATGGAAAAGCTTGAGCTCACCAAGCCATCGCAGGAAACACTTCCGGGAGGTCTCAGCCGAATTGATGAGCATGAAGATGCGCCTACTTTGAACAAGAAACGAAGCATCCACAGTATGGGTTAAGCGATAGCCATCCGAATCGACAGAATTACGAAAGGCGACAGTGTCCGGACTGATGTATCATCATTCAAAGCCGCAACCGCGAATATCAGAAGCGGAGATATATGAATGCGGCATTGATAGTAAATATTGTTTTCTGTTTTCCCCGTGTTTTCTTTTTTTTTCCTTTTCTTTCTGGGTATTTCATTGGCTCTATTTTTGCATCTTGATATCACATTTCATTTTCTATCTACTGGGTGGCTTTCTGACCTTAATAATTGCATCTCACACGCTGTGTTTGGATGGATATTTCTCTTTTCTTTTTGTCTTTCTGTTTCTCGCTATAATAACACTGGGGGTGGGGGTGGAGCAGAAAAACTACTATTTGGGATACACCAGACGAGGGCAACCTCAATCAGATGCGCTCATACATGTTGGAAAGACAACTCGGGAAAATTGGGTCATGGGAGTTCTGACCTACAGTGGTTGGTCAGGCATGTCATATTTCTGTGTCAGTGTAATATTTCTCAGTCTACTGGGCTTTTGCTTCTTTGTCTTCTTCGTTCTCTGCTCCAACAAGCAGACTCAGAATGGCACTGCTCGCGCGGAAAATTTCACCTGCCTTTTTGTGGTCATTCTCTCGGTGTGTGTGGAAGTGCATGGCAGGCCCTAGCCTTTGCCCCAATGACTCAGTTCCATTGGCAATGAGCAAACATGGGTTGCGAGATAGTAGATCGTTTCTTGGAACTTATTGGATGACGACAAATATGCCTCATCCAGTTGTGATAGCTGCTCACCGCAAGACTTCGTTTGGTGTGTGTGCCTGGGGTGTTCCCATTTGATGTCATCCAGGTGGTTCTCTAAGCGCCGTGTCCCTGGAAGGTACAAGGTAGGTAAAGCAGGGAGTGTGGCACCTCGCACATCGAATCCTTGGCCTGATTGGGGGATTTCCGCCACTTGGGACTTAGTAGAACGATACCCTGGTACTGTACTTGAGGTAGATGAGTACTCCGTACCCTGTCTCCCCTTACCATTCATGTATGGGTACCTCAGGTACCCAACTGCGGGTACATTCGCCCCAACTCGTGACCCTCGACCATGTCTCTGTGTTCATCTGTCTGAATGCCTGAGGTGCCTGAGGTGCCTGAGACAGAACCGGTGCCTGACCAAACCCCTTCACCATATCCGTCTTGTCTGTCAAACATCACTCCCCCCCCCCTTCTTCTTTGATTATCCCATCCTATACCCAATTCTTTTCAGACTGAGATCTGTAGTATACCCAACCCTGTGCAGACTCAGATCGGTATCATACCCGATCTCGCCCAAAGGAAGGAACAGCATCACGCACAAGAACAGTCCTCTTTTTCACCTTATGTCTCACAATCCTCTTCCTCCTCCTCAGCTTCATCATCCCAGACATGATGTCCAAAGTCCCTTCCCGTCCCACGGCAGGCAGACAGACAGGCAGACAGGAAGACAGGCTTGCGTACCCCAAGATCGGGCATTAAGCTACCTGTCTACCTACCTATCTACCTGTCACTGGTAATCTACCAATTCGCGTTCTAGCGTGAAACCATTGCTCCATACTACCTACTACTCAGTCCCAGTGTCGTGGTGTGACAAATTGGAAGAAAGGGAGGTGATAGCTCTTCTGTCTTTGGCTTTACAAAATTATGCTTGTTGATGGGGGGCTAGAACTTGGGTCGGGGCGAGGCGATGCGAGACGGAACGAGGTGAGGCAAGGTAAGGCGAGGCCCCTTTGACTTCGAGTGGTCGAGATAGATTGGATTGTACGTACTTAACAGACCGTCAGTCAGTCAGACAGACATATGGATGGACGGGAAGTGCGTATCTAGGCCCCGACCCCGTCTGCGTGGCGAGCGAGAGGGAGAGTCTCGAGCGGTCCTCTGTACCGTGCTGTGCTGTGCACGAGTCAGGACGGGAGAGACAAAAGTACAGTACAGTATCTCCCTGCTCACAGCACCCCGTCTGTGCATATCCATAGCATCCGGAGCCAACTTTAACGACGGGAAGGTAGGAACGAGGGAAGGAACGATAGGCCACACAGGTCGAGGTCGGATGCGATCAGACCCCCTGCCCCCCTGAGTCCCTAGCCTCATGCGACATGCGATTCTCACTATCATATTCATTATCTGGTTCTCTTCAGATTAGAGTAGACTAAGAAACAACGATCTTCAATGCAGCGTATCATGCGTGCCGTACGCCTCGTCTACCGATACTCTATACGGCAAAGGCCTGGAAACTTAATTCGAGACGTCGAGCGATAAACCCCGGTCCTCCATCAATTCAGCAATGCTACGCTCGGATAACTCTGGTAGAAGCTTCGTGAGAATAGCTTCGATAATAAAGTATATCAGATGTTTGTTGCAGTAGTCGTCGGAGAAAAGGTCGAGAATCTCCTCGATCGATGCGAGGAGATATAATTCTTCTGCGTCGTCGTTGGGCGCAGCTGACTGTGATGGCGATAAAGAAGGCGATGGCGAAGTTTGTTTGTTCGAGTGCGAATCATCACCTTGGCGTTGAGATGACAGAAACACGGCCGGAACGGCGAAGAACCGCCGGGCGACTGGGCGAGGAACCCGTGACAGAATGCTGGCCGCGCAGCGTCGCTTGATGGAAGCGAAATCAGGCGTCGAGGGCCGCGGGTCCGGCGATAAGGGCGCTGCTGTTGAAAGACCAGTCGTTGAGACGCTACTGCAAGCGTCACTTGCGCCAGCGGTGTCGCTAACAGGGCCTTTGGCGACTGCGATAGGAGGTGCGGAAGGTTGCACAGACAGCTGCGTAGCCGATACCGCCGTGGTCGCCGCCGCCGCTGGACGGGTGTTCAACGGGAAAAGCGCCGCTCTGATCGCCAGAAGCAGGCTTGGTAACAGAGCGGGGGTGAAAATATGATCCTGGATGGTCTCGTGAAGGAACCTAGTAAAGGCAAAGTGAGAAAATCGCGGTGGGCAGGGGGTGAAGGGGGTGTAGTGGTCGGAAAAGGCATCGGGGACGATTTGACTCCAAAGGACGGTAGTGGAGGACCTCGACACTGTGGAGAAGCGGTTGACGCCGACTGACCAAGAATGTCAAGTGGAAGGGAGGATCTGCCTGGCCAGAGACACGGCCAAAGAGCTTGGACCACCGATTGGTGCGATTGAGAAACCACCAGTAATCCTGAATATGACGGCAGGTGGAAAAGGAGCGAGGCGATGTTCGTTCCCGGACAGGAAAGGTAGGAAGAATACGGCACCTGCCATTAGCCTCTCCCTAAACGTGTCCAGATGTAGGATAGAAGATAGCTGGGATTCAGACTCAGAAATTCCAGCGCGAGGGATTTTGTTGATTGGTCTGAAAATAGGGAAACAGGGTTGTAATTTGCCCTGCCCATGCAAATACCCCCGAAGTAACCGGCCGTTCATTTAACGAGTGGAAGCATGATCGTCACAAATCATTTGGCATAATCCTAGTGTTGTTTGTGGCCCCAGGGCTAGAGAGCGCCATTTGCTTGTGCAAGGATCAATTTAGCCTTCCCCTCACTACTAGCTTTTGGGGGGGGCGTGTTGGAATAGTTCAAGGCCCATTTCCGATTTTCTGTGTTCCTCATTGCAGCATTGTTTGACAGCCAGACCGTGCGTAGGAGAGGACGGGACGGAAGGGCCGGTCCCGTCCCTCACCGGCCATCACCGGTCATGAAAAGCCTGGCGCAATTGATGTGTGGATAGAGTGATTGAAGGACGTCGCAGAATGTGCAAGATTAATCAGACTCGGCACGTCCGACATTCAGTCAGGATAAAATGGCATGACCTGAATGGAAAGTGGCCGAGGCATGGCCCGGTCAAGGCATGACAATCAATCAATTGATTGATTGATTGATTGATTGATGAAGTCTGAAGAAGAGACGGGACTCCCGGCTGGTAATGGCCGTTACACGGGTGGTAAAATAACCGTAAGCGCCGGTCACAATCAGTAATGACAAGACGACCCTTGCACGGGCGAATCAGCGCAGGATGTAGGGCAATGCAGAGGTCAGGCTGTGCATCCACCAGCAGATCAAGTGATCGTTGCGGCATGCGAGCAATGCGCATCCCATATGCATCGACGGCCCATCGGCTCCTTGTCCGCCATCCTAAACTTCAAGTCATGACTACCGCCAGCACGACTTGTCCACGCCGGTGTAGATCATGGTTCGGAGAATCGAACCGCACCGCTTCCCCACAGGTCAAGAACACCTAGCAATTGCAGTTGTCGACATTGAGAGGCAATGAAAGTGCTTGGCGAAGGAGGGGCAGAGGGGTTGGGGGAACTCAAAATGAACGCGCAACTTACCTATCGAGAACACTATCGGTGTCACCTAATCTACCTGGACCCGCCAGGATCAAGTGCTGGAGCAGTGCGAGAGATCCCCCAAGCCATGGCATTCGCTGAGGTACATCCATCACTTGAGCGAGCATACCGTAGAGTCGATATTTGAGCACAGGTCGCTTCCTCGAGCTCGTGCATATGCTATGTGTCTCATCTGCTTTGCTGATTGGTGAAGCGGACGTCCGAGAAGGAGTGACAGGGTTCGTCGATGAAACTCGAAATAAGCCTACTACAATGAAGCGCAGGGTCACATAGATGAAATACCCAAATTGCAGAATCTGCCACGCCCAGTCCGGGATTCGTACTGGAGTAGGTGGGTGTGACGAGCCCTTCAGCAGCTCCTCCCGGGATGAGATCAAGCCGTACTCGTGTAATTGGGAACGCTGACGGGATTGAAGTGGGGTTGATTCCTCCTTGCGACTGTCCCGCCCAGCATTATCAACCACTTTCGTGATGCTTTCCAGTATGAAACACCCGTCACTCATTTTCCCAGCTACTCCATTACCTATGATAAGATCCGCTAAGATATCGCCCAGCAAGGTCCGTAAACAGACATTTTCAAGGTCTTCGGTTGGGAGGAGGATTGTAAGCGCCCCTTGCACCAGCAGCTGCCTATATACGGATTCGACTTTCTGTTGCTGTTCAAGGCTCTGGGTATCAGATGGGCTCGGGACCGGTGATAAACCTGGGTGAGGGTTTAAGGAATGGTAGATCTCGCGTAATGTTGGGGAAAGTTCGCACAATTCTGACTGTCGTTTCGCTAACCTGTACGCTATATCGGGTCATGAATCCAGTCAGCCTTGGTTTACATTCAGGTAAGAGTAGTAAACGCAGCAGAATGACAAAACCACACTCACAGCTGATATGCGTTTCCACTAACGCTGGGATCTCATCGAGCACCAACTGTGCGATATCTGTTTCGCGCATTCTTTGCTCGAGCGCTCGGGTACAGTGCGCGATGACCTGAATGAGTTCGTTGACGAATACCTGATCCGACGTGATTTTTGAGTACCAGGAAAGAACGAACTCCTTGACTACTATAGCAAGCAGAGCGTAGAGTTGTCGATCTAGATCATTTGAGCTTGTCAAAGGAGGCAACAACTCTTCTAGAGGTGGAGGCGTTGAAGCACCGCCATGGCTCCCTGGTTGCGGACACAAAACGCGTCGAATCAGAGCGACGGTTGCCTTGTCGCTTGTGGCATTGACTGTGTCATCACGGTTAGATGCCTTGGGTGGTTGAGAGCGACTAGGCCTCGGTGACGATGCCACCTGCAAGGTTGAGGAAGCTGACAACGCCGTCGACTTAGAGCTGGAGGTAGTTGGACCAGCCTTGAGTTGCGACAGCGGATGGAGACCCGGGCGGAGAGGGTCGCTGGTCATTTCATCGCCAGTGATAGGAGCAATGCCAGATCGCTATGAGAATATATGTACAGATTGAAGAATTTGACTGCGAGGATTTCCGGCATTCAGCTCCATCAGCTCATACCAGCGCGTGATGGAAGTCGAGGTTGCGAATGAAGCAACTGCGACAGGCGGAGGGGAATGCAGGTGACGCCGCCGCTATTTCCCGATGTGGTAGGTAGGGCTTAGGGCTGCAGGTGCCCGCGATAAGGCTTATCGCCGCCACTTTTCTTATCACCGCAAAGTCCCCGCATCTCCCCGTTGTGGTTCAACTCGTGTTGTTTCTTCATCCCGCAAAATAATTGAGTCATTGCTGGAGTTCTTGGTCTTCTCTTGAGCGCCCCGACATCACAATGGCTTCAACAGCAAATACCCCAACTCCACTGTGGCTGGACTGTGATCCGGGTAAGTGGTTCTTCCGAAAAGCATGCAACCTACTGCAGACCCCTCCATCAACCTTTTATGGCCGACGTCACTGACAACTCTTTTTAGGTCACGATGTAAGTGAGACCAATATCTAGATCTTGATTATAAGATCTCCATTTCATTGTTTCGTCGGCTAATATACTAAGGACGCCTTCGCCATCCTTCTCGCTGCGCATCATCCCTCATTGAAGCTTCTCGGTATCACCACTATCCATGGCAATTCCTCGCTAGACAATACCACGGTCAACGCTACCAGGGTTTTGGAAGCTATCGGCCGCTCGGATATCCCTGTTTACCCCGGAACCAAGAAGCCCTTCTGTCGCCCTGCTGTTCATGCGCCCAATATTCATGGTGAGTTGTGAAAGCCATGGCGATGGAGATCATAACACTCGCAGGGCTGACATTACATTTACAGGCGATTCCGGTATCGATGGAACCGAGCTTCTCCCCAAGGCCACCACGTCTCCCATCACCGATAAAAACCCCATCCTTGCCATGCGCGATGCTCTTCTGGCCGAGCCTAAGGGAACACCCTGGGTCATTGCTACCGGCACACTGACCAACGTCGCCCTTCTTTTCGCTACTTTCCCGGAAGTGGTGGACCACATCCAGGGGCTGAGCATCATGGGAGGAGCGGTTGGCAATGGGTTTACTGATGTTCCTGTGAGTAGAATTGCGGGGCAGCAGGACCGGATCGGCAACGTGACACCTTTCGCCGAGTTTAACATTTACGTACGCATCCCCGTATACCCACTCTTCTGCCCTGCATCAGCTGATACAACCTCTACAGTGCGATCCCGAGTCCTCTCAGTCCATCTTCAGCAACGCCGTTCTGTCATCCAAGACGTACTTGATCTCGCTCGACCTGACTCACCAGGTCCTGGCCAACGAAAAGGTGCGGAACCTCCTCCGTCACGGCGGGGATGATGCCTCCGTTCAGCCCTCGACCCTTCGACAAATGCTCTATGAGCTCCTCATCTTCTTTGCCTCCACTTACGAAAACGTGTTTGGACTGGCCTCGGGCCCACCCTTGCACGACCCCCTTGCCGTGGCCATCATCTTGTCGACCTTGAACCCCCTCTACTCCAAGCATCACCCGGAGGCTCTGAAATTCGATGACCGCAATGGAGAGCGTTTCGCTGTCAACGTGGTGACCAACGGTCTTCATTCAAAAGACATGGAGCTGGTTGGTCATCTGGGTCAGACCGTTACTAAGCCTGCGCCGAACGCGGTTTGCATTCCCCGAGGCGTCGATCTCGATGCTTTCTGGAACTTGATCAACGATTGTCTCAAACGTGCCGATGAGCTGAACGCTGCACGGAAGGCGTAATCCGACAACGTAGACTATCCGCTTGATTTAATATGCGGCTTTAGGATATAGACGAAAATAGAGATTCTGGTGCTAGATTCCTTAGTTGATAGAAATGGTTTGGAACGCATCGCTTGCCTCATTCAGGGTACATCATCAGCCTTTACATTAAGTTTACTTCAGTCTAACAAATAGTCTAACAAATGAAAAATACGCTACCATTCGCGAATCCCCCCATCGAGGCCATAAAACTCCTTCGGCAGCCAGGGCTCCGCGTTCGATGCCACCCGTCTCACTGTCTCCTCATCGACCTCGATTCCCAGCCCCGGCGCTGTAAGGGCATCAACATAGCCGTCCTTCACCGCGAACGCGCCCGCATCCTTGACATAGCTCGTGATATCATACTCTCCCGCCTCTGTGTTGTAATGCATTCCCAAGCTCATTTCCTGGATGACGAAATTCGGCGTCGCCAGGTCGACCTGCATGCAGGCACTCAAAGCGATCGGCCCGAGCGGGCAATGCGGGGCGATTGCAATGTCGTAAGTCTCCGCCATGGAAGCTATCCGCCTCAGCTCCGAGATGCCACCGCAGTGGGCGATGTCCGGCTGGAGGATGTCCACGCTCGCGTCCTCCAAAAAGCGCTTCACGTCCCAGCGACTGTACAGACGCTCTCCGAGAGCGATCGGGCACGAAACCTGGTCAGCGAGCTGCTTGATTGCTTCGGGGTGTTCTGAGAGGAGCGGTTCCTCGAGGAACAGGGGGCGGTGCGGCTCGAGGGCTTTGGCCAGCTGTTTAGCCATGGGTTTGTGGAGACGGCCGTGGAAGTCGAGGGCTGCGTCCAAGCCGAGCGCCTTGACGGTCTTCAGGCGCTCGACGCTAGAGTCGAGGACGCTCGGCGAATCGAGCCAGTTCACGTCCTCTGTGGCGTTCATCTTGATGGCTTTGAAGCCTTGGGCGAGACGCGCCTTGCCGGCGGCTTCTACGTCGGAGGGTCGGTCGCCGCCGATCCAGGCGTAGACGGACAGCTTGTTGCGGACTTTGCCGCCGAGGAGTTGGTGGATGGGAACCCCGAGTCGACGACCCTTGAGGTCCCAGAGAGCGATGTCGATCCCCGAGATCGCGGACATGAAGACTGGGCCGCCTCGGTAGAAGCCGAGACGCCACGACATTTGCCAGATGTGTTCAATGTCACTGTAGAGATGAGGTTATAAGGGTGTCATGGGCTGATTGCCATCTATGAGACTTACTCGGCTTCGTAGCCTTGGAATCGCTTGCACAAGGCGTTTAGAGTGCCCTCCACGGCCTCGGTGTGGCCTTCGAGAGTACTCTCCCCCCAGCCATAATTCCCATCTTCGTCGGTTACTTTGACGAATAGCCACCGAGGAGGAACGCGGAAGTACTCGATAGACTTGATCTTCGCCATGGTGAGGTCTTTGTTGAAACAGGATTGAATTGTGAAGCCTCGATCCAGGGCGTTATCAGCGACTCAAATAAATTCCAACCGCAACCGAACGAGCCATGGCTATAGGGGGAGGTCGGAGTTGCTCCGCTTGCCAGGCCGAATTACCGACATTTTGATCCCAGGGGGGTATAGACACGATGGAGCCATTTCGTGGTGTTCTTGGCATTGCTGCATCCGAGGCTTAAACTATTGACGCCAGAAGGACTATATCGAATCTAGAAATATGATGTGCCTCCCTCGAGGTACTAAGCGGATTGTTGTCCTGCATTAGCTCAAGGACAAGCTTAGCCTTGCAGTGATCCTGCGAGAATCGTGTACATGCCAATAGTTTTCTGAACTAGATATCACTGGAGTCATGTATGATCATGAGGTATTGAAGGCTTGAAGCAGAGTGGTCGCCGTCAGTGGAATGACGACACTGAGGGAGGATACGCCTAGGCTTGCCATGCTCCAGCTCCAGGCTAGTATGTGTCTTCATGCAGAGATTGGAGGTACAGTACATTGACAGACCTCTAGTGCGAGGAAAGAAGACGTGAGGCGAAGGGGTAGTGGAAAAGAGACGCAAAGAGTCGGGGAGAACCAGAAGGAGGCCGGATACGGCAATCCAGTGACTCCGGGCGGCTTTGCGATTTGCTCCGCGTTTGACTCTGACTTCATCTCCAAACAACTCTTCTCTCCCTGCAACTGCAGCGTCATCGCCTTCCCCCTCATCGGCTCCACGACATCGCTTGAATCGCTAAGCCCCTGGATCTCTCATTTCTTTCATTCAAAAGACTAGACTCCTCCTCAGTGCATGCTCGCTCACACCACCTATTCCCCTTTCTGGCGGGCTGCCTCTCTGCCGCCACTCCACTACCGGCTGCTTCTCGTCGCTCTCACAGATCATGCCCCCGGCCAACTCGCCATCTGTATGTGTGTCTGTGCGCGCTATTGTTGAATATCTGTTATTGCCTAGGTCGGAGATGTGCCAGATTTCTGGTTCGGTTCGTTGGCCGTCTCGCTTATGCATGCGACCAATGGCCGGGCAGCCATTATCATCGGTTGACATCCAGCCCTATCGTGGTAGCAGAAGGAATCCCGCGTCCTACACTAAATACTTGTTCCTAGATGAGAACCCTGACTCACAGCAAACAGGATCCCCCAACACAGTCTTCCTCTGCCTCCTCTTCGCGACCTCTGACCGCAATCCCCGCTCCTGTGCCCTCCCTCCCCGCCGCCGTGTCCGATGACGCCCATGATGATAACGTGAACTTTCTGCGATCGCGTGTGCGCTCTCCACCCGATTTATCCTCCTCACTCAGCCGCCAGCGCCGTGGCCGACTACAAAACCTGATGGACTTTGATATCGCCCCGTTGGAGTCGGAGGACTTCTCAAACACGCGCATAGAGAGCAATCGTCGCATCCCGATTGTGCGCCGCCTGGGTGACAATTCAACCACTCACCGCAGCAACACCTCCAATCCTAATAGCCTACCTAACTATGAAGGCAGGATGTCCAATCCGCGCTCACTTTATGGATGGGCGCCCGCTTCGGATGACGAGGATGAAGAAACGAGCTACGAGCCACTGCACAACAACAGCACCCTCGCGTGGTTCGGCCGCTATACAGATCGACATGCGGCTCCGCGCAGTCCACGCCATGAGGCTGCCGTTCGAAGTCTGCGCGCGGCAATAGATGAACCCGCAGAGAACAGCACTCGTGCTGCGAACGAATCACCGTATACTATGGCAGATGCTCTGGTGCACTCCATACGCCGCCAACATCGACCTGCACGGACTAGAACACTACAGAATTACCTGGTAGAGCGGGAACGTGTAACCCAGGCAGCAGACGAACTAAGGGAACGGCCCGGCACCAATTCCACCACGCGAGCAACACATCGGTTTCTGTCCAGTGTTCCCAGTATCCGCAGCGAACCGAACCGACCCCTCACCCACAATGATCTGCGCGCTCGCATCAATGCTCATCGGCAACTACATATGGAGAACCCACCCAGTCCTCGGTTGAAAGAAGCGATTCGCTATCTGGATCGATTACGCTATTCCACCTCGTTCGAGGAAAGCTTAATAGCAGCAGCCGCCGGAGGCTTTGTTCATCTCGAATTTATAAATGGGGACGAGGATGATCTCATCATTGATACTGCATCGATCGCCCCGCCGCCGGAAAGCTCATGGCTTCGTCCTGGAGTGGTGTTTTCTGGATCACAGCGAGCCGCCAGCAGTGCGAGTTCGCTCTTTGCGCAGAGAGTCGCAAGCCCGTCATCACCTCACGACCCTCTGGTCGTCAACGGCAGCGACTTCAACCGCATCAACGTGTCCACGACCACTGGGCGACGATATTTGGCGAACAATATCTACAATCTAGGGGGCGCCAAGGATGAGAATTGGCCGGTGAAAGTCACCATCCACAACATCAACCACCAGGACATGACATTGACGGGCACCATGGAAGCGTACAACATCCCGGATAAGACGTCACCATCCCACGATGCGCACATCGTCACGTACCTCGAGGGCGAGATCATCGATTTCAACAAGCACACGCTGGAGACGAAGAACTTCAAGGCGGACGCCGAGATCGACAGCACGTACTGGCGTGAGCTACAGCCGTTCAAAAACCTGACCGATGAAGAGATGACGCGGAACCTAGTGAGTCACAAATGGGTCACCGGGGTATTGTCGAAAGGGTGGATCCTGATGAGATGGAAGGGTGAGCGCATTTCTTGTTGTGTTGTCGTCCGGTAATCATACTGATCTAGTCTTGCAGAACGCTGTTTCATCACCCCGACGGACTCAAGACAGGGCCTGACGATTTCCGGGTTCTACTACATTTCGCTGAACCGTGAAAACGGACATATAGAGGGGCTGTACTATGACCCGGGCAGTTCACCATACCAGCAACTATCGTTGAATCCGGAGACGAGGAAGATGGTGCGTCCTTCTTATGGATTCCGGTAGGTTGTTCATTTGGAATTGGAGTTGGGGAAGGACGGATGCACATAGCCGGTGTTGGAGTCTTTTCGATTGACTGATTGGAAATTTGGGAGCATTTGTCTGGCTGTCCAGCTACGTATATATATATATATATTTTTGAAATCTAGGACCGGATCTTAGTACTTAGTGTATTATGCCATCGTGGTGTAGAGTTGACAAGACACCTCACATAACCCACACATGTACCCCCCCTACGAATGTTAACCCGAAGAAAGAAGATTGAGCACCACGATCTGATCCATTCCTCTAGAGAGAAACTATCTAGCTCCCCCGCCCCCAACCCGAAGCACAAGCAACAATACACAACCCCCGACCGAATCCAACCAAACCCGTATAAAACCGAATTCACCCAAGTCAAGTCGTAAACAAACGACGGAGGTTCTCGAATGCGCACGTCACTTGATGCCCCGGGAAAGCGAGAAAAGGGTCTCAGACCACAGCAACCCACATCACCTTATTCCAGACACACGTCGCCGCCGATTTCGGAGGGATGCATACAACAGAATGTATACATCTACTGCTCAGTCTGGAAGTAGTTAAGGAGGACGGAGCGCTCCTGGGACTCCTCACCCCAGTCCTTAACGACGACGCAAGAGCAGTTGACGACCTTGCGGGCGTTACCCTCACGGTCGAGCTGGCCTGTTTCCCAGTTAGTAAGGTGTTCCAATCCAGCATCGTTCTGCATAACCAGAGACATAGGCGGAGGGAGGAGGGGGGGACGTACAAAGACCAACCCACTCGCCCAACAGCTTTCCATCGGGAACCTTGATGAGGGGGATCTTGTGCTCGGAGCACAGGGCAACAACCAGCTTCTTGTAGGCCTCCTCCTCGCAGCCCTCGTTCAGGACACACATGTGCGCCTGGCGACGGTCGAGGGCCTTGGCGGCCTCGCGCAGACCACGGGCAAGACCGTCGTGGATCAGCGAGATGCGGAGGACACCCTTGAGGGCGTCGAGGACGGACATCTGGCCGCCGGCACCGGCATCGGCCGAGACTTCGACCTCATCGGCAGCGACGGGGGGGTTGGATTGGGTCTCTTCTCCGTCCGACTATACCATAGGCAAGAGTTAGTTCTTGGGTCTTTGGTTTGGGATATGTATGGAGTCGTCGTGCTAATGGGAACGACGATGAGGTTCAAATGAACTCACCATTTTGTAGATTATGTTTTCAGACTGATATGTCGGATTATCCTCAAAGAGTTCGAGGTGGTTGTTCTTGTATAGACTAGTGGTCGTGGTGGTGCGGCCAATTTTGCGCTGCGCTCGCCTAAATGTGTGCCCTACAGTGTTTACGTAATAAGGTACCATCACGTGAAGCGGTACACGTGATGTGGGGTCGTTGAATTGTACTAGTCCCGGAACGGAACTGAAGACTGTCCGCGGGGGTATTATGTACGGAACAAAAAGGTCTCGGGATATCATGATTTCACGCTATCCAAGCATCACACATCAGGTATCATAGTCGTACATCAAGATTTCCACCTGTACAGGCTAGCGCCAGGCTAAATGATCGCTTAAGCTGAAGAAAGAACAATTAGACGTATGTACTAGACCGGCTGTGCCCAAAGCCATTAGTCAACCCATTTCCTCCCAATAAACCAGGGCCTTCCTCAAGATGCGGCCCTGAGATATGTCCATTGGCCTGCGCTAACTCAAACACCGGTTGCGTCTTGGGCTCCTGGTCAATATGCATCTTGAGCAACTGAATGTCGAGCCCATGAAGGTGCGAAATGTGAGGGACAAGATCCATGAAATCGGACAGCTAGTCCAGTTAGCCAAATGCAGGTCAAAAGGGATGCTTGAAGTGGCTCACCTTCAACCAAAATACATGCTCCATGTCGAAGTACTTGGGCCGTGCTTCGCTATCCCGCTGCATGATCTGTCCGAAAGACGAATTGAGGAACTCGGCTTCGTCTGCTTGAACTAGCATCCTTCGCGTGACTCGCCAGAGGTTCGTCCGCTGGGTAGGAGTTGCAATGCGCTTCTCCCAGCTGGCGTATTGTGAAAGTTGAAGATCATTCGTCGCCAGCAAGGGTGCAACCAGGTAGTTCGGAATCCATCTATCCTCCGCCACATCAATGGCGCAGGACGGGTCCAGCTGTCTCGTCTCGGCAGTTACAACAGGCATGAACTTCCGTAGCCACGCATGGCTTTTGGCTTGCGGATCGTTGGATCCAACAAGGTTTGCTGCAACTCGGAGTCGACTGGGCAGGGCTTCTCGTCGACGCTGTTCTTGTTCTTCCTGCTCTTTGCGCAGTTTGGCAAGCCGCTGGCGCTCCTGTTCAAGTCGCTTCTGGCGTTCTTCTTCGGCTTGCTTGATTCGCCGTTGTTCAGCCTCTGCCTCTTTGCGCTTCCGCTCCAGCTCTTCTTCTGCGGCCTTCTCCGCGGCCTTCTCCTGCGCAAGACGAGCCTCTCGCGCTGCACGTTCTTGCTCCTCTTTCTCCAGGCGAGCTTTTTCCGCTTCAGCAGCGAGACGTGCTTCTTCCATTTCGCGAGCCTGCTTTTCTCGCAAAGCCTCCTTTTCCCGACGGGCCGCCGCCTCCGCTTCGGCTTGAGCCAGACTGGTCGAATCATCCATTGGAATATCTTCGAGTTCTCGAGCATCAGGTTTTCCTTGCTCTTCCTTGACCTGATTGCGTTCGTCAGGCTTGGCAGGAAGATCTCGTTCCCGGGACTGATCCCGCCGAGGCTGTGGTGCTGAGTGACCATCATCTTTGCGGCGAGGAAGCTTCACATCATCCGCAGCAGGGTGGCTTCTCTTCACATTTCCATTGGTGATGTTCGGCGTTCCGTCTTCGGAGAGTACTCGTCGCTTCTTCTTTAAGACCTCGCGTGGATTCCGATCAGCCTCGGAACCGCGAGACCGAGGTCGTTCCGGACTGACGCTGCTGCGACCCCGCTTCAATGGCGGGGGTCCGGGTTTGGTAGAGGCTTCGTGATGATCAGGACGTGAGTTGGGGGCCTCTTCCCGACCAGACATTGAATCAGATGAGGGAATGCTAGGCCTCCTGCGATCGCGATCAGGTGGTCGTCCTGCAATCAACCGTCTCCTCTTGGGAGCATCCTCGCCTCGGCTAGATTCGCCATCCTTGGTCGGAACCCCTTTGGGTCGAGATATATCGGAACGAGGACCATCATGATCAGACGTAACAGCATGTGCCACCTTGGAACGAGGAAGACCCGACTTTTCCTTCGCATGCATGGGCCATTCTCTCTTACGCTCTTTCGACGGTGCGTCTTTGGAAGAGTCTCGACGGACTGGACTTCCAAGCGTTTTTCGAGGCCTGCCCCCGGGGGAGGGAGACTCTCTCCGTCCAGGTCGCTTATTCTCTCGTTCCTTATCACGTACCCTTCTTGGAGATGAGATGTCGGGTTTTCGCGGTTTCCTGTTCCGCACATAATTGTCGTAAGCGTCGCGAAGAAGGTCGTATTCTTCCTCCCAATTATCCGCTCTCCGCTCTCGAGACAGCTCAAAGTAAGTGCGATCCTTATATAGTCGTCGCGTGGGATTGAAAGTGGGTTGGTCCAGGAGAAGCTTGATAACTGGGAGATTGCCTCGGCCAATAGCTGCCAGCATAGGCGTATTGTATCCGGGCTTATGAGAGCCGCCCTGACCCGGTTCAGGGTCCGGGTTTGCATCTCCCATTCCGAGCAAAAGAGACAAAACTTCGTCATGGCCACCCTTAGCGGCCGCAATCATCGACTCCGAGTCTGCTCGTTGACCGACATTTAGGATATTAGCAACTCCCGCAATGTCACCCTTGGCGGCAAATGCTTGTAGATTCTCTGGCGTGGCTTTAGTCCACAACAAATCATTCCGAGTGGCCTCGCTTCTCACGCTTTTGCGTTTGTTGGTAGCGGGGAAGTAGGGCGGACTGCGTTGTCCGTTAACCGGAGGTGACTCTCGTGGACTAGCCACGGTAACTCTCCGCGAAGACGTTTCTCGATTTCCAGATCCAGTCTGTTCTTCGGAGCGACGGCTTGGTCGCGGATGCGCTTTGGCTTCCTCCAGCACACGACGAATCTCTTCATAGTCTTCCGAGTCCGACGGAATGAGATCGCTCGGCTCATCGCCTTCGGCATTGACAGAACGAGGGTTTGCACCAGCCTGAAGAAGCAATTTGACGACATCGAGATGGCCATTTTCCACAGCATCGATCAAGGGAGTATCTCGGTCGATATTTCTAGTCTCGACTTCACATCCGGCTTCGAGGAGGAACTTGACAATCGACGCACAGCCTTCCAGCGCAGCGATTTGAAGTGGTGTATTGCCAGCATTGTCCGCAACATTGAGGTCCTCTGGTCGTTCTGCGTGTCGAGCGATGGCTGCATCGAGTTCCTGGGCGGCACATGCACGAGCGAGGCGCGTGCGCCCATTCTGATCCCGTTGCTTCTTGTGACCAGACGGTCTAGCAGGAGAGGCGGACGCCCCGTCGACGGAAGCCACCTTTCGGATATGAGCGCTGGGCAAAGGAGATCCGCTGGTTGAAGACGACACTGACTGCCGGTCTTCGGAGCTTTGCCTTTGCACACCAGGAAGAAGTGGAGTGGGAGCTTTTCGCTTCCGCTGCAAATCGCTACCGAGCTGGTGACCGGAAGCTGTTCGCTTGTGCGAACGAACAGGCGATACGGAACGGTCGATCGACGCGGGACGGGGGAACACCACACCATTCAACTCTCGTCGCTCTCGATCCCGGGAAGGGGCTGGGTGATGCGGGCGGGCATTTCGACGGACATCGCCCTCTCCATCGACACTCTCGCTGAAGCTGCGTTTTCTGGATGTTCTGGGCACGGAAGATGCAGGGTGTGATGACTCGAGTCTGCTCGGAACCGATTGTGGATCTTCGGTCTTTTCGATTTTCACAATGGGTGGAGACCCGGTCCGACGAAGGGGACTCGCGGGGCGTACATGACGGTCGCGTTCACGAACAACATCACCATCCGCCACCTTTCTCTTTCTCACCTGTAAATCGTTGGGAGGGAGATCGCTCTCTGCAGCGTCAACAGCGTCGTTTCCATCATCACGTCGTTTCGGTTCATGTTTTATGTACTTCCGTCTCTTCTTGGGCGATAATGATTCACGGCCCGATTGGATTATGGTTTCTGCCTCCGAGTCAGCCTTGGGGCTTGGGGGCCCATCGCTGTCCCCGACAGCAGGGTCTACCTCTTTGAGCGGACGATGCTCCCTCCGAGACACCGGTGAGAGGGCTCTCTTGGGAGATAGCGGACCCGAGGTAGACTGGTGGTTCACCTTGACAGCAAGACCGTTTTGTCCGGCATCCAGGGAAGCTGGCAGGGAGGAGACAGCCTCGACATCACTCATAGCGGTAGCACTCGATTCCTGGGGGTTTCGCTCGTCATCTTCGGGGGCCGTGGCGGACAGGTGGACCCGTGGTCAAATACACCAGCAGAAGCGCGCGAAAGCTGGTGCTCGACCACGCTTGATGTCGACTCAAAAGGTTGGGTGCTCTCGATTGACAAGCGAGGATGGCCGTGAACAGACAAGGACGTAGGAGAGTAGCAATGTGTACCGAACAATTCGGATTAAGGGAGCGGACCGGAATAGAGACGAGGTAGTGGTGACGGTAATGAAGTGAGAGAAACGAGGCGACAAGGTGTGCACGAGGAGGGGTTAACACGGTCGGCAAAGGAGGAATAAGGTCTGATCGGAGGTAAAGAAAGGAGCGATGAGAGGAGTCAAAGAAGTTAGGCGAATTGAGGGGGGTGAAAAGTAGTTTGGAGGGAAGGCAGAAGATGAAGGAAGAGAAAGGATTAATTGGGAGGAGAGTTGTTAAGAAGAGGGAGAAGTTGGAGCGGGCGAAGTTCGCTGGGGGGGGGGGGGAGGTGGGAAAGAGGGAAATTACGCAGTAAAAGGGTTACTCGTAAGAAAGGAAGACCACTACACAGTTCGCCGTCGAGAGCAGTTTAGCTGGTCCTTAGCGGTTGGGCTAGTCGAGTGAGTGGTCGCGACTAGCTGTGGGTGAGAATCATTCAATCCTCTCTTAGGTCATCGTTCGAGATCATACATCATATAGTCGAGGGGGAAATGAGGCGGATCTATTTTGAACCCTGAAGTGGGTGCGATGGTCAATCAAGACGACGACGACAATGATGATGTTGATGATAAAGTCGATAATGCTAATAATAATGGTTGTTGATGATGCCGATGATTTGGGTGGTAATATTGGCTTATGCAGAGATTGGGGGTATTACCATTGATTACCAGTGATTACCGATGATTACCGATTATTAGTGCAAGTCGTCAGTCTCGCCCCCAGGAAACTTACCACCGGTGCATTCGCCATTTGGCCACCGGCATAGTAGCAGCTGGTCGCAGGCCGGAAGGTGGAAGTGAGAAGGGGAGGAATCATCAATAGGTAATCTTGTTACCAACGGTATGGAGGGATGGAGAGTGGGAAGTGTGAGAGATGGTCAAGGAGATAAAGGAAAGAGGTCACGATCCACGATCTGATTACCACCACACTGTCCAGTCCGATATTAGACGGATCTGAATCTGCTTACTGAGCCCGAGACTACCCTATAACCAGGTACTCCTGGGGTGTACGGAGAGAGAGAGCCTGGAGAGAGGGAGAGGCTACTGAGTCAGGGCTACCATACTTACGGTACCGGACATACGGGGCCAGAGGCAGAGGGCACTGAGAAAGAGACACAGAGTCGCAGTACCAGAACACAGTAAGACAGTCGTAGGTAAGGTAAGGTAGCATTGATTGAAACCGACCAGACAAAGTCCAGCTGCAGCCGCAAAACCCCCATTCATCCATTTTCCATTCGACCCAGACAGTCGATTTAAACCAAACCTGCGAGAAGGCCCAAAAAAGAGCGGGGAGAGGAGAAAGAGGAGGGGAGGGGGCGGTCAAAGAAGCAGCGAGACCAGAAGAAGGAGAAGGAGGCAGATAGACAGACATCAAGCAAGACAGCATGGATGGATGGTGGCGGATTGGTCTGAATAACGTCTGCCTTCCTGCTTGCCATGTCTTTCTTTGCTGTTTTTTTTATTTGCCCTCTTTTTCGTCCTTGTCCGCATTTTTGGCGGTTATTCGAATTTATTTTATTCTAATCCTAATTTTGCCTTTTTTTTTTTTATCTTTTCTTGGACGGTCGGCGTCGCAGCGACTGAAACTCGGGCAAGCTCTGGAACGGAGGGTGGGAATGACGGGTTGTGGCAGTCAGCAGCAAATCTCTCCCCCCCATTCCCTGGAAGCTGGCGTAGGCTATCAGGCTAGGCATCCGCTTGCCCCCTCGGCTCCTCCAATGATTGACAGCAGAGAACCCGCTAGCTGCCGGATGCGGGTTAGAAGGTTTCGTCCTTCAGCGATCTTCTCCTCCTGGCAAAGACCAGTCATTGTCTGGCTTTCTTCCAGCTTATCGCCCCGCTTGCCCTCTTCTGTGTTTTCCATTTTCATTCCCTTGCCCTTCTTCCTTCCACAGGCTCGATGACTCGCCTACTGTTGCATAGATAGATTAGTCGCGGTTCCGTCCGTGGGATTCTGATTTGCTTGTGCAGGTTAGAGAAAGGAAAAGAAGAGAACGGAGGAGAATGAGGGTGTGCGAGCCAGCAGAGACATGAAAGACACAAGACACCAACAACAGAAAGAGGGGAATATTTTACCCCTCCGCCGACCGACAGCCGGCATCTGACGATCCGGAATGCTGGCAGGAGAAACAAGAAGGACCCTTCTGATCGAGGAGGTGATAGACAGACAGTAGTGCTGTACGGAGTACTCCGTACTCGTAGATGAGAAGAGCTTTGTTGTTGACACTCACTCGCGCTCCTTCTTTCCGTATCCTATACTATCCTTACAGGACGATACACCCATCGCATGGCTAGCCCTTCAAACAAGACTTCTTCAGCCTTCTCTACCTCTGCGTCTTTCTGTCTTGCGATCACGAGACCCTGGTGGATCAAACAAGCGCCGATTCCCTCTTGGACGGGCTTGCTTGTTTATGATTTATGACTGCTCATCCCACTCATCCCTTGGATGTGGAGTTTCGGTGTTTTTGTTCTCCACACTCGAGCTTTTGATCGTGTCGCATCATTATGACAGGAACGCTCGAATTTCGAGTAATCTCGTACCAAGCCGGTAAGATTACCAGAGCCTCCCTGCGTCTTCCATCTCGTATACTCCGTCAGAACCAAACCCGAAAACTGAAACCAAAACACACCACGCCCGCTAGATCGGCTCTAGACTGGACTCGAACCCTGTTTGTTGTTGTTTATCGTCGTCGTCGTCTTTACTAGACCTCTACTGGCCGGCCTGCTTTTCACTCCGTTCTCCTTCACAGCAGCAGCCCATCCTTCTTCCTGCTCTGCGTCGGTGGCGGACACACCAAACACCCACTAACTGGTCGCAATGGACGTGCTCACCGGCCTAGTGGATACAGCGCTTGCCTCCACGCACATGGACGCCATCGATGCCCTTCGAGCCTTCTTCATCCTAGCATCTTGTACGGTATGACCAGCCGAACCACATCCGATAAGCCGAGGCAGACGACAATTGGAGACAATGCTGTGCGCCTGGACAAGAAAGAGTCCTTTTTTGGAATAAACTAAATTGAACGCCTTAGATTTTGTCGGTCAGCTTGTTGCCGGACTCGTTGCACTCACGCTTCGTTGTTTATGGCGCTCGTGCAACCTCAACCGACTCGAAGGCCTCCTCTTCCGCAGCGACCACAACATCCTCTTCCTCGACCCCGTCATCCCCAGCTCCGCGCGTCCTCGACTACCTTGCCTCCCTGAGAGTCCCTCACAGCTACTTCACGCAGTTCTATGTCGCTTCCGCGGCAGCCTCGGTCTTCTGGGGCGTGCAGCTCCTCTACCGGGGCGCTGCGTTCCAGGCCTTCGCAACGAGGGTCAGCCCAGAGCATCTGCAGAAGTCCATGACGATAAACCAGGTTCTGCTGTGTTGGACATGCATGTTTCTCCAGGGGGTTAGGCGGTTGTATGAATGCTTCGCGTTTTCTAGGCCCTCTGCATCCCGGATGTGGTTCGTTCACTGGCTCGTTGGCCTTGCTTTCTACCTGGGCATGTCGGTTGCGGTCTGGGCGGAGGGAGCAGGTACAGTTTCCCACGCATGGCGCAACACCCAAAGGAACTCCCATTGATCATGCCACAGGAACACTCCTGACCCGTCCAATTGTCCTCGACGATGTGAAGGTCACCATTGCCCCTTCACTACGCACATTCGTATTCCTTCCAGTCTTTTTGATCGCATCCGGCCTCCAACACGACGGTCACCACTATCTCTTTTCTCTAGAAAAGTATACACTTCCGACTCACCCCCTGTTCCATCGGGTCGTCTGTCCGCATTACACAGCAGAATGCGTCATCTACCTGTCTCTGGCTTTCATGGCCGCCCCTCGCGGAGAACTCATCAACAAGACAATACTGGCCGCTCTGGCATTCGTCACCATCAATCTTGGTCTGACAACGGCCAACACCCGGCGCTGGTACACGCAAAAGTTCGGCGAGGATTCGATGAAGGGAAAGTGGAACATGATCCCCGGGATTTACTAATTCTAGGCTGGACCCTGAGATTATCTCTGACCCGAGCTACCGTTTACTCAGGAACTTCATTGTACTTCCCAGCTTCGCAACCTTGAGCACATCACGATAAGTCAGGCTTACCCTGGTTTCTCTGTGTGACCAGCCACATTCATACCGTTTTGGTTCCCTCAAAAGGTCCCAATTGCAGATGGAACTGGCACCGAGATCCTCATCCCGGTCTGTCTCCGCGATCCCATGCAGAAAATCCGTATAGATCTTGTCCGTCGTAATCAGCAAACTGCGCGGCTCCTGCAAGATGCGATGACTGGGTCGACGACTCTGCGCGTCCGTTGTGTCGCTCGTGGGCTTGTCATATAGATCCAGCACAATGGGGGCGCCGAGGCTCACGGTAGCCACGAGCGGATAGTAAGCCGGACCGTCTTCATGCGGCATGATGCCCTGCCCGGGACAATACTCGTTGACCAGGACATGGTTGGGGGCGCCGTGCGGGGCATCTCGGAATATGTTCAGGACATCAAACCGCGGGTTGACGATGGGCGAAACGAGCCAGGAGGGAAGCGGCGCGGCGATGAGGGTGTTGGTGTTGGTCAAGGCAGACGGCCAGGTCTGGAGACGACGGCGGGCGAGATGCGTCCAGCGGGGTAGCGGGGCGGAGGTGATCTGAGACGACACGTAAGAATACCAGCCGGTTAGTAACGTTAGGCATCCACCTCGATAGAAATGGGATAGATAGATAGAGAGAAAGCCCATCCCTCCCCAATGTCAAGGGCAAAGACCGACCTTCTGAAGCAAAAGCGCCTCCTCCTCCGCCGAGACGAAATCCGCAATGTAGAACGCATCCGACGGCAACTGCTTAATGCGGGCCCTCTCGAGCTCCTCGACTTCCTCTGGAGTCATTTGTTTCAGGTCCGGTCCGCCTCTACCTTTCTCTCGAGTCGAGCCGACGATGACACGCTGTCAGCCTGTCACTGCATGAGAGCAATCAGATGTACGAGTACGAATACGATAGATAAATAGATGCCTAGCGCTCGAACCTATCCAACCTATATATCTCAGTCGTTACTATTTTTAGCTTCATCACTGACTGAAACCTAACTTACTGTAATTGACATCCACTAAATTAAGTTATCTTGTAGCAACGCTGGAAACGAAAGAAAGATGGCAAGCTGCAGCAGTTCGGGAGCCTGCGTGTCTCACTCATATCCGGGACGGGATGGGATTCGGATTCGGATTCGAACTGCCTGAGAAAGGATGATTCGCGCCGGTCAGGTGATTCGATGAGTCGAGTAGGCACAGGACTGTAGCTAAGATTAGGTTGTGTGCTTGTGGAACATGGGTTAGGATGTCTTATTGACAATGGAACGGTTAGTTTTGGTGCGGCTGCTGAGGGAGTGATGATGTCATACCCTATGAGGGTCGAGTTATATTTAGACGGTCGGTTTTAAAGAAGTTGATCGGCTGGGACTGCTTGCTTGTTCCATCGTTGGTGGGTGGTTGTGTTGTCTAGGTTATAGCTGCGGCCGAGGGAGGCGCGGCATGTTTTTCGGTATTAAGATAATGGAATGCTTATTCGTGTTTTTGTGAGCTCCAGGTGATGATAGAAAGTATAGGCTACTTAAGCACACCTATTCGTACCAGCTATCTGTCGCTGCATAGTAGTATTGTCAAGCTTGATGATGGCTCCGACATTATATAGTTTGGATTCGGACGATCGAGAATGGATAATGAGCATTTCTACTTACACCGAATAATATTCTCAAGCCAGTTCCTATCGTTAGTATAAAATCTTAATCCCAAGTAAGCCCACTTAACCCTCGAGATACTTACCGTAGAATGTAGAACACAACATACAAGACATCCCCCCTCCTTTATCGTACATGATATACCTCAGAGCCTCAGGCACCCACCCCACCTCCCCACCTCACCTTTCCTGCGACTCTCATCAACCAACAACCACCAACAAGCACAAATCACGACACCACAAGCCCACTTCAAACCAAATCTTCCACCCCTCTCCCCTATCAACCCAAGCATACCCCGCACAATGGGCAAAAACAAAGGCAGCAGCGGAGGCGATAAGAAGAAAGACAGCGGCAGCGGAGACAAGAAAGGCCTCAAGCCCGCGACAGCCATCAACGTGCGGCATATTCTCGTACGTATCCCCATTCCGAGCACCGTAGAGTACCACAAACCGGACACCAAAAGAGAAGCTCCATCCTCAACGCGACGCCCAAAATCCAAATACCTACACATAGACCAACCGACCGACCCAAATCAAAACAGATAGCACGAAACTAACAAACCTAGTGCGAGAAACACTCCAAGAAAGAAGAAGCGCTAGAGAAACTTCGCAACGGGGCGAAGTTCGATGAGGTGGCGCGCGAGATGTCGGAGGATAAGGCTCGGCAGGGTATGTTCCCTTCCCTTCTGCTTTCTTCGCGTTCGCCTGTAGTTCAGTTCAGGGCTGGTGGGGATATATATGTTAATGCTTCGACAGGTGGATCGCTGGGATGGAAGGTTCGGGGTAGTTTGAATGGGGATTTCGAGAAGGCGGCGTATGAGCTTGAGCCTAGCACGACGGCGAATCCGAAGTATGTGGAGGTGAAGACTGGGTTTGGGTATCATATTATTATGGTTGAGGGGCGGAAATAGTTTTGCTTCTTTGGGGGTTGTGGTTGGGTGGATAGGGAATGGGGAAGTATAGTAATGATTTGAATTGAATGTCAATGAATAACCTGTCTATGAGATGATGACTTTCTAGAAAATAATATGTACATTTATGGAATATGAGGAGGGCACGCCCTGGGACTACTACAACTACTCTTTCTTTCTAGCCGCAGCCGCAGCTTTCGCCTTCTTCTCCTGGCGCTGCACGATTGCCTCGGCGCCCACGCCGCCAAACACCAACAGCACCCCCAGCCACTGGCCCGCCGACAGCGAGTGTCCGAACCAGAACACGCTCAGCAGCATGGTCAACATCTTGCGCGTGACCGTGACCGTCACTAGCAGCAGCGACGAGAACCGCGACAGCGTGTAAAAGATGAACAGTTGGCCGATCGCGCCGCACGCCGCGAACCCGAGCACGTTCTTCAGCGCCTCCGGATGGCGCGACAGGAACCCGATCGCGGCCGTCAGCTCCGTCTCCGTGGACGGCGGGATCGGAATCGGCAGGATGTTGTGCAGGAGCCCCGTCGCCGAGAGATGCGGCATTACCAGAAGGTAGCTGCTGGTCAGGAGCGTTGAGAGTACGTTCTGCGCGACCATCATCTGCGGGCCCGTGAAGCGCGTGTACGTCTGCGGCGAGCTGAAGACGTGGTCCTGCGTGGTGTTGGTGAGGCCGTCCAGGAGCAGGTTGATCGACAGCAGGAAGATGCCCCACATGCTGGAGCCGGACTGCCCCTTGGCCGCCGAGGCGGCCACTTTCTTGCTCGTGCCCGGGTGGTGCAGCGTGAAGGTGGCCACGCCGAGCGTCACCAGGAGGACCACCCCGTACTTGTAGAGGGGGTAACGCTTGCGGAAGATGGTCAGGTGGAGGAACATGACCGGGAGCAGCTTGCAGGACTTGGCGAGGATGAAGGTGAGGTAGTCGATGTGCGCGAGACTGGCGTATCCGAAGGGCGATGCGAGGGACGAGGAGATGCTGACTAGGAGCAGGGGGAAGAGGATCTTCCGGGTGGGGAAGATGGAAGGGATTCTCTGTCCGGACGGGGTCGAGAAAAAGAGATAGAGGAAGCCAGTGATCGCTGCGAAGGTAGACTGGATCGTGTTCAGGACAATCGAGTATGTGAAGCGCTCGGTTGGGGGTTCGGGCAACTCAGCGCTCGGGGGCTGGACCGGATAGGAGACGGTGGTAATGGCTTCTTGGAGAACACCCCAAGAGAGACTTGAGCGCAGCAGTCAGTTTTCACATACGGTGTATTCGAAGTTCGTGGGTGGCACATACAAAGAAGCGTAGATTCCCAAGACACAGACAGCAAGCTGCATCAAGCCGGGGGTATCCTGCGCCGCGTCCTTCGGAGCAGCAACATGACCATTTGCGACAACACCTCCATTCTGCTGCTTGAGAGCCTGCGGCCCCGAATCATTCGGTGGAACATGCATCAGTTCAGAAGAAGTCGCGCGTTGCAGAGGCGCCGTCTGTTTTTGGCGTGCCATGGGCAAAAGGCAGCGAGCGCAGCGCAGCGTTCTATACAATTCACGCACCGAACCCGAGAAAAGGATCGAGACAATAGAACTTCACCAACGAGGTAGTAAATAGAATCCGACAAACTAAAAGCACACACACATACACGAAGACAAAGGTATGCAGACAGCGACGGGAAAGCAAGGGCAAGAAAATGGGAAAGGGACCCGCGAACTTTATAGAAAGATGTTTCAGATGATGCCATGTGTTCTGTTCTTTTCTGCAGCTTCCCTTCCCTTCCCACCCTCAGAAACGCGCCGCGGAACTTCGGCCGCGAAATGATCGCCCTTTTTTCCGCCCCGCCGGAAGTGACCCTCGAAACCTTTCTCCAAATTTAGTCCGTTCCACCGACGAGCTTCGCATCGCATACTCATCTTGACCTGGTAGATTCTTCCGGGTAAGTCTAAAACAGATCTGTTTTCCAATGCGCTGACCTCTAACAATCAATCAGACAACCCAACCACCAACCAAAACCCCCGGCCAGACCACCTCCCTCCCTCCCAAAACCAACCGCGCATTCTACAATCAAGACCTCAAGAATAATGACCACAACAACACCCCCCACCCCCTCCGCCCTAACAACCCTCATAACCTCAATCACAACACCAACACCACCAGAAACCCAGCAAAAATCCTCACAATCACAACAACATCCCGCTTTAACCCACCAAGTCCTCCACAACCTCCAACACCAACACCTCTGGACCTCCCTCCAGATCCACCAACTCCAGGCCCCGTCAAGCACGAGCAGCAACGACACCACCGCAGACCCGAACCCCATAACTCTCATCTCGGGAATTCCCCCGCACCGCCTCTACACCCACCCAGACGAACAGCTCTACCTCCTCGAGCGCGGCCTCCGCGAGGAGGACCTCGAGCTGGAGCGGATGTTCGTTCTCCCGACTGTGCAGGGCCAGACGTGGAGTCTGCGGAGGCTGGCGGGGGTGTTTGATGGGTTTCCTTTGCAGGAGGAATTTTTCCTTGTCGATGGGGATGAGGAAGGGGGTGAGGAGGGGAAGGGGGATGGAGTGGGGTTAAAGAACAAGCACAGCGGCAGCAAAACGGACAAGTTGAGGGAGTACTACCGGTACCGGGAAAAGGCTCGCGCGACGAGGGAATGGGGTGGGAAGAGGCTGCTGCTGGCTATGGTGGATCGGCAGATGGGAGGCGATAGTACCGTTGTCTACTATGTTGTGCAGGATGGGGCGGTCAAACCGAGACAGAATTGATGACTTCTCGCTTGAGAATCATGGGGTTGTCGGGTCGCCAATGCCAGTTTTGGCTTGAAGCGAGACACGGATATTCCAAAGAGGGAGAAAGGGAGCTACCAAGTCTCATCCACAAGCGAAGAAAGTCTCTCGTCCAATTTATACTAATACAGCCCAAACCAAGCCAGCAAAAGTTATATACATGGCGCTGATAAAACGACAACAGAGATAACAACCGGACTTCTCTCTCCTCGAGAAGAAAGATACATTGGATATGACAGACAGATTCGCTTCGCTGCAGGGCGGGTATCGTTTCAGCTTTCAAAGGGAAAAATGAGAGCACAAAATATGGGGAAGGGGGGAAGTATGCACGGTACAAGCACAACCGGCCACTGACCGGGGTGCGGGTTGAGGTGTTCTAAAGAACACCAAAAGCATGGTCATCTTCGAAAAGCGACCGTTCGGCCTGGCAACTGGAGCAGTACATGCTGTACCATTGCTTAACGTCGTCACTCAGGTTTGTGAACGCGTTCGAGCCGGTCCGCTCAACCTCCATGTCGGCGTCATCGAGCTCATCATTCTGGCCGAGGAGGATCCCAACCTGGCGACAGCGGCGCAGTTCCTGTCGGAGCCAGCGTTCCCATTCGTTCTGGATGACTTCGCGTTCGATGCTGTTCACCACTCGGAGAGCCACCAGAAGGTTGTGTCGGTAGGTTGCCAGCCGTTCACGGGTCTGTTGAATCCTGCGCGCTGCGCTCTTGGTCATAGAGTCTCGGAATCCAGCCGACCCCAGGGACAAAGCTGTCCCCGGCTCGCGCAAGGTCTGCTGGTGGAATGTCGCGAAGCAGTCAGTGACGTTTTCTCTTCCGCGCCCGAAGGTCGTGTTCGCGATGGCCTCGTCAATATCCCTCATATAGATAGCTTTGCTCATAACATTGTCGGGACCTACTCCGATGCGGGCCATGAAGTTTCCAACACTTCTGTCATCCCACCATTCGTGCAAAGCCCGCGACGAATATATTCCATTTACCAAAACGCTCGCCAGCAGTAGGAACAGGATGACCGTGTTTGCATTCGTGGTCTTCCAAACCCAGCGTAGGAAAGCGCCCGCCCACATCAGCAAGGATGACACCGCACTTTCAAGGAAAGACAGAAGCGTTTCGAATAAGAGATAGGCCATGCTTCTCTGGGTGCGGGGCTTCCGGAACTCCAGCTTCAAGTCTCCTGAAGGCGTGAATTGAGATGCAAAATTCTGACGTCCGACATGGCCGAAAATCGTGATGGCCTTCTTCGTTCGACTGTGTGCGCCGAGTCTGCGAACTTGGTCTCCGACGAGGTCGAGGAGGTCTAACGCGTCCTGTTCCAGGTCGCTGCCCGCGCTCTTATCCACAATACCTTAACGCCGTTAGCGTCGCCTTGTATGCTCCCATGGACGTAGATCAACTCACTCTGCAGGCCATACGGTGACCATAGCCATTCAACTTTCGTATAGATAGATAGTTTGCTCTTCCCCTTTGCGACAAAGGTGATGACAACCTTACTGACCAGCCTAAAGGACCGCTTGAATGGTAGATGCCAAGGGGTGCGTTTGTCCGTAATGACATAACAGAGGTGGTCATTAAGAACATCAATCATTTGATAATCTGAGATCGTTTTGCTATGCTTGCCTCCTATTCAAAGTCAGCAAAGGTGTGGGTGGCCCATCCAAATAGCGGAAATAATTACCAAAGATATCGGTGGTCTCGGTCGAATAGTTGAAGTCCCTTCTCAGGTGGTTGGACTCATGTCTGGTCCAGGGCCCCTGTTTGATGCCTATCGCAAATTTAGCAAGCGCCATGATTCGGACTTTGGCGGTCACCTACCTTGAGCATTGCGTTGATGAAGAAGGAGCTGCCATACAGCACTCTTGTCGCCAAACAGTATGTGAAAGACTGCTTTGGGACTGATATCGAACACTTTCTCTGCAGCCAAGTGCAAACTGCCTTGGGGAACATACTGAACAGGTTGTGTTGGAAGTCTGAACTTCGGAACGTCCTTGCCATTGCCGTGTTTTTTATGCATGTTAAGGTCATTGTCGATGTAGATGGGCAAGCGAGAATCTTTCTTGGAACCTCCGGTCGGGACGTCGCTGAGATCAGTCTTGTCATCTCCAGCGTCCACGTCCTCCCAGCTATCCAAGCTGGGGGTTCGTGTCATCGCCTCTGTCTCCATTCTGGTTAAGGTCTTGAAGACTGCTTCCAGCCCTAGAGGTTCAGCAGCCGCCATGTTGTGGATCAAGAAGTTCAATCGCCTCTGCAGGAGTCTTAGTGGCTCAAGGAATGTCTTTATCGTCCCCCGGCTTGGTGTATCGTCACCAGGAGGAGGTATCAGATGGAGAAACAAGAAGTCACAGTCTCTACCAGTAGCAGCGGTGACCTCTTTGATACTTTCAAGAGATACGCTCGTCGTCAGCACCAAGCCGAAATGGTGACTGTAGAAGTAGATGTTCTGAGTGGTGACATAAGCCCTTCCAGGAAAGTCTTGCTGGTCATTCGGGCTCCACGTGGCTCGGAACACCATCACCAGAGGCTCCTCTTTTTTGATGTCAGGGAAAAGCAGTCGGAACTGGGCATCATGGATCTTGAGTTGGGGAGGATAGTAAGAAGGGTAGTCGTGCGTATCACCCATGAGCGCTTGCTGTATCTTGGACGAGTCGCCATCTAGGCTCACCGTCGGTCTATGGCGTGACCCAGTCTTCGGCGGTTTGACCGCGGTAGATCCACTAGACGTGTCGGCTTCTGCTATCAAGAATTGTTTGCAGGGGTCTTTCGCCTGCGAAGATGGTTTATCGCGATCCTGATCCGCCGAGATCCCCAGTCGCTCAGGTTCAAACCTGTTCATGAAGCCCCAATTGGAGCTACCCCACAGATTCGCCATCATGCCGCTGGGCATTCCTCCCGTTTTGTCGATTTGGCCGAGCCCGATGCCCCGTTCGTTACTGACGAACACGGCAGCCTTGCTCATACTAGTCGGAGCAGGTGGGTTGGCCAATGTCATCGGGGCAAGGGTCGTGGGAGAATCGTTCCCAAGGGTCGAGCTACGAGATCGTGTCCCATCCGGGTCAACTGGCAAAGTGCTTCCAGAAGCAATAGCACTATGACTTGCGGTGATGAGGCTAGCAATCCCGCCTGCGGCCCCAGGGATCGAGGTTGAAGGTTGCACTGCGTTATTGGATTTGCGGTGAAGGTCCAGCTTCTGCATGAGACGGGATGCGTGTTCACGGGCAGGGCTGTCTGAGTCCAACGTGGTCAACCGCCGGTGGTTGCTAAAGTCGCTACTGTTGCGAAGAGCAGACGGGTCCTTCTCTGGCAGCGACAGCATCCCACTGCGATCGGACGAGCCCTGCTCATCGCTTGTATGAGGCGTGAGAGAATCACCTGGATCAGCAGCGAATTCCGGTGCTGGGGGTTGAGAGATCGCAAAGGCGGGATCCTGGACAGTGACTTTTCCGGACACCGAGAGGTCGGTGCTCGAAGGGTTTTCGAGAGCCTTGCGCTTCGCGGCCTCGAAAGCGGCGATCCAGTCCATTAGGTCTTTTTGTGTCTCGGCCTGGAGCAGAATGGTATTACTCTTCGTCTTGACCTCAAAACAAAACCTTCGCTCTTCTTGAAAAGCCGGCCGGATGCTGCAAAGCAAAACACCAATCCGTTCACTCTCTTCAACACCACCGGTGCGAGAGCCCTGAACGAGACATCCAAAGATACCATGTTTCAAAAAAGCCCAGCGCCTGACCCAAACAGTCCGAGTAGGTTTGCCGGAGAGAGTTCGAAGATACACCCATCCTTGCTTCTCGGGTTTTGCCTCTTTGGACATGCTATCTGTCGAGAGAGGACGCGAGCCGAGGTAGGGAACAGTAGACACGGAGTAGTCATCCAACTCACGCGACGGCCTGGCTGCGATCTCCGCAGCTTCCTCAATCTGCTTCCTAGAAGCCAGGAGCTCCCGCTTGGCAGATTTCTCGTTTCCATCCATCTCGTGCACCCAGCCCTTGATGCGCTCCATTTCCTGGCCCCACTTTGCGAATGAGGTACCGTTGTTGGTATGAAACGTCTTCAACTCCCGCCACTGATCGAAGGATACGCGGACCAATAGCCTGTCAAGCGCATTCCGCAACTGAGGACCTTGGACCGAGAAATCCATAGAGGCCTTGAGGTAGGCTTTGCGGGCTTCATGGAGCTGGAATGCATCCTCTCGGAGGGACGAGGGTTCTTTCGATTTGGACTGCGACGAATACCGGGCCAGCAAGTAGTCGTACTGTTTTTGTGTCTCGCCAAGCGTGCGCCGAATCTCCTGGAGCGGGGGTCAGAAACCGATCCTTAATTTTAAGGGGGGGGTCTCCATTATTCATTACCTTGAAGTTTCGGAGGTCCTCCTGAATGAAGCCCCTTATGGGTTCGGACACGAATGATTCCATCTTCTTGACAGTTGCCACTAGTCCATTCCACATGTCCTTCGAACTGTCACCACACCTCCGCATCGACTGTAGAGTGTAATCATGGTCCAAGACTGCTTCTGAGACCAGTAGAGGATTTGTAGAGTAGGAAAGAAAGACGCTAACAGCGCCTTCTATCGTCGCAAGCTCTGCGGAGAGCTTCGACGCGGCCTTGGCATACCCGTCGAGCCATCTCTCGAGGAATTCGATCTGGTCGGAGAAGTGAAGGGCGGTGGCACGGAACGTGGGGGAATCGAGTGCAGCCTCCTTTAAGCCAACCGGACTTTATGGGAAAGGTTAGACGGCCTACATCTCAAAGAAATCAAGCGCAAAAGAAAGAGGATTAAGGCCACGAATACTTACACCACGCTGACAAGCTTCCCGACCTGGGGTAATGGGATCTGCGGCTGAGTCGACATCTAGTGTATGTCACCAGCCATACACAAATGCGAGCGAGGAGAACGTTGAAGATTGACAGAGGAGAGACCCCAAGTCACCATTGGCAGTAGAAATCAAACAAGGAGCATCCAAAAATGAGAAGATAATCAGTAAGGGATAGGAGGGAACATGTCACTCGCAGTAGGAGGGTGGAAGCTTTAGGAGATGAAGCGCCGCTTGACCATCTAGGCGGATACAGGACCGCGCATGATTTAATTGGCTACGTCAGTGTCTTTGTCCTGCAGCCTGGATTGTCAGGCAGAACGGGGTCGATAGGCCCTGTAGGGCGGTCAGAATGACGCCGGTTTTTTCTGCCGGCAACCGCCTTTTTTTTCCCTCCGGCGGAGAAATCATCGATCTTGTTGCCCTCCCCAGAGCACAATTCCAGGATCCAAGATACTTGGAGCTCTTCTGCTTACGAAAATGGCTCCACCGTCTAACAAATCGCGCAAATTGCTGGATGACAGCTCCAGCGACTCGGAAGATGAATCTGGCGGCGTTCCGATCAGCAACGAGGATGTCGTATTCAAGATCAACGAGGATTATGCTCGTCGCTTTGAGCACAACAAGAAGAGAGAAGAAATGCAACAACGTAAGTTCTATCCACTATGTTGATATTTTCGGCGATTGAGGCTAATATTGGGAATCGCTGCAGTGGAGTCAAAACTAGGCAAGTCCTCGGTACTTGGCAAACGTCGTGATCGCGACGGAGAGGATGAGGGATCTGAAGAAGAATCGTCTTCGGATGAGGAAGAGGACGATTTTGGAGAGCTGGCTACCGAGGCCGTGGATGCTGAGATTATGGACACTATCAAGGCGATTCGCTCCAAAGATCCCCGGCTGTACGACCCGAATGCCAAATTCTTCACCAAACTCGACGAGGAGGAACAACCGCAGAACGCCGAGAAGAAGGAAAAGCCAATGACCCTCCGCGATTACCACCGGGAGAACCTACTCAGCGGCGCCAACTTGGCTGACGAGGAAGAGACGAGCAGTGCGCCCAAAACCTACGCCCAAGAGCAAGCAGACCTGAAGAACGCCATCGTCAAAGAAATGCACGCTGCTGCAGGCGATGAGGATGCGTCTGAGAAGGAAGAGGAAGATGATTTCCTTGTCGCCAAATCCAAGCCCGAGTCGTTCCCTGAAACCAAGACAGAAGCCACCCTCGACGTCGAAACCGCCGACAAGGATCCGGAGACGTTCTTATCCAATTTCTTGTCGTCAAGGGCATGGATCCCCGCTGGCAGATCGGAACTTCAACCTTTCGAGTCTGACGACGAGGAAGAGGACGAGCGGGCAGAGGCATTTGAGGAGGCGTACAACTTCCGGTTTGAGGACCCCAGCAAGATGAATGCTACTCTCATGACCCATTCTCGTGACGCCACGAATCAGCAGTCCGTCCGCCGGGAGGAAAAGAGTATGAGGAAGAAGCGCAGAGATGCAGAGCGGGAGCAGAAGGAGCAGGAAAAGAAACAGCGTGAGATTGAAAAGAACCGCCTTCGCAAGCTCAAGATGGAAGAGCTCCAAGAGAAGGTTGAGAAGGTCAAGGAAGTTGCTGGTATCCATGCAACCGAGTTGAACGATGAAGACTGGGCCCGCTTCTTGAATGAGGCCTGGGACGACAAGGACTGGGAGGCCGAAATGCAAAAGCGGTTCGGTGAAGACTACTATGCCGAGAAGGATGCCGAGAGCAAGAAACACCCCAAGAAGCCTACATGGGACGACGACATCGACATCAAAGACCTCGTGCCGGACTTTGACGATGAGGAGGAGAAGCCCGCCGTGGCCGATTCTGATGTTGAGATGGAAGACGAGCGGGAAGGTGAGAAGAAGAGCAAGGCGCAGGAGAGGAGAGATCAGAAGCGGGAAGCCCGCAAAGAGCGCATGCGTATCGAGGAGGCTGTGGACCGCAATCTGGATCTGGACATCGGCTTGCTTCCTGGAGCAACCAAGAAGAACGCTACTGGGTTCCGCTACCGCGAGACCTCCCCTCAGAGCTTCGGGCTTACTGCACGGGATATTCTCATGGCCGATGACACTCAGCTCAACCAGTTCGCAGGCCTGAAGAAACTTGCTTCATTCCGTGATCCGGAGAAGAAGTACAAGGATCAGAGGAAGCTGGGTAAGAAGGCTCGCCTTAGGCAATGGCGCAAGGACACCTTCGGTGATGAAGATGGTCCCAGAATCTCCGATGAGGTCCCGAAGGTACCTGCAGCAGTCGAGGAAGCCGAGGGCAAAGTCGACATTCGTGACGGTGAGCCCAGGAAGAAGAAGAGAAAGAGGTCGAAGAAGCACTAAATGCATGACCCATGGGCTTGAATTTGTATATCATCGCGAGACCGTTGTCTTGTCTTGAGTGTGTTAATTTCAAAAAAGTAATTAGCGAACCTTTGTATTTCCATAGATCTTAGACGCAAGATATACCTACTTCATTGCATCTGGCTGTACCTGCTCTATCTTTTGGCGGTTCTCTTCAAGATAATTATTGTTGTCTACCATTCAGCCTAATTGGACTCAATTGCACAATTCTAGAAGCCACTGAGTCGGTGATTGTACATCGGCGAACATCAAGCCCTCAGGGCATGATTATAAACCTTGCGCAACCTACTAAGCTGCGACTATCATTGGAATGGTTCTCTAAGTTGTGCACCACTTGAAATACAATATAATCCTTATGCAGTGCATTTGCAGGCCCAGTGGGCCCCTGCCCGAGGGCGCAATCTGGTAATCTGGTCCGCCCTGTAAGAGAGGCGAAAAAGTGGATATCATCATGGCGACAGAGCAGGGGCGAAAAGGTCTAGGATTTGGTGTGGATCCAGATGGGCGTTGTCTCTCTTCTGAAAATTCGATATATCTCGAGTCTTTTCTAGGCGCATGGAGGAAGACGGTAAGGAAGCTCTCCTGTCGCTAGCTGGACGTATATTGTGCGTCGGGAGATGAGCCGATCCGTGATCCAACAAACTCCAACAAATTTGTGAAGGTAGAGTGTGCAAAACCCTAATATAAAATCAGACCTGCTTGCAAATGCACGCGGTAGAACACTTGAGCTCGAACTAAACAATTGCCCGTCTACCGATGTACTTAGAGAGCGTTCCCCGGTTATAGAACTTATTAGCTCCTCCGCATTACCGAGAGAAAAGATTTCTCATTATTCAATCCCGTGCCTCTGGGCCAGCTTCTCCGAGTCTTAGTATCCTCCGGACGGAGCGAAAGACGGGGAAGGCGCGGGATGACAGCCGAAAGTCGGTGCACGCGCCTGGTCCGCTGCAAATTGGGATGGGAAATCATGGATCTTGGAGTGTATTACGGTGTATTTACATTGTAGGCCATCATTGAAGGACAACTTCATCTTCTTCTTCTTCTTTTCTTTTCTTTTCGGTGTGCATCTCTAGATAAGGGCAAATTTGATTCTTGGCCGGCGCAAAGACAAGTTTTTTCCGGGAACCAGAGTCCAGAGAAAGGGAATTTGCCATCGGGTAATCGGGAGGAGAAAGGGATGTGCGTCTAGATTATTGCGAGTTATGCTGCTGCAGGTTGCTGCAGGTTGCTGCTGCACGCGGACAAATGTTGTTGGTTCGGTGAAGACGGTCGGAAGTGCTGATGAGGCACTAAGGCAGCAAACCGTCTTTGTTATTGTTTTGGAGACAGCATTCATCAGAGAAGTGTCTCCAATTGAGGCTCTGGAGGATTCTGCGATTCCCATACACATATCTATCCTATTTTATTCGCTGTTTATTGTATCTCATATTAGACAAGTCTGAATCCAAATGGATAGTCTCTTGAATAGGAATAATTGCTTCTGCTCCATAAATAACTCAAGCGTGAGAAATTTCCCAATCTTCTCTCTCATCCATCCATAATATCAGCGGTCGGGACGGTTACTGGCGCGATCGGGAGATATCGGCTCTGGTTGCCTGGGCCAGCGCCGCAGAGCATTAGCGCTGGACCCAGTTTTTTTCTCTTTTTTTCCTCTTTTTTCTTGGTGGCCGGTGGCCCGCCTCCTTTCAATCACGGTTTCGCCCTTCCTGAATCCTCCCTTTTTTCCCTTTTCCCCTACAGTAACAAGAGGAAAACTCCCTACTCCGGACCGGGACCCAGCCAAAACCCACTCCAAAAGAGACTAGTGTGGCCGCTGTTCGCCGCCGCCGCTGCCATTGATTGCATTTTGACTGCACATTCAGGCCAGCGAAACAAATTTCCCTCCCCCCCCCCAAGAGAGTCCTAGCGTCTCCGCTCGCTTCTTCCCGCTTACAAGAGCCCTTCGTTCGCTATTTTTTCTTCCCTCCCTTCCCTTCTTCTTCCTCTTCTTTCCCCCATCCCCCCGTGAAGTGTCCTGTGTTGTCTGGCACTATCTCTCTCCTCTCTTTTTTTGTTTAGTTCTCGTTTCTCACAGCCGTCAAAATGGCCACGGGTGACGTTAACCAGGGCGACAAGTCCGTCTTCGGCATGCCCGTAAGTTGCTATCTGTCCCTTTCGATCGAGGGTCAACCAGGCTTTTTTCGCATCACGCGCCCTTCGAGATCCAATTCGATATCGTCTTGAATGAATAGAATCGAGCTTGGACAACACCTCAGGGGTTAATGACACGAAAACCTGGGCGATTTTCATCCATTGTTCTAGGAATACATGGCTAATAAAAATTTTCACAGGGCTTCGTCGTCGACTTCATGAGTATGTGCACACCCCGGGTTGCGGATTGATCGCCACCCAACGATCGGTCTTCCACTTACCTATCAACAACGCAACATTATCGACCATTCTATGAGAAGATGATACTAACTACTGTTCACAGTGGGTGGTGTTTCCGCCGCTGTCTCCAAGACCGCTGCTGCCCCCATCGAGCGTATCAAGCTCCTCATCCAGAACCAGGATGAGATGATCCGCGCCGGTCGTCTCGACAAGAAGTACAACGGTATCGCCGACTGCTTCCGTCGTACCGCTCAGGCTGAGGGTGTTGTCTCCCTCTGGAGAGGTAACACTGCCAACGTCATCCGTTACTTCCCCACCCAGGCCCTCAACTTCGCTTTCCGCGACACCTACAAGTCCATGTTCGCCTACAAGAAGGAGCGTGATGGATACACCAAGTGGATGATGGGTAACCTTGCCTCCGGTGGTGTATGTATCCCTGCCCTCGAATAAGGGTTTCGGAGTTGGCAACTAACGAGAATCACAGGCTGCTGGTGCCACTTCCCTCCTCTTCGTTTACTCTCTGGATTACGCCCGTACCCGTCTCGCCAACGACGCCAAGTCCGCCAAGGGCACTGGTGAGCGTCAGTTCAACGGTCTCGTCGACGTCTACAAGAAGACCCTCGCTTCCGACGGTATTGCCGGTCTCTACCGTGGTTTCGGTCCCTCTGTTGCTGGTATTGTTGTCTACCGTGGTCTGTACTTCGGCATGTACGACTCCATCAAGCCCGTTGTTCTGGTTGGTCCTCTCGAGGGTAACTTCCTTGCTTCCTTCCTTCTCGGCTGGACTGTCACCACTGGTGCTGGTATCGCTTCTTACCCTCTTGACACCGTTCGTCGTCGTATGATGATGACCTCCGGTGAGGCCGTCAAGTACAAGTCCTCCATGGATGCTTTCCGCCAGATTGTCGCCCGTGAGGGTGTCAAGTCCCTGTTCAAGGGTGCCGGTGCCAACATCCTCCGTGGTGTTGCCGGTGCTGGTGTCCTGTCCATCTACGACCAGGTTCAGCTCCTGCTCTTCGGAAAGAAGTACAAGGGTGGCTCTGGCTAAACAATTTGACTTAAAACGTCAAATCTGTTTGAGTCGGTGTGAATCCTTCTGGGGAAAGGGGTTGGCCAGTTATCTGGTGTAACTACCAGAGCTGGACGATGCTGGGGAGGATAGAAATATGCCTCAAGAATGATACCGTTGTCTTGAGCATAGAGTAGTGTGTCATTTCCTCTTGTACCAGTTGTATTTTACTGCCTGCAAAGCTTTTTCTTTTTCTTCAAATTGTCTCCTAGTAATTTGCTTTGTAGATCTGGTAGAGTTTTCCGGTTTTAGTCACATGACAATTGTCACGTGGGTGTGATTCCGCGCAGTGACGTCTATCGTAGTCGCTCTATCGACAGCTCCTTACTTGCATAGCTACTATAGCTTCAACGTTCTTAGACATTCATAACCATGGACAAGAAAGCGTCCAACCCAGAGGAAAATCATCCCGACAAAACCTCATCCCCTGAGCCTGAGGTCAAGGCGACCGTGGCCCTCCAAGCGCAACCTCCAACAACCACTGCAGCTACCTCAACAGCACCCTCCTACTCCCCCATCTACGCCACCGCGCAACCCGCCGCTATACCCTCTCTTCCTATACAGACCCCAGCGCCAGCACCAGCACCAGCAGCAGCCTTCACCCCAACACCAACAATGGAGAACACCACCAGCACCTCACCACCCCCACCACAGCCGGGAGCTCAGCCCGTCCCGGGGCCAGCTCCAACCTCTACCGCTACAACGACATCACCAACCCAAATGAATCAAATCACCACCCCACCACCACCCCCAAAAGCAGGCGATACGCCCAGCACAACAACAGCAGCAGCAGCAGCAGCAGCAGTACCAGCACCCACAACCCCATCCCACCTCCAACAAACACAGTCACAACCCCAACAACCACAGGCACCCCCCAGCTACAGCTACAACTACACCACCTACCCGCAATCGCAAATCCAAAATGAATCCCCAGTCCCAAACGCAACAACAACCCCCTACCAAACCCTCTACCCAACGCCCTACCAACCCCCGACCATCGCCCCCACAACCTCAACCACAAACACGAATACAACCTCAACCTCGCAGCTCCCCCTGCAGTACGACCCCGGCGTCTCAGGCCGAGTCGACCTCGACGGCGAGGGCGAGGGCGAGGGGATCCTCGCGAACGCGAAGTCGTGGCTCCGGAGCGCGGGGACGAAGTTGGCGGAGGTGGAGGCCGAGGTTTGGAAGCGGATTAATGATGCTCATGATACTTGATCTTCTCTTCCCTGTTTGGGTTCGGTTGGTGATAGTTAGTGAGTGAGTGAGTGAGTGAGTAAGTGGGTGTTTGGGTTTGGGTTTGGGGTTCTGGGCGATATTGGGGCTGGGATTGGGTGTTTGGGTTCTGGTAATGGGCTGGGATTGGGGTTTGGTTGCTTTTACTTGGGTTGTCTTGAGGCTCTGGGTGGGTTCTTCGGTGTTGCATGTCAATGGGGTGGCGGTTGGATGGGTTGCGTGGGAGCTGGCTGATGGGAGTATTGCTTATTGTGTATATGGTGGTGTTCGGGTTGCGGTAGGTTGATTATATTGTGTTATGCAGATTAAAGATATTATTCTGAGTTGACGGTTATGTTTATCTCTGTGATTGTGCTTGGATATATATCGAAATCTGGGATACCTCCTGATGCCAGGAAGCTGAAAGAAAGGGGGGTCCGGGGGTTCTCCCCCGGGACATTCCCATTTATTGTATTAGGGTTGAGGGTGCTAGGAAGCTGAAAGAAAAGGTTGTATGATGAGCTACTTGACATGGTCATGAGGTCTGATTAACAGCATGTCGATATACTAGCTCAGATGCGAGCATAGCTCTACGCAGGTATTTACTTTGACCACAAAGAAGTATAAGCGGAATATTTTCTTTGGCTATGACTAGCATAGGTTGTTTGTTTATATTGATATCTATATGTAATGTCCACACGGCCCCGCAGACGTGTCTGCAGAGCTGATTTGACTGTTTCCCGAACCCGTCTAAACCGTATGCACAATATGGAGTGGTGATTATCCTTGGTCATCAAGTATATATGTATGTGTGTTGAAAGGCCCCTTGGGCTCAATGCAGGAAATGAAGGTGCTGTCAAGGTAGCAGCGGAGGTATCATAGTCATAAATCCGTGCCACCACTCAACAGGATGTCGAAGCTGACTGCACGTCCGTCAGTGTTGAGCTGGCCACGTCATCATCGTAGCGATGCTGCCAGAAAAGAAAAAGAAAACGCCTTGATATCGATCCCAAATAAGCCAAGCCAACTCCAAATGCATCCCAATTCGAACCTGTCGACTCGGGAGTGTTCGTGCAGCATGCTGATGGCCCATAGATCACTAAAAATCAAGAGCAAGGAATATATGTACTAAGAATGGAATGGTCCAGCCTCAAAATGGGTCATGAAGGCACAAGGACCCTAGTGGATCACCAATGGCGATTGATCGCGAATCACATCACATCGATCCAAGTCGTAACAATGCAGCTGCAGCTGCAGCGCGCTCATCCCCGTCGTTCATGAGACCGTCAGGAGGATTAAACCCGAGTTGTTGAACGGGTAAATTGCGCGGGGCGGATTTGGCTAGTGAAGAGGGTGCCGGCCCTCCTCCCCGGAATCGGGGCGACCTGCCGTTGCCGGGAACGAGCCCGCCCGTGGCGTTGAGGGATCGCGCACGGAGTGCATCAGCACCGATCTGTGCCCAATCTTCCTCATCCGTCACATCTTCCTCGCCCCAGTCTTCAATCGGCATTTCGTCGTCGGGAGCCTCGGATGATGAACAGTACTCGCGTTCATCCCCGTCGAGAGACATCTTGTCCGCCTCGTCTTCTAGCATGCTGCTATCGGGACGGCCAAACTCCATTTCGGTCGAATAGGAGAACACGGCGGAATCACCCGCCACGCTGGTACCATAGGGCTGGAGACTATCCCGCTTGGTGGGAATCTGCATGCCCCGCTGAGAGAATGTGTCTGAGGGACTGGAGGGTGGCGACATGTTCATACGTTGCGCATCTCTTCGCAACGGCTCACCACGGCGCCGTGCATCCCAGCGACCCCATCCAACCTTCTCGAAGATCACATTGCTTTTAGTCGCAGCGCCTTTCTCATCAGACCCTCGGCCCTCGAGCGCGGCCACAACCAGTCTCCGCGCCTTGGCGGGGGGAATCATCGAGAAGCCGGGAACAGAGGATGTCAAATAGCCCATCAGATGGCGAATGGCCAAGGGACCGTGCTGCAACATGATCTCCGGAAGATGGCATTTGGCCAGCATTCCAGGTGTGATAGCTCCGGTGATATCAAAGTCATGAGCAACGAGGTTGTTCGCCCTCGCATCTCCCAGATCGACATCGGAGTCCACATGCGAGGAGGCAAGCGGAGAATAGCCCGACTGACCAACATGCTCGCGTCGAAACCCCTGAGGCGGCAAAGTTGGCGATATAGAGTTGGGCGGTGTAGGCAACAAAGCAGGAGCCCCGGGGCGAGTTAAGTCGCGACTACCCATGGGAAAGCCGGGGCGAGGCTTGGGGATGTCAACCGAAGCGGTCTTACCAGCAGCAAGGGCCATAGCGATGCTGGATGTCTTATTTGAGAGAGCCATGATGGATGCTTTGAACACAGGGGGCGGAATGCTTCTATTCAACCCGGTGGCTAATTATTGATCTGTAATCACATGAGTCAGATGGACGATCGACCAACCAAAGAGCGCCAGGCTAACAATGGAACAATGAATGGAAATGATGGATGACTAAAAACTCAGGCCAGCCTTCTGCCTGCAAAAACAAGCCGTCCAACAAAAAGCCACCATTTCAGGCCTGAGGGGGGAGAAGATAATTTGAAGGATTTGGGTCATTGACTCACAGTAAGCTGTTGGCAGCAGATCGCAGAGGTGCAGACGCAACGGTGAGCGGACTTAGTATGCAAGCCTGATGCGATGCGACGCGCTAAGAGGGGCGTAGGGTTGATAAGGGAGGAACGCGACTGTTGGAGACAAGTAGGTCCAGGGGAACAATGTTCGGTTCACGTTGACAAGAAACAACGTAAGATGAATGAGAAGTTCCTTGACGATTCAGAGAAGAGGCAGAGTTTTGGTCGAGGGAAAAAAAAAGGAGGAAGGAGAGAAGGAGGAGGGGAAAAGGAAACGCAAGGAGTTGGTGGTTGCAGTCCGTCAATAATAGTAGTAAGAATAGCACAATGGAATGCTCTTGTCAGCCGGCGCTGCAAGTCGTGCTAGAAGGAAAATGTCCGTTCTATTGCTTTAGACGGTATGCTTGCAGATGATACACTGCGGTCAAGTACTGAGGAAGTACCTGGGTGTCTCTCCGGGTCATTTGTGCTTTTTTGGTTATTTTGTTCCTTTCAGCTTTAGGGCTAAGGAGAAAGGGAAGGGGGGAAGAGGGAGACATTAAAGAATCCAAATGCCAACTGAGTGTGACCTTCTTATCGCAGGATTTCCTTGGACAAAAGCATCTTCTCCCCTTTCCCTCTTTCTCTTCCTCAACCCCGTCATACCGCCCCATACCTTACGGGGCCCATACGAGAACTCCAGTTGGGGCGTGGGCCCGAGGATTGGCGGACACTTCTTGGGCCCGCTTGAGATTGCACCGGGAGGATCCGGGGCCACCAGCCCTGATACCGCATCTTCTGTTCCCTTACCGTATCGGAGGTACGGCATGTGTACCTCCAAAGTATCGATCGGGCTTATCGCTGCATCAGTGCATCAGAGTCTGTCCAAGGTACACCATTCTCCGGTGCTAGTCGTACAGAATGAACTGACGATGATCATGAGTAAATCACTCACTAGCTGATCAGCATGGCTCCCCTCCCCTCCCCTCCTGCCCTCCCTCCCCGCAGTCCGATCACTGTCTAGCTCTTCTTCCCCTCAACAACCGACAGCTTCACAGTCCCGAAGACTACATACAGTACTATAGTACCGGTTACCCTGCGATACCCGCGCAAACCTCTCTCCTCCGACCAAACCCCCTCCCCAAGACTTCCACATACTTCGATGCGATGATGTCAATGGTCTTTCAGCCCACAACCCAGGAATAATAACATTTCCTTGGTCTCCGGCTCATCGAGCAAACGAATTCCACTTGGGTCTCGAATCCACCGATCGACGGACATATCAAGGCTGGTGCCTCGTGCCCGTGCGCCCGCCCCCCGCGCCTGCAAGGTTTGGCTGCAAAACTTGGTGAGGGCAGGAACCCTACGGTTTCTCTGGTCGAACTCTGGTACGCGATAACTCGGCCATGACCACCGCACGTGGGCATCGGGCACTGTACATGCGCCGTGGGGATGTATGCTGACTGGCTGAGTGACTGGCTGGTTGCCTGTCTTTCCACCCCTCCATGAAGAAGAGACGGAGGGGTGACTGCCAGCCATCCGAGGTCGTTGTCGTAAGTAGTATCCTTCGGAGTGTAAGTGGTAATTTGAGAGGGTTCCTTTTGGTCGAGGTTGCCTCAATCTCCTGGCGCGAGTTCTAGGCTTGGGTCAACGTGATTCTAGAGAATCATCTTATTGAATCGTCTCGACGAACCTACCTTTCCGCTCTGCAAAGCCTGTTGAAAAATCTCTCATCGTTGCAACATCCCACCGAACTTACTGTTAGCGAGTCTCCTCTATTGTGCGCTGACTACATAGTTCATCGCGAGCTTAAATGTCAGGTTTGGGTAGTGGCTAGCAGATCCAAGGTTGGAGGCTGATCCCGCCGCAGGATGTCACAAAGATGGTCGCTCTCCATAGGCCCTCCGTTGCATGCGATGCATTGCATCTCTTTCATTTTGCTTCAAAGAAGTATGAAACTCGTCCACTCAATGTAACAGAAACGACACGACACTTACAGTCCCTGTCATGTAATGTCAGATAAAAATAGTAAGGCAAATAGTCTGAGGATGGATTGACATACTATAAGAGGGTAAGACATGTCAATCATCCACCAGACTAGACCATCCCTCACGCTAAATTGACACATGTCCCGTTCTGAAATGGACTAGGACTATAAGGAGTTATTCAGACTCCATACATCTGATGCATGCTCTCCCCTTTATCCCTACTGCGCTAAGGAGGGTTGTTTACTGTGTAATTATGCTCACCGAATAGAATAGTCAAGTCAAGCAAGGCCTTCTGCGAAACAATATTCAGTAGAAATCATGCATGACGACAACGTAGAGATCAGATCAGGATGAAACTGCAAATTGCGACACCAAAGCCTCAAAGTGCTAGATGGTTTACCAGTCATAGTGGTTTCATAGCAATCGGCCTCGCTGTCCATCCTCGGCCGTATCACCTCGTCCTTTGCACCATGCAAGCAAGAATGCATAGTCTGAAAGAGCCAATCTTAGCGGCTCTACGGGTTTGCCCTGTATGATAACATGACATCCAGCCGATGCCTTTCGATATACGATGCAAAAATACATATTTGGCACCCGTCAACCAGCCAAAACTTCAAGCCACCGCATTCCCAAGCGCCAACTGGACGATCCATCACGGCTGCCTTATACCGCCTTCGAATTCAGGCATCACATTTTCGCGGCGACGTCATCTGACCGGACCGTCATCCGCTTCCGATCTTATCGGCCTCACATCCGAAAAGCACTTCTCCAACTCGTTCCCACTTTTCGGAAATCAGCCTGTCTCTCTATCTGCCTGCGGGGTTAGAGCACCCCCCCCCTCCGATGCGACCAGACAGAAAAATCGCCTATCATATTGCAAATCATGCACAAGAGACACATTGTTCTTCAGCTTTTGCCGCTCAATGTGTGCTTGCCGATCGGTGGTGCGGGCGAGCATCATCCACCCGACGGGAACAATACTCTCTCGGAATGGGACCCGGACGACAAACCCACCGTAACCGTCAAAGTAAAGCTGCTTTCTCTCTTTCAATTTAAACTCGTTGCCGAAGAATCGCCTTTCTGGCGGGGGTCTTGATCTACATATATCTGGGTCCGGTTTCCCGTCCCCTCCATCAAAAACTGGGAGTTCTCTTCTTCTTCTATTGTGGCTGATCCCAGAAAACGTACTTTCTCTCCAGCAAGTATTGCCAAGTATCGTCGGTCCGTGCTTGAGAGAGGTTACAATTGCATGCAACTGTTAAAGAAGAGTATGGCGGCTACTTCGGATAATGGCGCACAGTACTCGCCGGTGCGCGAGGCGGGGCGCATCTTCAACCATCTCTGCGATCAGGCGGAACGGCTGAGTCTGCCTGCGGAGGTAGCGGAGCGCAGGGACGCGGTATCGTTCACTTCCACCCACGACGAAATCTACTACCCGATTCCGTTCAAGGAGACCGAGACGTTGGCTGCGTTGAAGGGTGTGGAGGGCGCAGTCGCCGGCGCCATCGCGGATCTGAGGTATGGGCCTTCGGGTCAAGCGCGGAATGTCAAGGTGAGCCTTGAGCGGGCGACTGCATTTGGGTGCCAGGCGTATATGGCCAAGGTGGATGGCTTGTCCAAGCTGGATCCGGAGGTGAAGAAGAAGCTGAAAGGTGGGAGACTTTTTTTCTCACTCAACAACGGCGTCAATGATTGTGTGCTGATGGTAGTAGATACGGACTTGCTCGCTGCTCAGTCGAACGGCTATCGTCGGATGTCGGCGAATCTCTACAAGACCAAGAACAAGGACGAATATTTCCACATTCATGGCTCCCTTGAAGCTACGACGACGCTGAACATGATTGGTCTGGAGGGTCAGCGTCCGGATCTGACTGATTATGAGGAGATCATCAAGGTGATTGAGAGTCATGTGCAGAAATACACCGCTGCAGAGTTAGAGGAGATGAACAAGGAGAAGAGGCAGGCTGGTGTCACGGCGCTCAAGTACGAGGACTTCATTAATACTCCACATGTACAAAGCCCCAGTCCTTCCTAGAGGGTACCTTGATGCTGACATCTGTCTGCTAGGGCAAACTCAACGTCCAGCAACCCCCATGGAAGGTGACCCGTCTGAGCGGCGACTTGGCCCCTACACCTTTCCCTGCCAGTCGCAATGGCAGCAAGAGAATCCTCGAAGGCGTCAAAGTCCTGGAGCTGTGCCGCATCATCGCCGGTCCTACGGTGGCGCGTATTTTGGCCGAATATGGCGCCGATGTTCTCAAGATCACCAGCCCCAAGCTGTCTGATGTACCCTTCTTCCAGGTCGACGGTAACATGGGCAAGCACGCTGCTGATCTCGATATCAAGACCGAGGAGGGTCGACGTCAATTCGAAGAGCTTTTGGCTGATGCCGACGTCCTCGTCGACGGATACCGCCCGGGAGCTCTGGAGAAACTAGGATACGGGCCTGATGCGCTGGCCACATTGGCCGAGAAGCGCGGCAAGGGAATAGTGGTTGTGAATGAGAACTGCTTTGGATATGAGGGCGAATGGGCTGGCCGTCCGGGCTGGCAGCAGATCGCCGACTGCGTAAGTTGCTTTCGTTCCAGTTGCAGACTCATTGCTGATTTGCGTTGCAGGTGAGCGGCGTTGCATGGGCGCAGGGCCAGTTCATGGGTCACTCGACTCCAATGGTCCCCCCGTTCCCCATCTCCGACTACGGCACCGGCTGCATGGGAGCGATTGCAGCATTGACAGGTCTCTACCACCGGGCCAAGCAGGGCGGTTCCTACCACGGCAAAGCCTCGTTGATGCATTATGACTTGCTGCTCTTCGCAGTCGGCAAATACTCCGACACCGTCCAGGAGAAGATGCGCGCGGCGCAGCCCCCAGAGTTCTTCAAGCTGCGGCACTGCGACAGCGTGGACCGGATCTCCTCGACTGTACTGAAGATCATGCAGGCTCGGTTCCCCCACCTGTACAGGGCTCCGGAACAGGCGGGACAGGAGGCACTCACTGAGCTCTGGTACTCCAAGGCTTATGGAGCGGACATCGAAATCGTCCGGCCCATCACGGAGATCGATGGCGTGGAGAACAAGTTCATCCGGGCCAGCCGGCCCAATGGCGCGGATTGCGCGAGCTGGGAGGATTTCAAGAAGCCAGAGGAGGATTTCCGGAAGATTTAGATGTTGAATCGAAGAGTTTGTACATAGCCAATGCACTGTATATTCTGAAGTGGAGGCCAGTACGTACTAGTATAGCATCCACGCCAGCTCGAAGACTAAACGCCCCTACACATACAATTCTAAAGACGTTCCGGGGGAGAACCCCCGGACCCCCCTTCTTTTCAGCTTCCCAGCAACCGTAAATTTGGAAGACACGGACCTAAGAATCCGTTCTCCTTGTGCACGGGCAAGGACACCGCGGATGAGACCTCCACACATCGTATCGGATGTCCGCCCATCGGATAACCAGCACTCATCGGCCCGATCATTCTTCAACGGAGTAGTCAACTTACATCTCCAGCTTGACATCATCTCCACCCGGAACTCAATATAACCATCTAACACGAACAAACCCATAAACCATCAACAAAACCAAACCCAAACCCACACCCATCCACACACAAGAAAACAATGACCTACCAAATAACCACGGAGGGCACCCTCAGCCCACCAACCGCCCCGGGCATCATCTCCTTCCTCGAATCCTTCTACCGCACCAGCGACACCGAATCCGCCCATGAGCAATACGTCCAGAACTTCACGGAAGACGCCACGCTGATCATGGGCCCGAAGGTCGCGAAGGGGAGGGACGGTATGTTTCTACCTCTAGCCACAATCCCAATCTAATCCCAACTAAACGAATCACTAACAAACGGGGGGGGGAAAAAAAGAAATCCTCCCCCTCCGCCACAGCCTCTGGACGCACGTCGCCTCGCGCAAACACACCCCGGAGAAGGTGTATTTCGGTGGCGACCGCGAGGTAATGCTCTACGGGACCGTGAAGTATGTGTTGCGGAATGATCCGGGAAATGAGGTGGAGGTGCCCTGGGCTGGACGGGTGGTGTTTGATGAGGAGGAGAGCGCGGGGTTGAGGATGCGGTTTTATCAGGTTTATTTGGTATGTTTCCTTTCTTCCCTTTTGGAAGTGTAGTTGGGTGGGGTTGGGTGGATGAATGAAGCGTGGCTAATGCTTCGGTGGTGCTTGTGTAGGATCCTAGTGCGCAGTCTGGGAGGAAGTAGATTTGAGGGTTTCGTTTGAGGGTTGATCCTGGATTGTTTATAGCTGGGTGCAGGAAGATATTTAGAATCTAGACCTGGGACTTCAGTTCCTTGATGTGCTTAGTTGATGTTGTGTGGTTGATTCTCATCGAGTATGCTGGTACGCCAGACCTTGGAAAGAACCTAGATTAAAAGGATGCACATGTCTAAGATAATTGAGACGACAATTAAGAAAACGGCTGCAGCATGCAGGAGCCATTGTCATCCAGTTCTCACAGTGGCTAAGACGCAAGGCTTGCTACCTCAGACTGACACCCTCCTACCCGGGGGCTGCCAAAGTGCTTATTCCATGCAACTCGGTCCAGACTGCTGTCTACGCATGGCTCGAGCGTACGACGCACTGACTGGTGCCCAAATCGCAAGATATCCTACGTAAGATCTTCTACACTACACCCTCTAAGATCGAAATCAAACGGAAAAGGAAAAGATTGTTCACTTGCAAATGCCCGGCATGAACAACTGAAATTCGAGGGTGTGAGGGTGGTTTAGGACAAAATAAGAAAAAACACATGATTCAGTTCATCCTCTCCCATTGGTTGGTTGTCTTTGTCTTTGTCTGTCATCTCGAGTGCCTCATGCCCACGCTTCAAATCCGATAATCGAATTTCCAATGAAATCTGGCCTGTCCCTTGTATCTGCCCAGAAGAAAAGAACGTCCGGGGTAGACGTAAGGTGATATGTTGAACCCAACCAGACACGTCCCTCCCCTCCCTAGATCTTCCCTTTCATTCCTCACTCACACATAGCGACAAAAGGGTTCAAAAGAAGTGAATAAAATGTAGAAAGAAGATGGAGGGAGAATAGAGGGAGAGGAGAAAAGAGAGAGGGGTAACATCAGGACTTTTTCATTATTTTAAAATCGAAATCCAGCGGGACTAATTTACTCCTCGTCCTCCTCCTCCTCGTCAACGGTGGTCTTGGCGATACGGTCAAGATCACGCTGGCCGCTCTGGGTGATGCGGCGGCCACCCTTCTCCTCGTCGTGCTCAAGGACACCGATCTTCTCGAGGGACTGGAGGACCTTGCGGTCGACGGAGCCGGAGGCATCGACGTGGTGGTTGGGGCGGGAGCCGCGGTTCTTGACGGAACCGTGGACCTTGCGGAGACGGCCAACACCGACGGTCTTGCGCATGTAGATGTGGCGGGCGACGGCAGCAGCGCGGACGTAGTACCTGTTTGGAAATTCAGGTCAGAATCTCTGGAATTGCGAGGTCTTGAACTGGGTGAGTTGATGGTCGTACCAGTCGGCATCCTGGGGAGGGAGCTCGTTGGAAGCGGAGGTCTTGACAGTGTCAACCCATCCTGTAAGAAAAACAGATTAGTCCCTGATCAAATCCCTCACGCCTTTGACCCTGGCGCATTGCGACAGGTTGGTGTTGTGGTGAACGAACCAGGAATGGGGAGCTTTCCCTGACGCTTCAAGAACGCAGAGTAGGCAGCGATGAACTTCTGCGCCTATATCATCGAAAAGAACTCGTTAGCCTGATCACATCCCCCAGATTTTCCTATATCATTGCAGGTGGAGTCTGTCTGGTCCGTGTGCATTTCTGGCATTCTATGGCATGGCAAGGGCACGGCAATTGTCGAAGAGTCGTTCGCGGGGCGATCGGTCGCTAGTCTCGAGTCGCAGAATCCTTGGGGATCTGTAGTTCGTATATGATGCTCAATGTGGACTGCATTACATTGATTCACCGTGATCGCGGGGAATCGTTCCATTTCCTATCCGTGGTAGTTCGTAGATTGTCCAAGTGTGGTAGTTTCCCCAAGCAGGGAAAAAAACCACACAACCGTGCTGTGCTGTCTGTCCAATATATCGCCCAGTCGTTCAATCCATGCCCATTCATTATCCCATCGAAAATCGCATTGCGTATTTGTCGCGGGCATTTATCGAGAGAATTGCTGCCGGGTTATGTGTCCGATGGCCCTTGTTCTTTGCCTGTGTGCCCTTTTTTGTTGCCATGCCATATCGTGCCATCCATGCTCGTCCCCTCGAACCGACAAATTCTCCCCATCATCAACAAGGAAGCGACTTACGTCGACATCGCGAACGGTGACACCACCCATTTTTGCGACTTGTGGACCTCGAACGGGGAAATCGAAGAGGGAGCTGAAGAGAGGGACGAGGTGGGAGGATGGGTCGTCGTTGTCGTCGTTGAGAGTCGGTCAGGTTTCAAGCCTCGAAATTTCGGATTCGCACACAACATTCGCGCTCGTAGTGCCTCTCGGTTGGCTGTGGGCGCTTCGCTTAGCCTGTTCGGGACTAGCCGTACCCTAAGGGGCGGGTGCCTGAGGCTGACATATCAACTTCGTTGCTATCCGGAGTTTGTTAGCCTCAGGCAGATTATCATCGGTGCCTGATCTACTACTTTCTGTCAATGCCAGATTTAACTCGACTATCCACTGTCGCTACGGAGTACGAAACACCTCGGCAGGCTGATTAGCAACTCATATTTGTCATTAGGTAACAGCATGCAAACTCTATTATGTTACAGAACCTATGAAAACGCCTCACTGTACAGTCTAACTATGGTATTCCTTGTCATCAATCATCAATCCCATTTCCTAGCGCCAGTAAAATCAGATTCACAACACGTTCTCAGAGCGTGGGCGCTCGCTTCAGCCCAACACAGTATCGCACAAATAGGGTATCAATAAAATGTTCGTGTCGGATGCCCGGAGGACGCTGTCGTTCGAACTCCTCGAGCGCTGCAGGAACACAGTATCCGCGCCGTTCGATCAGATAGCTGACAATCAGAAATCCCGTGCGATTGAATCCATAGTGACAGTGAACTCCAATAACTGGACGTGAACCTTTCTGGTTTTCGGACTTCTCCATCTTCTCAGTAATCTCATTCTGCAACCGATCGATCAAGGCGATGAAGTCTCGAACCTCATCCGGCGTTGGAGGTATCTTCGACACCGTTGGATGTTTATGGTAATGAATCCCGCCCTTTTCCATCGAGGCTGGGTTGTACACCGGATTCTCGTAGCTAATATCGACCACGGCATAAATGCGGTCGCGGTAGGTCTGCGAGAACAAGACCGGATTGTGTTCCTCATCGACCTCCCGCAGCATCTTCATAGCCACGAATGTATCGGCAATGCGTTGTGAGACTGGCTTTACCTTCTTCCACTTCGCCAGGTTCTTCACGTCCCACTTGCCGGAGGTGTTCAGATGTTGTAACTGCCATCCCATGCTGAGACGGTGATCAATGTGTTGGTTGAGGAAATCTTGGATGATTCCGGCCAAAGTACGATAGGTTGCACGATCGTAGATCAAAGCATGTGATGCTGGCGCCGGAAGAATGACAGTCTTCACAGCACGCCGGTGCGGGTTCGCTTCACCCCTCTCACTTGTCAACTTCTTCTCGCTAACCTGCACCTCGAGTCCAAAGCTCTCCTCGTGTGCCCGATGGTCGTAAGAAGCAGGCTCCTTGTCATGTATTTGGGAGGCATCGGGAATCGAGGAAAGGGCACCCGCGCCATCGTCAACGCTGCGACCGCTTTGGCCGAAAAATTCCAGAATCTTTTGTAGCTCAATGGGCTTTGTCACTGCATCAGCCTCACCAGCCACGAGGAGTACAGGAACCTCCACCCCCGCCCACACTGCCTCACCGGGGATACCCCCGACGGGGTTACCAGACTTATCGTAGGCAGGGAGCGTTCCCCAAGCCATCCGCCTCCACACCGGGGTTTTGCTCTGCTTGTTGTATCGTACTTGAAGCTCCCTCGTATCGGGGTCTGCTGCCGCACCCACAAGTCTGTTGACACTGCTACTGTGCAAGCCACCACGTCGGTCCCAGTAGCGCCAAAGATCGAATATCGGACTGGGGATCTGGAGTAGGCGACGGAATTGGGCAACTTCATGAGGAGGTGGCGGCGTTGCACGGGGGCAGGCGGCAACGAGTCCCAGAACATGCTCTTTCAAACCAGAACCGATCTGAGAGGTGGAAGACGCTAATAGCGCAGACAGCGAGCAGCCCAAACTATGGGCGATCAAGACCACGCCTTGACCGGCTTCTTTGTCACGGTGTTGCTCGATAGCTGTCGCCAACAGCTCTGCCAACGCATCAACGGTATATGCATCCCAGGAGTCCGGCTTGAATGGCGACAACCCGCATCCAGGCAGGTCAATACCGAAGCAAGGCCCAATATTGGACAGGCTCGTCAGGAGATGGTTGAACTGTGCCAAAGACCCACCCAAGCCATGTACAAAGACCAATAGCGGAATTGGGGTAGGCTTGGTGGGCAGCTTGTCCATCTGTGGATGAGGTCGATTGAAGGTCCTGATAGACGGATAGGTCGCGATGGATGTTGTGTATGAGAGGTATGTCGAGTGCTTCTTCAAAAGACCCGGGTCCGTATCATGCGCTAATTGTAACCAGTCAGTCAGGAAGAGAGCAACCAAGATATGGGGTCACTCACCGTTCTCGGTCTTTTCATGATGCTGAGGCGCTTCCCGTTTCTCTAGCATAGTGTCATCGGGGCCGAAGCGTAGGGAACCAGTACTGTCATAGTCCTCATCTTCCGAAGAAGTCACAGTACCAGCAGAGCGTTTGGAGTAGTCTTTGCGCAGAGCGCGGCGAAAGCGCTTCTTGGCTGGAGTAGCTCCCCAGCCCTTTCGCCGCAAGAACGAAGTGATGTACCCACAGCCGACCATTGTGACGATGCAGGTAGTCAGAAACACAATTTTGCCCCAATTCAGTGATCCATCGCAACGAGAGACCTGAAGAAGATGATAGAATGAGACGAAAGCGCCCGATTGAGAGATTGTAGAGTAGACCGTGTCCCAGATACGCAAATGCGCACCAGCTTCCGCGATACCAGGGCGGAATGTGGTAGGGGAAGTCGGAGGTGCGATTGAAGATTCCATCCCCAACGAGGGCAGCCGCCACGGCGAGGCCACCGAGACTTATATGGCTAATGATTTGACGAGAAGCAAAGGGTCACTCAGCCCCCTGTAGAACCTCTTCCACCCGCTCACCGTCCTTCCAAGCCCCTACGCCCAGTTCCGGGGATCCCCTGCCGACTAGTGTCCAGACCAAGAATCGGGAGTGACGAAGATCCGTTCTGGAATGCGAGTCGAACCGTCCACGAGCCAAAAGAAAAGCACCTCCTTGGCAGCTAGCCCGTATTTCCGGGTCGATAGTGAGGCAAAGAAGCGGGTCGATCGAGGCAATCACCGGCCGTAAAGCGAGATAGATCCGCGCTACAGACCTGCGCCGGTTTGAAAGGCTGTCTGAGGTAAGGAGCGAACCTAAGCCGCCGTTCTTAGTAGCTACTTTAAGTGCACCCCCAAGTGCGGATGCACCAATGAGAGTCTGGCACCCAACACGTTGGTCTGCTGGCTGGGTTTAGGCACCGCTGGAGGATCTGACAGCTCCACCGGTCTCTGATGAAATCAAGCAAGGAGTGGTACTCGTATATCAGGGGGCTCTCGATGACGACAAGATTCTCAAATGCTGGGTTGACGAAACCAAACGAGGAACCGACGGGTCATATGGGACTATGCGCTGTTCCAACGGGTCGCAATGTATCGATAGGTCCTTTCGTCGCAACTAGTCAGCGAGTACGGTTAGTCAATGTGCCGAAGTGAGCCCAGTGGCCAGTTACACAAGGTACTGGAGGATGTATAGAAGCAGAATTGCAAGGTATCGCAAGTTGGCGGAAGTGACATACTCTTGCGTAGACAGCACAGGCGATCAGACTCGCGACACCACTCGCCGATTGCGATCCGAACTTTAACCAGAGGGACCAGATGCAGGCTAAACCGCGGAGCGGGAGTCAGGTTAGGAGGTTAGAGGTACGGAGAGAAACTCAGTACTCGGCGGAAGCCAGCATGGAGTGCCAGACGCAAACGGGCCTGTCAGAGGCTCGGGGGCAACACCGTGGAGGATCTCGGGGCGATTCTTGTTTGTCGCAAATTTGCCGGCGATGATTCACATCCACTCATGTCGTCACGCTGCATCCCGTAATCTGACTAAGCACAGAGGAATGCCTGAGGGATGCGGCACTAAAGGGTCAGGCCATTGCGATCCTCCGGGGTATCAGCCTGCCCCGACCTTCCTTCAAGGGATATTCTCTAAATCGAAGTTTCAAATCTATTATGCAGGTGCCTAAATTTAACAGCCCATGTGGGAAGCTAGGGGCTTGAAGGACAACCAGTGTACGGAGCAGAATGGCTCGAATAGGCGGGATCATTGGAATATGGCATAGTTCTTTTGCACACTCGCATTTCCTCAATCCGAAAATTATCTTACACAGCAGCAAGAAAAATATTGAAGTCATTTTAGGTCGTTCCAGGCCTAGAAAAGGTCCGTCATGGCTCCGTGGGAAGCATCTCCAACAAGTCGCGCATACTTGGCCAACACACCCCGTGTGGCATTGGGAGCCGGAGGCTTCCACTCTTTGAGCCGGTGCTGAATCTCCTCGTCAGAAACATCCATGCTGATCTCGTTTGTTTCCGCGTTGATAGTGATGACATCGCCGTCACGGACCACAGCGATCGGCCCCCCAGCAGCGGCTTCAGGGACAATATGACCGACAATAAACCCGTGACTTGCTCCAGAGTACCGTCCATCCGTAATGAGGGCCACGTTGGTAAGTTTGGCTCCCATGAGCGCAGCACTGGCTTTGAGTTGCTCTGGCATTCCTGGTCCACCCTTAGGACCTTCGTGACGAACCACAATGACAAGGTTTTCGCCGCGAGGGATTTTTCCTTGGTCCAAAGCCTCGTTGAGGGAGTGTTCCTTGTCGAATACCCGTGCCTTGCCGACGAAATGAGTCCCCTCCTTGCCAGTAATTTTAGCCACTGCACCCCCGGGAGCAAGATTACCTCGAAGAATCTGAAGATGTCCGGTCGACTTAATGGGATTGCTGAGAGGTCGAATAATGACTTGATCTTCTGGCAGTGATGGGAAAGAAGCCACATTCTCAGCCAACGTCCTGCCAGTCACCGTGAGAATGTCACCATCGAGCAGGCCTGCTGCAATCAATAGCTTCTGGACTGACGGAATACCTCCGATATCGTACAGATCCGCCATGTAGTACTTTCCACTGGGGGCAAGATCAGCGATAAAGGGGATTTTGTCGCTGACCCTCTGAATATCATCCAAGGTAAGATCGACACCGGCTGTCCGAGCCATAGCAAGGAAGTGGAGGACACCATTGGTACTGCCGCCCAAAGCCATGGTCATGACAAGGGCATTTTCGAAAGAGCGTTTGGTCAACAGATCCCTCGGCCGGATATCCTTTTCCATGCAGACCTTGATAGCTTCCGCCGCTTTGACACATTCCCGCATCTTGGATGGAGAAGAAGCAGGAGTAGAGGAAGAGCCCGGTAGCGAAAGACCCATAGACTCGATTGCTGTGGCCATCGTGTTGGCTGTAAACATGCCTCCACACGCTCCGGCGGTGGGACAGGCATGTCTTTCCAGGTCATCCATGATCTCGTCTTTAGACTTGCTAGTATCGCCTCCATCGTCCGGCTGCCGCAGGGTGTCGTACACGTAAGCACCAGCGGCTTCGAAGCAGGAAGACACGTTGATGGGCTTTCTCAGAAGATTGGAATAGCCAATTTGAATGGTGCCACCATAAATCATGAGCGAGGGGCGGTTGTGTCTAGCCATGCCCATCACTACACCAGGCATGTTCTTATCACATCCGGGAATGGCAATGCAGGCATCATGATATTGGGCGCATGTCACGGTCTCGACACTGTCGGCGATCAATTCGCGGGTTTGGAGAGAAAATCTCATGCCTGATCTTCGGTTAGCAACGGTTTTGTAGATAGAGGAACCCTGACTGGCACCCACCTTCACTGCCCATGGTGATTGCATCCGACACACCAACCGTGTTGTACTGCCACCCGATCATACCCTGATCCGTGATTGCCTTCTTCACCGTCTTGCCCAGGTCCAAGAGATGCATGTTGCATGGATTGCCTTCCCACCATACAGACGCAACTCCGACTTGAGGACTTTTCGTCATGGCATTGTTGTCAGGGATGCCTGCCGCATAGAGCATTGCCTAGATTGAACCTGGTATAAGCGATCGCTGCCATACTGTGAACAAGTTGAAACTGGATAAACAAACCTTTGCACCAGGGAAATCATGGCCTCTCGTGATGGTTGAAGACCATCTGTTCAGGACAGGAGTGCCATCCTCATGCTTTGTTCCTGCTGGGAGAGCGGGAAAGTCAATATATTTGGCTTCTTGGAGAGTGGACTGGGAGGGGTCCATGATGCTGTTAAGCGAAGCTAGATTGAACCAGACCAATGCTTTAGCGATATCGACACGGAAACCTCCGAGTTCTACTTGGAGATGAGCGTGAATTTCAGAGAGCAGAGCACGACTTTAATGCAGAAATAACCTTCGTGCTGCCGGCTCAAGGTCATGAGGGGGAAAGCCCCTCGATCGGAAGTGCGGCGACCCCGCCATCGGCGAAGTGTCCGAAGTGTGTGGGGGACGACAACAACCCATCCTCCACCGGTAATCGGAATCACTCTGATTGTGATTCGAAGATTGCTTCGGCCAAGTGGGTCTCCCGGGCAGTTCATTCAATACTCGCTTGTACTCAAGATAGAGTGTAGACATCCGCGCAGTCTGATAAGATCACACATCCGTGGATGTTTCTTACAATACAAAAGCATGCTCATGCTAAGAAAATGATGACTTGGGTTTCCTTGATAGGTTCGCATATGTGCATGAGTCCATTTAACTAGGTGCAGCAAGACTCGATGTTATGTACTGTACTGCTGGGGTATCTTTCAATTGTAGCTAATTCAGCGGCACTGCAGTGGACTTTCGTCAGCTCACAGCACTTCTTACATCCTCTTAAAACGCTCAATTCGCGCCTTCTGGCTGTTCATTATCCAAATCGGGAACAGAGCCCTTCTCAATCGTAGACCAGTGATCAGAATCTTGCATCACTTCATCTGATGATAACTCACGCGATGCGGTTGTTGGGTCAACATGCCGCTCTTCCTCCTCCTCACGATGGATGCTGTTCGTGTCTGCATTGCCATCTATAGCGAACCCCACAATCTTCCCCGAGCTTGATTGCGGTCGAGTGTCTTCCAGCACATCACCATTCCATGGTTTGCACTTCTTGACAACCTCCCCGCATCGTAGACAAACCCAGCCTTCTCCTTCCTCGGCTTCCAGCTTCTGTACGAGACATACGAAGCAATATATACAGCCACAAGGAATTGCCTCATACGGGTTGGCGATATCAGTCTGAGCCGATCCGATAATTCCCCCAGACGAAGCCGAGGCTGCAATGGCGTCGCTTTCGCTTGCGGCGGCAGGGTTGTTCTCCTTGTAACAGATCGCACACGTTCGTTCTGGAAGGAACCCAAGCTCCCCCTGTTTGCCGGCAACCTCATCGTCCTCATTCCCAGACTTGAGTGCTGATAATGTTTTCTTCCATAGCCTAGAGAGCCATCTGCGCCATCGACTTATGCCAACAAGGGGCAGAAGAAAGAGCAAAAATTCTGTGAATGCGTGCCAGACAAGTTGTCGGTTCAAGTATTCAAAAGACACCTCGCGGCTTGCTTGTGCAGACGGCGGTATTAAACGTATGCGTAGTATACGGTCGACTAATGTTCGGTAACGGCCGTTGACCAAGAACACTAAGAATGAGATAAATGCGGCGATCGAGTGGGTTGCGGAGACGAGATCGGTCAATCGCGACAGCATCCGTACCTCTCGCGATGGCTAAAATGATGAGCCATGTTCCAGGTCAGAGACCGAAGAGGATCAGCAACTCACCTCGTCATAGCCACTCTCTTGGTTGATCAACCAGCTTTCCCACTTTCCCCAGGCATAGCGACCGCCAACGGTGAGAAGACCATACAAAGATTTCTGCCACTTGGTAGGGGCTGAGTGAACAGGTCCTTTGCTGCGACTATCGATGTATTTCAAATTTTGTAGCGCCGCACCGTATGAGGCATCATGATCCCAAATCGAGAGCTTGAACAGGGCTGCACGCAGAACGAACTGGATCTCATGAGACCAATCTTCACGCATTGAAGGCTATTGAGATTGGTGGTCAGTACCTGCCAATAGTTTTCTTGAAAACAGTTGAATGGCAGAACGAACCCCACAGTATTTCAAAGCATCTCCAACCTGTCCTTTAAGCAAGCCCAGCAACTCCTCATCCAACAGCTCGGCGTCCACCTGGCCGACGCGATAAGCAGGTCTCAGACCTTCGCGACCCCTTATAGCATTCCATATCGATATTCCCGACGCGGGTAGTTTGTTGAGAGGGTACGGGAGTCTTTGGAGTGCGGCATGATTGAGAGAGGATGATCGTTGCTGTTCGGCAAGCCTGGAGCGCGTTTCGGCCTCACGAAGACGGCGACGTTCCAAAACCCGCTCCTGAGCAGCGGCGAAGTTTGTGGAACTCATTGTGAAATCATCGTTGAAAGTCCTTGGTTGAGAGGTAGAGAGAAGAATAGATCTCGTCAACGTCGCTCGATGGTTGCGCAATGTCCAGGAAAGTCCTGAATGTCGTATCGGAGGTGATCATACTAGCGAGGGAAGTTACTCGTCTCGTCGCTCGGCTCCCCGACCGGAAGGGAAATTGCCGAGGATGGAAATTGCGCACGTGACCTCGACGGGAAGATAAGCAAATGCCATGTCAGTCGAGCTTCGACAGTTCCGAGGCACTTTTGAGGTTTATGAAGTTTTTGTTCCATTCATTGATCTCTTTTGTGTATTCATCCCCATTAATCTTGCTGAAATTCTCGCGTTGACTTGGAGGCTTGAAGTATAGAAAAAAGAAAAGAAAAGCAAACCACTCGAGTGCCATCTCTTGCAGGCCAGAATAAATCTTCGAAACAGGTCTGAAATAATATACAGTTGACCAATTAGATCGGTTAGTTAGGGCTCATGAAGACAAGAGGGGAACGATTTTCTCTTTCCGGAGATCTCGATGGTCGTCGCATCTTAGTCCTAACTGTGTCTTCAATGATAGATACAGAGGACTCAAGCTCTTCATTGCCCTGTATGGCGTAGAACCTACACGTGCACCGCTTGAACACCATTGCAACTAAGTGTTAACCTGAGCCAAGGATAACAAGGATAGGGATTTGTTTCCTCCTGAGGGCAAACGGCCTTGGGCAGATGATCAAAAGGTAGGAGCCCGGCTTGGAGATGCAGCCATCCATGTAGCCAAATTCTTGTCCCGGAGTTGACCGGCGAGAGCTAGAGCTCTTGTTAGACTTGGCATCCTGTGTTGACTCTCTATTTACATTTGCTCCGAAGTTGGTTGGTCGATTCTCAGTCAGGCGAAGGATGTCGAGTCAGGGCTGGGCTGGGCTATGGTATAAGCGATCCTGTAGGATGGATAGTAGCGACCAGTGATATGAAGGTAGTTGAAGCAGCAGCCCTGAGGATGCAGGACAGGCTCATTCACTGAAGACTCACAGAGCCAGCCACAGGCGCACGTGCTGCGGGAGGCCGCCAATTTTACCCCACCAACAGGGACTCGCTAGCCTGGATCAGGGACTAGTCTGTGGAGCAAACCCAGTCGGCCTTATACGAACCATAGGTATGCCCTTCTCCATCTTTTCGAGGAACGTGGTCAAGAAAACCTGTGAATCCATGTTCTTAATTATCCTATGGCTCTGTCCTTTTTTTTTTCCAAACCAATCACTGGCTGCTTGGTACCCTGTCATTCCATCCTGGAATGGCCCACTTCGTCTGTCCTGGATGCGAGAGAGGGGTGAGATCGAACGATGTCACCCCAGCTGCCTATCAGACCAGGATCGAATGAGACTAAGGCATTAAGCAATCCGTCGAATAGAACGTCTTCTCTTGCCCGCGTGGCCCAATTCGGCTTCAATATCCAGTGTTGTACCTGTCTGATCGCTTGTTCATGCTGTGGAACTCCCTGCTATCGCCTAGGTGCTCACTCGTGGCCAGGGCACATGGCCTCGCGTGGTTCGGAGGCAATGGAATCATTCTCTCCTTCGGAAGCCTATAAATACGCGACTCAAAGCCCAGCTCTCGTTGTCTAGTTGAGCGCCTGCCCATTCTTCCATCTACCACTTCCATCCTCCTTGGTGATTGTCAAGATACCCCTGCTTCGAGGAAGGCCAATTCAAAATGAAGTCTGCTACCGCCACCCTGCTTGCAGCAGCTTCCGTGGCATATGCCCAGGTCGCCACTGTCTCTGAACCTTCTCTCACTGAGATCAAGAAGGCTGCGGCCACCATTGAACCGTATTCTCCTGTCTCGAATGTCCAAGGTCTTGCCTTCAACCGCTTCTACCAGATATGGCTGGAGAACATTGTATGTACAGATGCCTTCTTATCGCCAGGGATTTTCGCTGACCCAGGTTAAAGGACTATGAGGATGCTGCTGCGGATGAGAATGTGAAGTGGCTGGCTTCACAGGGTATTACATTGTGAGTAACCTCGAAGTATGAGGAACCTGAAGTCTCATCATTAACGGTTTGATCTATATAGGACCAACTTCCATGCGGTCACCCACCCTTCCGAACCGAACTACTGTGCTGCGGCCGCAGGTGATACTTTTGGCATGGACAACGACGACTTCCAGCAGATTCCGGCCAATGTCTCCACGGTCGCCGATCTCCTTGACACCAAGAATATTTCCTGGGGAGAATACCAGGAGCACCTCCCTTACCCGGGCTTTCAGGGATACAACTACTCGAATCAAGTCACCTATGACAATGACTACGTGCGAAAGCACAACCCTCTGGTTCTGTTCGACTCGGTTGCCCAGAACAGCACTCGTCTGCGTCAGATCAAGAACTTCACCAGCTTTGACGATGATTTGGCCAACAAGAAGCTGCCCCAGTGGGCGTTCATTACCCCCAACATGACCAACGATGCTCACGACACCAACATCACATTTGCTGCCAAATGGGAGCGCAGCTGGGTGCCACCGTTGCTCAACAACTCATACTTCATGAACGAGACCTTGTTGCTCCTTACCTTTGATGAGGACAAGACCTACCCCAAGGGTAACAGAATCTTCAGTATTTTGTTGGGTGGTGCAGTTCCTGAAAACCTTAAGGGTACTAAGGACGACACCTTCTATACTCACTACTCCGTCATCGCATCTGTTTCGGCCAACTGGGGCTTGCCTTCCCTTGGACGCTGGGACTGTGGTGCCAACATTCTCGAAATTGTGGCCAACAAGACCGGCTATGTTAACTACGACGTTGACACCACTAACCTCCATGTCAACGAGACCTACCCTGGCCCGCTCTCTGATAATGAATACTCGAAGTACTCTTCTGTGTGGCCCGTTCCCTTGACGAATGGCACTTGCTCTGCTGGCCATGGCATCCTTGACATTGTCAAGAAGACTTATGCCAACAGCAAGCCCACTTACAACTACACCAGCCCATTCCCCTACGATACCGAATCCAAGTACAATACCGAGGTCACCGCTACCAGAAAGCAGGCCAGCTCTAACTCGTCGTCTACCTCACCTTCGGCCTCAGCTTCCGTTCATGCCAACGCTGGTAACTCCTTGATGTTGCCTGGTGTCGCCACTCTTTCCAGTGCCATTGTGGCTTTGCTTATGAGTATCTTGTAAGCGATGCAATATTGCTTTTCATGAAGCAGAACGTGTGCGTGGCTTGCTGTTGAGCCTGACAAAAAGGGTGATTTGGGCGAAACTTTTATGTACGTTATGAATGGTAATAATGAGAGTCAGGAGACGGTAGAACCTTCCAATAGCTGGTTTTATAGAATGTATGAGCTTAGACCCACGGAGAGTAGTGACAGACTTTAGCAATCTTTATGACGGTGAGATCGGCATTTTAAGAACAAAATCCAACACGGCCCAACGTATACTCAGGCCCTCGATGCGCTATGTGTGAAAATACCCTCTCCTAGCAATCGGATAATCCATTGGTTTTGAATGAAATGTAGTTGCTTAAGTCATAATTGTCAAATAATATTTGATCAATACAGCCTTCTTGGTGTACTGGACAGACCAAATTGAGTACACAATCAATAAGCCAACAAACAGCATTCATTCTCTTATCGTGTCTTGATCAGAATAGCTTTAGTTTCCAGATAGCTATCCAAGCTATGAAGATAACCCTCGCGACCGATACCACTGCCCTTAAAACCCTCCAAACGGCATGTCTTTCGTTTCGCCAGGGACGGACTGGTGCAATTTACGCCGACAGTTCCGGCCTCCAGTGACTTTGACAGTCAAACAGCCCGGTCGATGTTCTTCGTGAAGACGGACGCATACAAACCAGATTCACCATTATTCGCCTTCTTGATGACTTCCTCCTCCTTCGAAAACGTCTTGATGACCACAACAGGACCGAATACTTCCTCTTTCATGATCTGCGAGTCCTCGGGCACCTTCGCGAACACAGTGGGCCTGATAAAGTTTCCATCCTTCGCATCACCACCAAGGGTCCGCTTCAGACCCTCCTTCTCCCCAATGGCGAGATATGCTCTGACCCGCTCATACTGGACTCTATCAGCATGCGGTCCTTGATCTGTCGAGGTATTCAACGGATCGCCAAGTACAGCAGCGCCATATCTCTCCTTGAACAAACCGAGGAACCTTTCCGCCACTGTTTCATGCACATAAATACGCGAGTTCGCAATGCAGGTTTGTCCACTGAAGAGTTGCACACTGAACTGGGTCTGCGCAGCGGCGGATTCGAGGTCCGCATCATCGAAGATAATGGCGGGGGTCTTCCCCCTAGCTCCTTATGCACAGTCTTTATATTAGACTTGGCCGCAGCGGCTTGGATCTTTCGGCCTGTGAGGCTGGAGCCGGTAAAGCTGATACAGCGAATGTCCATGTGTGACGCTATCGCGTTGCCGGTTGTTGGGCCATAGCCATGGAGTATGTTCACCACGCCGGGTGGGAATCCAGCCTCGACGATCAGCTTGGCTCCCAGGCCTATCTGTAACGCATGCCATCAGTCTTGTCTGATGCGCGGTAAAGCGCGAGTGTTCTTTGGCAAGATGGAATCATACTGTTAGAGGCGACTTTTCCCTGCTCTTTAAAACAATGGTGTTTCCAGCCGCCACCGCCGGAGCAATCTTCATGGCAAAGAATGCCAGCGGCAGATTCCAAGGGATGATGGCTGCCACGACGCCGTACGGTTCCTTTACCGTGATATTGAGGTAGCCGGGGGTGTTTCTGCTGGATGAACCCTGAACTGTCCATCCTGCCTCGGCGAAATAATTAAACGTCTCAATGGCAATGCTGGAGTCGAAGTTTCGAGACACTGGCTTCCCAGTAGACAAAGCCTCCAAGCGCGCAAACTCTTCCTGATGTTCTTAGATAAGTGATGCAATCTTTCGGAGGTAAACTCCTCTGTCTGCTGGGGAGAGATCCCGCCACGCTGGGAATGCAGCCTTGGCTGCTGCAACTGCCTCATCCACGTCTGTCTCGTTGGCCTCATATACTGCAAAACATTGGTTAAGCTTGTCTATCGTTTTGGCAAAGCTTGGTTGATCCTACTTACCATCTGCCACTTTTTCATCGGTGTAGGGACTGTTCAACTCGAAGATCTTTCCATGTGATGATAGTTGAAACTGCAGACGAGGATCTCAGCTCCCCAAGCCCATCGTAATCAGAGGTCAGTCTCCTACCCTGCCATCGATCAAGAGCTGGTACTCTGGGGTTTCCTTCGAAGGGCCATTCATATTGCGAAATATAGGTCACAATGAATTTGTTGCGAGGAATGAAACTCGGAATATTTTCAGGAGGATATCTATCGTCTAAGTTACATCTTTATAATATCATCATTCTGAGGGAGTGGTAATTGTTGGTTGAGTCAGGATCACATTCAAGCCGATTCTTGGGCACAAAAATTGACCCAGTTTCAGTTAACCCTAAGTGCACATGAACGGGCTAGCTATAAACCTTGACGGTCAGTAGATACTGTGTGGCCCTTCGAATGTGTAAACATACTTTCCAGGATCCATGAGAATTACATGCAGGCGGACAAAAGTTATGTGGTTTTTACATGATTCGTGATGTATTCGTTACAAGTATAGTACAGTACATTAAATCATTTATTCAGCAAGGCCAGCACGCTTCAGATCCTGAATACCCAGAGTGTCTTGGTCGCCAGGACGACGCTCCGAGTTGAGCTTCACCTTGTCCTCAGGACCGCCGGGGCCCTCGAACGCTTCAGCGGGTGCGAGTCTATGAAGACAAATACATTAGCTTCGATGTCATGTTTAAGGAAACGCAGGAGGCCCTGCTTACCTGCCGCGGTCGTCACGGCTGCCACCCTCATCTTCAGGGATGGGTTTACGGTTGCTTCCCGTAGCATAAGCCTCGCGGCCGGTTCGGATGCCAGTCTCGAACTTTCTCTCGGCCATCTCGTCGACACCGGATTCCAAAGCTTCAACATGTCAGCAATGAGGCGTCGTTGGATGAGAGGGCAGAGATCGTACTGGAGTCGCTCTTCTTACCAAGACCCTGCTTGGCCTGGTAGGAGTTCAAGTCCTTCTCGGCTTCGTAAGCCATGCGAACCTTGTCGTTGTCGTTCATTGTGGATGATTGGTAATATAGGGATGTTTTTAAAAAAGGAGTGGGAGAGGATGATTCGTTTGGGATTGAGCTGATGGATTGAGATTATGGTTATGATTCTACCGAGCAAGTTATTTCTTGGTATATATATGCCCATCTGGACAGAGCTCTGATCAAGAGCCGTGGGAGCATTGCATCATAAGACATCATAGGTATGTAACTTCATTGCCTCGACTCTGAGCTGGAACATCTATGATGACTGATGGTCGCGACCTTGGTTATATGATATCATGTAGACTGGAGCCCTAAGAGGTTCTGTTCTGCGTCGGGACTAGCGCTCAGGGTCCGACCCTAGGGCTGACCGGAGCGGAACAATGATGTGGCGGAGCTGTCCCGCCGAGGCGGGGACGGAAGATTGCTTGAATCAATGGCTCAGGCAGGTGACCGGCTCTGAAGCTTCTCTGCTGCTTGTTGCTCATTGTCAACCTCCCCTTTCTTCCCCGCGTTATCATTTCTTTGTATACTCACAGGACAGGGCTTCAGGGCTCGACTGTACTTATCACCACCTGTCTCAACGAGTTGTTGGGGTTCCTGTTTCGGTTGAGTTTGACTTCGCGTCCAATCAAACTCCCGAAACACCACCGAGCCATTTAGTTCGACGCTTTCCATTCACCACCTTCGACTAGTCAGCTGTATTGTCGACGGCACGAGCTCTCACTCATAAGATGACTCCGATCGTCGAGTTGGCAGGGGAAGCCAACCCGCTAACTCCACAGAATGTCCTCAATGCTTTAATTCTAGCGGCGAGCTCAACCCAGCAGCAGGTACAGACGGGTACCCAACAGCTCCAAAATTGGGAGAAACAGGAGCTGTACTACACATACCTTCAGGTACGTATCTCCGGTTGAACATGTTATCAATATAGATTCTTATTCTTGCAGGACGTTTTCCTAGATCAATCTGTCCCACCGGAAGTCAGATACCTTTCCATCATTCAGCTGAAGAACGGCATCGACAAATACTGGCGAAAGACCGCTACGAAGTAGGCTCACCTGGACCTCTTGACTCCACATACAGTGACTGACATACTCGGAAAGTGCCATCAAGAAGGAGGAAAAGGAACAGATTAAGAACAGGGCGTTACATGCCGGTGTTGTTGAACCTGCCCCTCTGCTCGCCCTTCACAATGCCCTGATGCTCGCTAAGATCATGCGTTACGAATTTCCTCAAGACTGGTTTGTGATCCTGTCCTCCTACATCGGATTTGTTTTGGGCTTAGCTGATCGTGCTTATAGGCCCGAAGGAATCTCTTCCATCATCGCCTTCCTCCGTTCTTCTACCCAGCCTTGCGCGAATCCGTTACAACTTCCCCGCACCCTTGTCATCTTGCTACAGATTATCAAAGAGCTATCAACAGCTCGCTTACAAAGAACTCGTGCCAACCTCCAGTCCGTGGCGCCCGAGGTATTCCATCTGCTTGGAAGTATATACGTGGATAAAGTGAACACCTGGGTATCCTGGTTGGAGCAAGGGGGAGGCGATGAGACGGCATTGATGGGGTCTTTAGAACAGAGTCTCGTGTCTCTCAAAGTCATCCGACGTCTAGTCATTGCCGGCTTTGAGCATCCTAACCGAGATAAGGACGTTCAAGGATTCTGGGTCTTGACTCATTCCCACTTCAGCAAGTTCCTGGGATTCGTCGACGGCTCCGCAAACATGCCAGAAGAACTCAAAAAGGCCATCGAAAAGCATCTTTTACAACTCTCCAAGCTTCATGTGGAGATGGCCAAAGACCGTCCGGCCTCTTTTGCCTTGCTGCCGAACAGTATCCCTCTTGTTCAATCTTACTGGACCTTGGTCACTAAATTGGGGGAGAAGTATAGCGAGCTCGGAGCTGACGGCGAATCAGAGGGCAAATCACTCATGGAGAAAACCGGACTTAGGGCGCTCCTGCTCATCAGAGCCTGTTCTAAGATGGCGTTCAATCCAGCGCAGACATTCAAGTACCAGACTCCGCAGGACAAGGAAGAGAAGAAGCAGTCTGTTGAGCTCATCAAGGCGGACCTTTTCACCCAGGACTTTGTCGTCAGTGTCATGGAACTCTTGGTTACTCAATTTTTCCGATTCAGGAAAAACGACTTCCAAGAATGGGAGGAAGACCCCGAAGAATGGGAGAGAAAAGAAGAGGATATTGCTGAGGCTTGGGAATTCTCCATACGGTCTTGCTCGGAAAAGCTCTTCCTTGATCTTGTCATCCACTTCAAGGAATTGCTCATTCCTCGTCTGTTGAACGTCTTCTACGGGTTTGCGAGTAAGTGGTCTAATTGTACTCCTGCTGCCAGTGCGATACTAACGATGTTTTGCAGGTCCTGAGAACCACAATGTGCTATTGAAGGATTCGCTTTACTCGGCCATTGGATTATCTGCAGCAAGTTTAGAACAGCATCTGGATTTCAACAACTTCCTCGAGATGACACTCGTGCCGGAAGTTCAGCTTCAAGAGCAGGGTTATAACCTTCTTCGAAGAAGGATCGCTATCCTTCTGGGTCAGTGGGTTCCAGTCAAGTCAAGCGAACTCAACAAGAACGCCGTGTATCAAATCTTCCAGCATCTGCTCAGTCGGCAGGATCCATTGAATGACTTGGTCGTACGCATTAGTGCTGGGAGACAGCTTAAGAATGTACTTGACCCTTTTGAATTCTCGCCCACTGAATTCTTACCATATGCACCTTCCATCCTCCGAGACCTGATGTCTCTCGTCCAAGAAGTGGAACTTTCAGAGACCAGAATGGGACTTCTCGATACTGTCCGTATGGCTGTGGTCAAGATGGAAGACCATGTAAGTGCATTAGCAGGTTTCATTATCTCATCAGTCCTAACATTGTCCAGATTGCTCCCTTCTCCGATCAAATTTTGTCTTTGCTGCCACCTCTTTGGGAGAGCTCTGGGGAGGAACACTTGATGAAACAAGCCATTCTCACCCTTCTTTCGTCTCTAATTCATTCCCTCAAGCAAGATTCGGTTCGATACCACTCACTCATCTTGCCTCTAATCCAGAATTCCGTCGAGCCAGGCTCTGTAAGCTGCGCATTCTACTGAGCCGTTTCCAGTACTAACAATACAGCAGGAAACCCTCATCTACCTTCTCGACGAAGCCCTTGACCTCTGGGCCGCGATACTTATGCAGACACCCTCCCCTGCCTCCCCTGAGATCCTGTCTCTCATTCCAGCACTGATTCCTATTATGGAGGCAGCCACAGACAGCGCCCCACAGGCCCTTCAGATTGTTGAATCCTATATCCTTCTTGCCCCCCAGGAAATTCTCAGCGATCGGGTTCGCTTTCAACTACTTGTCTCACTTGAGACTCTGCTGAAAGTCACTACCCGCCAGCGGCTGGGCGTTGTCCCTCGTCTCGTGGAACTGATGCTCCGCGGCGCCGAAACTGTAGATGGCGGCAGCGAGAACACCTACAACGTGGTCACTCGGTCGCTTCTCGACAGTTCCTTCCTTCCTGCCATCCTCGAGGGTCTCCACTCTGCCTATGAAGCTAGTCAAACCACGGGACCAAATCGCAAACAAACTTCGGTCTATGGAGTCGTCGAGACGGACTATTTCTCCGTTCTAGCACGCCTTGCCGTTGCCCATCCCAAGATCTTCACCTCGGCCGTGGCCGCTGCCACCAATACTCCTGAGGAACAAGTTCTCACCTGGATCCTGACAGAGTGGTTTCTCCACTACGATAACATCGGCAGCAGCACCCAGAAGAAACTCCACGCCATGGCCCTCACCCAACTTCTCACCCTCAATGGACCCGACTCTCAGCCCCCGACGTACCTGCTCAATAACCTCCAATCCTACATGACCATGTGGACCGACATTATTACCGAGCTCTCCGAAGATGCCGAGGGCACCAACCCCGATGACCCACGCAGCGGCGACTATCTCATCTACTGGAATAACGCCCAAACAGCCGCCAGTGACGAGCATGAACCTCCCGAAAATGAGCGCCGTCGCGCCTGGGATGACATGGACATTCTGCACAAGGTCAACATTCGTGATTTCATCCGTGAGCGTCTCCGCTCGGTGATTGCCGGCTGCGGAGGCGAACAGCGCTTCCAGGAAGATTGGCTCCTGAATGTCGATCGCGAGGTCGTTGCGGCCTTTGCGGCGCTGGGGCTGCTCTAAACAATTTTCCTTCTTTTCGACTACTACGAGCGCACTTTCGCACCTGCAACTATGATGATGATCACATGACGTCTGCATGTGTCCACCGCCTGCTGCTGCTTTATAACTATGCATCCATCTGCAGCACTTGCTTGCTTTCTTTTTCGACCATACTTTTCCTTTTACGTCTATCCCCAAGATGACAGACTGTCTACCGCCAATTGCATTTGTGCCACTTCTTGCATTTTGTTTGTGCTGACTATAACCGTGAACCGAAATACCCCATACATATAGATATATTTCTAGTTCAAATGATTCAATAAGTTTTTTCCTGGGCGTTCAACGGCGTCCAACCGATCGCATTCTGATATAGAGATGGACCGATGAATAGAGTAGGATAAGGTGATAATATCACAACACCCTTTGAAGCTTAGACCACCCATCGCACCATTTTGGCCTGCATGGAGCCCCACACTTTTCTCATTCTGTTTCCGATCCAGAAGTAACCTGGCCATCTGAGCTTTTCGTAGCACCAAAGCATACAAAAAGCGAGACCTTACGCAGCACTACTTCTACCAAGTGCTACGTCCTCCCGTGTATCATAGTCGCTTGAGGACTCCCTATCATAGCGAATGAAAGACATCTAAGCTCTTTCGTTATCGGTATAAGCTAATCCTCGCATAGCCGCTTGTTTTGCACCGACAAGACGTGGTCTAAAACCGACTTGGGTCCGAACCACTCATGATGCAGCGAAGTATATTGACCATTTCAAGTAAATGCACATCGTGTCGGATAATATGTATGGCTTGAGTAATTGTGCCTCCCCGCATCATGCTCGACCTTTCCCTTCAGCTGTCCTCTTCGCCTCTACTCTCAACTGACTGTGGATTGAAAATCACTCCTTTAACCCTCTGCACTTCCACACATTCAAGATGGACCACAATGCGCGTCCGTGTGCAGCAGTTGTCAACGGCCAGGGTCGATTCAGTCACCCCAGATGGACTGACGTGGATCATACACATCCGCACTGGAACATAGGCCATCACGTATTTCCTGTGTCACTGTGCGGGGAAGATCAGTTGTGGAGAACAAGCAGGGATAATGCATGCAGATATCACAACATCGCAGGGAACGGCGACGACTTAAAATCATGGCAATTTCCATGGCCGATATTTGAGTTGATCTGATAATCATCTTCTCCCTCCTTATTCCTTCTTCCATCATTCAAAGTCAACATGATTCTATCACCATTATCGCCATATATTGGAGTCGGCCTTGCTGCCATTGGTATCCTGTGGGTGCTTGGCAATGGTCATAGAATATTGAACCGAAAGATCCCCGGTCCAGTAATAGCTAGGGTCACGAAACTATGGTATCTACTACAAATGCGCAAGGGAAACTTCCATGCCACCAACATCGACCTTCCTCGCAAGTATGGTAGGTAGAGCCTCGCTCTCCTTTCTGCCCTCCCCAACGCTAAGTATAGCCAGGCCCGGTCGTACAGATTGCACCTGGATATTTCAGCCTCGATGACCCGGAGTCCATGAAACTGGTCTACCGACATGCCAACCCATTGGACAAAGGCGAGTGGTATTCCAGTTGGACCTTCGGCCCGAAAGTCAGGCTCGAGAATCTTTTCTCCATCCGGCCCGCCTCCGCACACTCCCAAATGCGCCGCAAGGTTGCGGCCATGTACACGATGTCAGCTTTAGTCTCCTATGAGCCTTTCGTGGATGGTTGCATCCGCGCCTTCCGCGATCAATTGGACCAGATGGCCGCCAGCAACGCTGAGATCAACCTTACGTTTTGGTGCCAATGCTATGCTTTCGATGTGATAGGCATGATCACGGTGAGTCTATTTGCACGAACAACCCTAGGATACTCACAGTGTCAAGCAGCTAACGTGCAAGCAGTATGGAGAGAGGTTCGGTTTTCTAGATGAAGGAAAGGATGTCGATGGTATGATCATGGTGCTTGAAATTATCAACACCGTCTGTACTTATTTGGGCCTCTACCTCTGGGTACAGACTTTCTTCGATTTCTTGTCAAAGTTGATCTCGAGGAAACCTTCCAAGCTGGACCACCTTAATGAAGATCAGCTTCAACGGACCCGCTCTGAAGGCGCGCTGAAAGTGCCAGAGGGTAGTCCTGTTCATATGGCACGGCTATTGATTGACTTACAGCGCCAAAGCCCTTCGAAGGGACTGACCCATGTCGACATCACAAACACCGCAAGGGCTAATATCGGCGCGGGCAGTGATACGACTGCGATAGCCTAAGTTCCGTGCTCTTCTACCTGTACCAGCACCCTCGCTCCCTTGAGAAGGTTCGACAGGAGCTGGATAGTTCAATACTCGCAAGCAGCGACGCAATCAAGCTCGCGGACGTTCAGAAGCTGCCGTATTTCCAAGCGGCCATCAAGGAGGCCTTGCGCATGCACCCAGCCACAGGCCTCCCCTTGTGGAGGACCGTTCCTAGAGGCGGAATGACTATCGGTGGCCGGTACTTTGCTGAAGGGGTGAGTGCGTCTTGTCTGATATCACAAGCTGTATCTAATGCATATCTCTTTTAGACAAACCTCGGCGTCAACTCCTGGGTTGCCCACCAGAACCAGGATGTGTACGGCCCAGATGCGGACCAATACCGTCCGGAGCGAAGGCTCGAGACCAAATTGAAGGAGAAACAGGAAGCCATGGAGCAAAGCTTTACGTCCTTTGGCAAGGGCTCACGGACATGTATCGGGAAGAATATCTCTCTGCTTGAGATCAATAAGCTGGTCCCGATAATCCTGCGGGACTATGATCTGGAGTTCGCAGTCCGGCGCGAGCCTACGCAGCCGGGGATGCAATTGCCCGGTAGAAATCGGTGGTTTGTAAAGCCCGAGGATCTGCCCGTGCGAGTGCGAAAGAGGAACGCAAGTGCAATGTCTTGCAAGCTGAAGGCCTAGTCCAGTCTCTATTGGGTTTTCCGCATGCAGTCGGAACCGAGCCGTAGCAATATGTTCGCCAAATACTACCTATTTTTGGACACGCATCAGATTCACTTCCATGTTTTTTGTTCTCCGGTTCAAGTTTTTCCTTCTTACCTCACTTTTCAGACTTTACCACGTGCAACAGCTGGGACTCTGACAGCAGCGCAACTGGCGACGACATCATGCGCGCGAAGAGAACTTTGGTCAAGCTTGGTCATTTTTGATCCATCATTTTCTCAAGTAGGAGTTGCTGGGCTCTAGTTCGCGGAGGTCTTTTGCACTTTCTGTTTCTAGAGAACTAGGAAAGCTGAGATATCATAAGCCTCTCATACACCCAACACCTTCAAGTGACCAACCAAAGAAGAAGAAGCAAGGATGAGCCCACGAAATGCACAGGGTACGGCACAAAATAACCTTTGAGTCTCGGTGTGGAGGAGGTGGAGAGTGGAGAGGGGGAGACAAGAAGCTTTGCTAAGTGCGCTTATTCAGCACAAATGCCATAGCTAATCTGTATTGTATCGCTTTCACAGATGATCATGCTAAAATTCATCTTGATCTCCGCTTACCAAGCGCCTGTCTCTCAGGTTTATACTGCCTTGCTTCCGTGTCGAGTTCACACTCTCAACTCCTAACCTACTTATGTGGAGTAGGAGGCATATGAAATACGCTAGACAGCGAATATGATTAACATTGCAAACAATTTTGAACAGTGGTACTATTGTGTGGCTCTCCACAGTCTGACTTTATGCCTCTTTTGGTCCATTCGATTAGAGATGAGGGAAGAGATCAGCCCCTGAGATCTTGACCTGGAGAATATGAAAGGTAGACCGAGCCTTTCACTTCGGTGGAGAAATACACAATCACCACTCTTCTCTCTATCTCAGTTCTGATCTCGCAGCTTCAAAATGAGAGTCACTGGCTTCCTTGCTGCGCTGATGGTGGTGAGAACTCTGTCTGTCCAGGCTAAGAAACATACGAAGCTTTATTCATTCGAACCAGACGAAGCTCTGGACATCTGGAATGTGCGTATAAGAAGGCCTCCATTCTTCGCCGAGATTTCACTTCAGCCATCAGCGAGCAAAACAGGACGGGCTCCCCACGCTCTATACCTTCAATGAGACCCACCTGGCCAACCTTGGTGGCTCATGGTGGACGAGCTCCTTCATCACCGGCACTGAAAGGGAACAGTCCCTCGTGATCTCCCACATCCTGGACATTTCCGTGTGTGCGTACTTCCGTGCCTCCATCCTAGGCATCAACACCCCCGGCTACAAGCAATTCCTCGTCCGGGGCTCAAGCATGATGCACAACAGCATGAGACTTGATCTCCAAGTCGGCAACAACCCGATCCAGAGCGTCTCGGAGGACGACATCTCCCAGATGCGAGCCTACAGTATCAACCCGAACTTCACCTTCGATCTCATCTTCAACGCCACTTTCCCAATCTTGCCCAACGCGGGCGCCGGCGCATTCATTTTCGGGGCGGGCACAAGCAGCGAGTGGGCTCTCCCGCGGTGCAAGACCGAGGGCACACTCACCGGCAGCGACGGGAAGAAAGTGACCATTGACCCCGACAACTCCTTCACCTGGTACGATCGTCAATACGGCACTGGCACCCCGCCCACGGGCAACTGGACATGGTTCGAGTTTCACGTGCCCGGCCTCGAGTCCAAACTGAGCATCTGGGCCATCGACAACCCGGACACCAACCAGACCTCGCGCCTCGCCAACATCCACGGCGCCGACGATAATAGTCAAGATCTTCTTGCCGAGTTTTATCCTAAGTATACGAGATCGTATGAGTCAACTGCCGTCAATATCACCTATCCATTGGACTGCACAGTAGAGATCAGCGGTTTGGTTCGTTGGACATCTCAAGCGTCCTGGCTGATCAGGAGATCGTCGGCACCAGTGCTCTAGAAACTGCCTATGAAGGATTCGTGGCGGTGATTAGCAAGATTCACGCCAAGCATGTCCAGGGATACGGGCTCGTTGCGATCGTGTATGGCTCGTGGGATTAAGTTCTTGTAATCGCCGTGGATGTATCAGTCAATGCCTTCAAGCAGGTTCCTTCGAACCCTGGCCGCGGACATCGGATGGTGTAGGTTAGGGGCACTTGGCTGGCTCGCCGCAGTTGCTGCACAACGATTCAGCTAGGGCACTTACTTTCTCGGCCCTCCCTTGTTCCTTTTGTCGTTGTTCTACTGTTTTTGACAGGATCGACTAGGAGATTCCGCATATGGAGCTTCGTTGTCCTGTCCGGTTTTGTATTGTATGTTCATAGATCTGGCCCAACGACCACTTTTGAATTAATGAGGATAAGTCAATCTTTGTCTTTGCAAAGGCTAAGATGTGGAATTGCTTGCTGTCTGTAATGTTGTACCTAGTAAGGTATTGATGGGGGACTACCCAGTGCTCTGAAAAGCTAGGGCTCTGTGCGTAGGTCCAGCTGTGGGGCACGACGTAACATTGAATGAGCCAAGCTTATTGGTTCAACCATATCTGAAACTAACCGTGAAGGCTTTATTTATCTCCGCTTATCCATACGCTCTCAGTTGCCAGGAACTCCATGTCCTCCAATGTCCAGTGGTCCGATGAGTAATGAATGATCTTCTCTCTTCTCAGACCAAGAGGGGTTCCGTCGCCGGAATGCTCACCATTTGTCTTCTCGGACCTGGCGACCAAGTCAGCTAGGCTGACTTGGAACTAATCCACACAGCGTTGGCACTGGTGATGGGCCAGCAGCCATATCCAGGATGCAGATTCAGTTTGTCAGGGAACACGGCATCGAACTATAGCGTCTAGCAGCCAGTCCAGCCCGTAAGGCTTTGCCGTGATCTTGGGCCTCTGCTTCCCTTGTACTGTTCTTTTGGTCTTGATCCACTGGGGTAGATCTAGAGCTATAGGAGTCACAAGCTCATAAGATGGTCTATCCAGTTGATCTGTCACATCTTTACTTGAGTGGGACTCTATTCTCCAATTTAGCCGCTTCCTTTGGATCGTATAGATCGATACCTTTTTAGTCTGTTTGTAGCCATGCGATTGCGTGAACTAGCTTAGATGGGTATGTATGTTTGATGATGCATCAAGCCATAGGCTATCGAAGCAACAAGATCACCCAGAGTTTACCAATTCTGAGGCCGATACCGCATCCAACAACCCTACAACCTGAGGTGTCCAAAGTCAGACTGCGTTTTAGGCTCGGGCGGGAGAAGTGGATATAGCCCAAAGCGGTTAGCGCACCCCGACACAGGGCATTCCGCCTTCTCCTCTCCTGGCCTTTCTTTCTCCGCACCACCACCACCCATACTGAAACATACCCACGACAACACCATTATCTCAACATGGCCCCAACCACCCTGGCCACGGTCGATCGTATGTTCTCCGTGCCCTTTGGTGTCTGTTGCAGCCTACTAATGCCTGCCTCTACCAGACGACCTGAAAGACATAATTCAGCACCTGTTCGAGATCCAATCCGCCGTCCACGGCTACCTCGGCCCGGAGACCCAACAAGAGCTAGTCAGAAAGATGTATGTGATGCGATGCTTAGCCCTCCTCCTCCTTCATACCCACCCGCAACATCCTCTCGTCTTTAAATCTCCAAATCTACCCTAATAGCCCCTAAAATGTTGCGACACTAACCCCGAGCGTCACCAGCAAAAACCTCACTCTCTCCCTCCAAGCCCTCCAAACGCACACCTCGGACTCGAATCCAGACGCGACCTCCACCGCACCCACAAGCAACCCCCAAGACCCACCGCTGGGCAGCGTCCAACTCCCGCCGGAGATCATCGACTACGTGGACGCGGCGCGCAACCCGGACATCTATACGCGCGAGTTCGTCGAGCTGGTGCAGCGCGGCAATCAGGATCTCAAGGGCAAGAAGGAGGCGTTCCGCGGGTTTCGGGATGTGTTGGCGCGGGAGATTCGCGGGGCGATGCCCGAGTGTCGCGGGGAGGTGAAGAGGGTGATGGAGATGACGGGTGGGGAGGATCAATGATTTGATTTTGGTTTAGGAGGTGGCAGGGGCTACGGAGATCGATGATCGGGGTGAAAAGTTAAAATATCCCGATGAAGCGGCAATCTGTGATCGGATATGGGTTAGGATGGGATTGGGATTTGTTTTTTTCTAGATGGCGTTGCTGGGAGGGTGTGCTGTACTGTACATATATCATGGCGTTTCATGTTCAAGGCGCCCGGGCTTGCTTAGCTTAGACGTGTTGGTTCATCACTGCCGATCATTGACGATACCAGGACAGCAGGGCAGTGCTGGGGACGGCAGGAATGATGACATTATGGATATCTACTAAGTAATTTCAAGATACTATTTATAAAACCTTTACGTATCGGAATCATGACATTTCCATTTCCCCACGTGTTGACGCAGGGGATGATCGCGATCTGAGGCATTGACCTGAGAATGATATCAGTTAGTCACTAAGTAAGAGGAAAATCAGGTGACGAGTCGAGTGGAGCTGTCAGTTTGTTTTCCCCGCGTTTGTTTGCTGGACAGACAGACAGACAGACAGACAGACTGAGTGACTCCGGGTCTAGCAAAGGATGACTGCATACATTAGTTAAATTAGTAGTTATGGACTAAACCACTCTCTCCCTCTCTCTCCCTCTCTCTCGCTCTTACTCTCGTGACTTGCTGCTTGCCTGCCTGATTTCCCTCTCTCTCTCACTCTCACTCTCACTCTCACTCTCACTCTCTCCTCTCTCCTCTCTCCCTCTCTCCTCTTCCCTCTCCTCTCCTCTCCTCTCCTTTCCTCTCCGCTCCTCTCTCTCTCTACTCTATACTTCATCCACTCGACCGCCTCTTTAGCTCCATACCATAACTTGTACTCACTTTCCACCCTATCACTTCTATACCCAACTACCCAACCTACCTTACCTTAAATACTAGTCCAGTCACTCCACCCCCCCAATCCACTGATTCCCTCCCACTCTAACGATGAAATCATGATCACCGGCCCTACGACAACCCCCGGCAATGGCGTGGTCGGGGGCTACACCGGCCAGAGTATGGCCCTCCGCATCGCCATTGCAACCTTAGCCGCCATCAGTTGGTACAACGCCGTAGAGCTGGTTATTCTGGTCTTCGTCACCTTTGCTCAATTCCGGGGTCCGTACTTCTGGTCGCTTCTGATTTCCTCTCTCGGCCTCATCCCCTACTCGACTGGCTTTCTCCTCAAATACTTCGAACTCGCCCCGGCCGCCCTGTCGGTCACTCTGATCACGATCGGCTGGTATACCATGGTGACCGGGCAGTCGGTGGTGCTGTACTCGCGGCTGCATCTCGTGCTACCTAACCCGCGCATCCTCCGGCAGGTTCGGTACATGATCACGATAGACGCTCTCCTTCTCCACCTCCCAACTACCGTCTTGACCTATGGCTCGAATCTCGCTCCCTCCAAAGCGCCCTTTATCGCCGGCTACAACATCATGGAAAAGATCCAGATGACATGCTTCTGCCTGCAGGAGTTCATCCTGTCGGCGCTCTATATCTGGGAGACCGTGCGCATGCTCCGGCTCGACCCCGACCGCGGCAAGCGTAAGATCATGTACCAACTCGTGGCCATCAACCTGATCATCATCTTCCTCGACTTGGGCCTATTGGTGATCGAATACCGCGACCTTTACATCATGGAGACGATGATCAAAGGCGTGATCTACAGCGTCAAGCTCAAGCTCGAGTTCGCCGTGCTCGGCAAGCTCGTCCTTCTCGTCCGGGGCCATCACATCTGGAAATGCGACTCGGCCATCGCCGTCAGCCCGCCGCCGCCCACCGCCGTGGACAACGACGAGCACTACCACCACCCGACGATAACAACAACCACCGGGCGTGGCGTCGACTTCCCGGATTTCGTCGACGCCACCCGCGTCACCTCGGACCTGACGCACCCGGGCACGCACGCGCCCATCGCGACCCGACGGCGGTCACATCCCTGGATGGACAGCGAGGACGTCTCGATCGCCATGTTCGAGCACGCAACGTGCACGTCCACGCGGAGCAGCAGCGGTCGCGACCCGCAAACGGGCCACTCGGACGTCTCGCATTCGTGGAGCGGCGAGACGCAGACGAATAACTCGTTCCTGTCGACGACGGGCCAGGAACGCGAGCTGAGTCCCTTGGACTTCACGGGCAACTGGGGAAAGCCACAAGGGAGTTTTTAGAATTCCATCTATATCCTGGCCCAACCCTATACTTATTCGCTGAATAGGTTATTATGATTGAATGATTATCACGAAGGTTATGGTATCAGCAGCAGCAGCAGCAGCAGCAGCAGTTTTTGAGTATCGGGGGTTCAATGTAGCACCCCCATAGTATATTGGGTGTAGTTAATTACATGCACATAATTTAGCCGTTATACCTTCAGGCTACCCCTTCAGTTGGGTATGTACTTACTACTACTAGGTACATACATGACGTATTTACATTCTACTACCGTAGATACTGAGTCCGGGGGAACCCGCCCCGGAACGGGCGGCCGAGTGGAGTGAGTGAGAGCCATGGTTCCGGGGGTGGGAACAAGCAACTTAACCTTCAACCAGCGTTTCCTGTACGGTACCTGGTTCATACCCCTATTTAACCGAACTCAATTGTGCAATCCGGTTTCACTTCGCTAAGGCGTCCAATCGGATACTTGGTGGCCTCGTTGGCCCTGCTCAGCCCGCCCGGCTTACTTACCTTGGCCGGTTTACAGCCTCGTATAAGCCTACTGCCAAGGGGAGAGTGAGACATCATGGCGGAGCACAGCGTCGCCCCTTGGGATAGTTCAAGTATGTCTTGGCATGTTGGGCCAAGGATCGCCTTATTTGAGGGTGTGAATCCACCCACTGTATTGTTTGGGGAAATCCTACTGATATACAGCCCTTGATGAGATGGAGGCCCTCGTACATCTTGGCTGGCATCTGGACGTGTTTCGTGCAAGGTAGTTGTCTCATGTAGTTGACGGGCCTCTTTTTTTGGGGGGGGGGCATTCGCAGTACTAAAGCGCGGATACGAGGACAAATTAAGGATTTTCGTATTCATTCTACCTGTGCCAATAGAAAGCCCGGTGGCCAGTCTGCTGTTATTAAGGTTGGGTAAACCCACTACTATGGCGCAGAAGCTCTTATGTAGTAGATTAAGACAGGGTCCGCAGCATTGTACGCCTCATCAAGACTGAGATCTATAACCAAGTGGTGGATAATCAAACTCTTGGCTGTAAGTCGGAATATTGGTTGAACTAGCTAGACTATACCAACGAACAAGCTCCAATCCACTGTGTCACAAGAATTCAGACATGTGCAAGCTCACAAAACAAACCAAACTCCCCCCTCAACGCAAGCACAAACGAGGCAGAAGACCATTCCACCGGGTCAACCACCAGCATCAAGAGAAGAAGATCCCTCACCTGCAACGACATATCAAACGCTTGAATCTCCTTCTTCGAAAGCGCGGTAGCCTGCAGCTCAGGCAGTGTTGGTATCAGGTGGGAAGCGTGAGGTGGTGGATTCGCAGGACTAGTATCGATGAAGTTATTCCAATTCCAATTTCAGGTTAAAATTTAGAGTTCTTCTCAAATCCAAATCCATCCCAGTTTTCAAGTTTCATGAACCTTACTCAGCCCGTTCTACATAGCTAGCTAGCTAGCTAACTACGTAGGTGCCTCGTGAAGCTAGGCTCTTGCCCGTGACGACCAAGTTCCAGAGAGAAGCCCTCAATTGCGGTGAAAGCAAGGGAACTCACACGCATACTTCCGAAAAGAGTAGTGATGAAGCAACCCGATTCATATCGGGCTTTCCCTTACCCTTGGTTGTTGCCATGCATATCTATGGTTCTTTTCCTCCTGGTGGGAAGGGAAGGGCTCTCCGGATACCTTGGTAGGTAGGTCTATCATACCAGGCTAGTTAGAGAGTTGTTTATCTGTGACGGACTATGTACAGTACATCTCTCATAGCAGGAACTTTGTATTATCTGAATGAAAATCTGCACTGCATCGTGACTTATAGAGAGTCAACAAGCTACCATCTACGTTGAGGATGAAAAAGTATACTTCTTAATTAACATTATCATTCTTAAAGCTTAAATTTACTGCAGGCAATAGATGGAATATTCCTACCTATTCGAGTCGTATCAATTTGGGAACATCAAACAGTAATCGTACATAAAACAAGGCGACAACAGGTCCATAAGCCAGCCTACGCAATCGGAATCCCAGTCATGAGGGAGGCCACGCCCTTAGGACCCAGGACATCTTCCAGACTGAACCAATAATACGCCATCTCATCCAGAGATTTGCCGTTCGCATAAGCAGCAGCAGCATCATTATCATCTTGAATCGGCTTCTTATTCGTGCAGAAGACCCGCAACTCTTTGCACGCCATGTCTCCGTTCTTTTTCAAGTATTCTCGCATCACGTCGCCCGCACTCGTGACGATCCGACTCACGATCTCACTTCCGCCAGACCCCAGTCCCAATGCCCGTGCACTCTGCGCCGAGCCATCCGCGACGTGAAGGATGAGGAGGACGATATTGGAGATGAAGGACTCATCGGGCAGATACGCGGCCGTGAAGTACTGCACAAACTTCTGGTGCTCCTTGTCGCGGATCCGTCTCAGCAACTCCACGGCGCGTTTGTGCATGCCGAAGTAGTTGTACAGGATCACCGGCTCGGCTTCGAATAACTTCGTCTTCAGGAAGGCCAGAAGCTGCAGGGTGTCGAGGTTGTGGGTATTGGACCACTTGCGGGTGATGAGGAGTTCCGGATTGAGTCTTTTGTTGGCTGCACGCTCCTTGCTGCTGGATGATGATGATGATTCAAGGTTGGATCGCTGGGAAAGCTCGTCCAGGATGCGGTCGATGTTCATGATCCCGCCGTCTTCCTCGGGACCACGACCACCCACGTACTGGGTGAAGAACAGGTTGGCGACGGGAGTAGTGGACTCGAGCACCCGGGGGTTCTTGCCGTCCGGCTTGTGGAATCGTCTGCGCCGGGAGTCACGCGCGAAATTGGCGGCAGACGAGATGCCTGTCGCCAACTCGAGCCGGTTCAGCGATTCCTTGGCGTTCTTGGGCCGCGAACCGACGAAAATATGAGACTCGCCGTGGATCTTGAGAAAAGCATCCATGTCGGGCCATCGCAGGTCTTTGTGCGGGGGAAAAGTGATGACGAGGTTATGCAGGAAGGCCAGTTGCTGGACGTCGTACCATTTGGTGACGAGCTGCTGGCCGACAAACTGCATTCTCATGTTGAGATTGAACAGGATCAGGCCGCAGAGGATAGCGTGCTGCGAGAAGAGTGCGTGCTTTTCCGGCACGAGGCCCATGGGGGCGAGTTCCGAATGGACTCGAATATCATGAAACAGGTCTTGGACGATCCATGACTTCACGGTGGTTCCTATCATTCGAATCTCCTCGTCACCCTCTTTGGGCCAGAATCTGGGCCGAGGGTGTGTTTTCGACAGCTGAAAGTAGTCGTCGATCGTCTTCTGGATGCGAAGTCCGGACATTCGAAGGTCTCCAAATGCACCCGACGTACTGTGTCGCATGATATGATGAACGTCGAGGAAGATCTGGGCGGCGAAGCAAAGCCACAGAGTGACCTTTTTGGTCTTGGCAAACTCAGTAAGGCCTCGAGTGATCATATCCTGCGTAGGCATCTGGATCTTGAACGTGTCGAACATGCAGAACTCTGGCAAAATCGAGAGAAGGAGGATTTTATCTTCGTTGAACTTCTGCCCCAGAGACATCCGCTCTCGGTCTGCTTTCGGATTGTAGATGCCAAAGTGTCCTTTCCTGAAAACTGGTAGATGATCAACCTGGAGAACATTTGCGAAAGACTCAAGCAGGACCTTAGTTGGCACATAGCACCACTCGGCTACATCAGCCATGTTCTTGTTGTATGGCAGGCCAATCTCCATTGATGGACCGGCAGAAATGCCGCGGGTAAGAACCGCGAGATTGAAGACCATATTCTGGATACTATCATCCCCGGGAGAGATAGTGCGCCAGTCAGCTTCCGCCTCTTGCACGAGATCTCGGGCCAGTTGCAAAGCACTATCAGTCACGACCGCGGCGTTCATGAGATCAATCTTCTTGTCGCGATACTCCGCCCAGGTAACGGAAATGAAGGCTCGCATGTTGTTCAAGTCTTGGAGCAAGCAGAGAGTCTTGAAGAACAACTGACCCAGATATGAGTCTTCTTCTGCTGCCTCATTACCCTCCTCCTCTTCAACAACATCCACTTTGACTATCTTCTTCGATTCGGCGGCAGATGCCGGTTGGGTTTGCGTCGTCTCCTGGAGTTCCGGTTCCTCCACCGTGAGAACAGCGAATTTGTTCAGAAATCTGTCCGCTTCAGCCTCAGAAGCCGTCTGTGGTGGTGATTGCTTAGCGTCGTCTGACTTCGAGGACTGCTGGTTAGCCTTCCACTCCAGATTATCGCAAATCTGCTCCAGCACCGTGATGAAATGCGCATGGCGCTTGTTGTTGGCAGAGTCGCCTCGGCCCAAGAACCAGGACGTGACCGTCTTTCTCAATTGGATGGCGCGTTTGGCGACGGTGAGAACTGAGTTCGGTACCCCGCGAGCAGAACCAGCAACCACCTCGGCGAGGTTTTGCAGATCTTTGATGGTCGCACTATAGTGAAGTGGATCTACTGCATCCGAGCCGTTATGTTTACCTTTGCTTTTGTGTTCATTCCCCTTCTTCACGGCAAGAATGGCTGCAGCGAGGCCAGGTGGTTGATAGCCGCATTGGTTGGCTGTCTCCAGTAGCCAAGTTGCAAAGGTATTGGTATCTGCTTTGTAGCGTGCGTAACTACTCTGCAAGAATTCAGGTAGCATGTTGGTATTGGGTGATTGGAGGCTGAACAAGTGTTACGAAGCCATTGGCTTGTCGAAGGGACTGGCCTGGATCCTATGGGATGAGGAAAGGAATCCTGAGAGAGAGAATGGCTTGTCAGGATGATGGGGATATGGCCATAGGTATAGTAGAACTGGTAGACACAGTGGAGAAGGCTTGGAACAATATAAAGATTTAACAGGCAGAAAACAAGGCGGTGTATTGAAATGCTCAGACAGTAAGGGCAAAAGAAAGCATAAATCACATATAGCTATATGGCGGTGTAGGGAGCATGCTATCTCCAGATGGGTGAGGTCTGGAACGCCTGAGGCCACAGACGCACTATCAAATGGTCGTGGCCGCGAGGAGCCCGGAACTGACTATTACAGTATTCATAGATCGAGACTCTGATGCAAGGTGCACAGGAGCAATCATGATAGTTAGTATTAACCTTCCTTTCCTATCCTTTAAACAAAGTCTATCCACACACATACACCCACACACACAAAGAACACACACCGACACATCAATACAATTATAGCTCACATCGCTCAACATCGCTCAACAACCACGCTCTGAAGTCATATATGTATGTATACCTCCCTCTCCCTTACCCAACTAAACCTCCTTCGTGCGGAGACTATTCGGCGCCACGCGGGGCAGCTCGATCTCCGTCTCCACCTCTAAACCGGACAGACTGGGGAACCGTCGACTGAAGTTCGCTTCCCAGTCGTCGCCGCCGGGCGTGGCCGGCGTGGCTGCCACCGTCGGACTCCGATCATAGCTGCTGCTTCCCTGCTGCTGGCCTTCCATGCCGGTGGGCATGCGCAGACTCTTCGGCTTGGGAGGAAGGGCTGGCCGCGGGGCCCCCGAGGAAGAGCCGGGGCGTCCGCTGGTCGTCGTGGGCTGCGGCGGCGGCTGCTGCTGCTGTTGCTGCTGTTGTTGTTGTTGGCCCACGCCGCCGCCGGTCGGTTGCTCGAGCGGGGGCGGCGGCAGCGGGGCGCTACCGCGGGTCGGCCGCGTCGTCTCGAGGGTAGGCTTTGCCGGCAAAGCCGCCGCCGGGGCTTCATCTGTGTAGCGTCCGTAGCCTGTGGCGGTCTTGGGCGGCGGGGCGGCCCGCGTCGACTCGCCCAGCAGGGACTGCACTTTGCTTTGGATCGCCTGCGACCGTGGCCCCGTCTCGCGCCAACCGCCGCCAGACCCCGACTGGCCGCCCTCCGCCACCCGTCGTCGATACTCCGCCGCCGCCGAGGCCACGCGTTTCTCCTCCTGGGAGAGCCGGCGTCGCTCCAGCTCCCGCCGCATTTCCGGCGAGATATCCTCGTTGTCGTCCATGTTGATCAGCTCACTGGCGGGCTCCGCGGTCAGATCCGCGCTCGTCAGCGTCATCGGGGACTTGATAGGTGCCTCTTCGGTCACGGGAGACTGCACTTTGCTGTCCGAGTTGCTGTGCTCGAACCGCCGGAACGCGTCGCCGAACCGTCCCGCGAACATCTTGGTGCCGGACAGAGACAGCGTCGATAAGCTGGACCGTTTTCCGTGCTTGGCTGTCCCACTGTACCGCTTCTCGCGCTTCTTGTTGCTTTCTTCTTCCCGCGCGCGGAGATAGTCCACGTCCGACGAAATGTTGGCCCGGGAGTCCATCTCAGTTCGCGCATGCTGCAGGGGGGCTCCGCCCTCGTAGGGCGACCGGGGTAGATCCAGGGACGAGCGCGCGCTCTCCGACCCACGGGGCAGGTCATATCGTGCCCCGGCGTGGACGGACACTGGGCGCGAGCGGCCGTTGGCCGACCGCGAACGCCCAACCGAGTCGTCCACCTCCAGATTGCTGGGTCGACCGCCCTCGAGGGAAGGCCGCGGGGAGGCCGACAAGTCGGAGATCCGATCGGACGACCCCCGAGGTTGTACGACTGCATTCGTGGCGGGAGACGGGGCCTTGTTCTTGAGATCAGACTCCGAGGGCCGCTTGTGACTGGATGGACGTCGCTGATGGTCGGCGGGCGGGAACTTAAAGACTGGACGACTGGACGGTGGGTAATCGGGCACGCCAGGCGTCGCCGGCGGCGAGGTCATCGTGCCAGTAGACACCATAGCCGGTCTCTGCGGAGCAGGTTGGTACAGTGGCACCGAGGCGCGTCCTTCATCGCGCACATTGTCGGCGCGCTCGACGGGAGCGGATTGAGTCGATGTAGGCTGCGTGGGACGCTGGCTGGCAGATACCTCCGGACCGGGCGATTGGTGCTTGGCAAAGGCATCGTCCGCCAGCGCATTAGTGAGACGCCGCGCGAGGTCCTCGTCATCGGGACTAGATTCCGGTACGGCCGACTCGAAGTCGAACTTGCCCCCCTTCTCGTGCAGAATCTGGAACTGATCCAATGAAGGGAATCGATTGGTGAATTCGTCCGTTGAGTTGCGAGAACGTTGAGCATTGTCCAGCACTGAGAATGGATCTCCTGAGCCCCGATACGGGGACGGACTGGGTTTGGTCGAGTGGTGCGGGGATTGCGTTGGCCTTGTCGGACGGCCGCGTCGCATCGGCGCGATCTCGGGAATGATTTGTGTTTCCTGGATTGGCGGAGAGAAAACGGCACCAACCTGTGGCGCCTCGGTGGGGGAGGGCGGCAATTCCTGAAACCGGCGGGCCTCCGAGGTGGAGCGAGCAGCGTAGATCTACCCGAATCGTTAGTATCATCATCTGATAGGTGATTATTATCTTTGCTTACATCACTGATAGGGACATCCTTGCCCTGCATGTGACAGACCTCGCGCACCACTTCATAGATATTCGGCCGCTTTTGCGGGAGTTCCTTCAACATCCAGGCTGCTTAGGTTAGCGCCGCCGTCTATACAACCTCCGGAGACCTTACCAATTAACATCTTCAACCGATCCGAGAAGACTGGGTAACTTGGGAACTTGTAACTGGCATTTAGGATGGCCATCTGGCCAACCTCTTCGAATGGGGTGGTATAGTAACACAGCTTGTACAGGAGGACCCCCAGGGCCCAAATGTCGCTCTTCTCATCGATGGGCTGCTTCCGATAGACATCGATCATTTCCGGGCTGCGGTATTGCAGCGTCGTGTGGCGCTGGACGTCATCTTCAATCAGCCGGCCCTCAGCGGCAGAGGTGGCGGCCGGGCGAGGGGGCGCGGTCGACCCAAAGTCACACAGCTTGTAAAGCGCAGCACTCCCCTGGCGCGAAATGAGAACGTTCTCCACTTTGAGATCGCGGTGCAGTAACGGGGGCTTCAGATAGTGCATGCAGGCGACGCCTTCCGCCACGTCGGAGAAGATCTTGATGATTTCGGGTTCGGTCAGACGGTTCTGCAGCCGCGTGTTCATGAAGTCGATCAGTCCCCCACCATCGCAGAATTCCATCAGCAGAAACACTTCGTAGCCACCCCCCCGGAGTTGTGACGCATGAGAATCAATGTAGGTGACGATGTGTCGATGCCCCTTGAGCTTCTTCATGGTCTCAACCTCAGTGCGCATGTTGGCCAGGGCCGACTTGTCAGGAACAGCCACGCGTTTGAGAACCGCCCGATCGGAGCCATCGACCGGTTGGGGTAGGCGCACGACGTAGACATGGGCGAAGCCTCCCTCGGAGAGGTACTTCTCGACGACGACGCGGTGGCTGCCAACTTGGACTTTCGTGCCGGGCAAGAACGTCCCCGCGGGGGCGGCCATAGCAGCTACCGGGTTGTAAGCCGGGATGGGCAGATGAGGCGCCGCATGACTTTGGTAGGAGGCAGAGTTCGGCTGATAGGAGGACATGATGCGGGTGCGATCGGATTAGGGGGCGGCGGCGGCGGAGGAGGGGCCCTCACGGGGCTCGACGGTAGATGAGGTGGGCAAAAAAGAGATCTATGGCTTCTGCATAGGATGCGCGTTCGAAACGATTATTAGAGTTGTGTTCCGCCTGGTGCGACTATTAGAGAGTAGGTGGCAGTGACGATAGGGACGGTCGAAGGAGCTGAACCCGAGGCAGACCGGGAGAGGACAGTTGGCGCGGGGAAGAGTGACAGGCTAGGGAGGATTTGCCGCAAGAACAGAGATTACAAGATAGAGATCAATGAGTCAGAAACAAGTGGGGGAAGAGGGCCAGGAGGCAGCAGCAAAAGCAGCAGCCAGCAGGACTGAGGGGGAAAGAGGAATGGAGTGGAATGGAGGAACTTGGCTCGATTGAACGACAGGGGAGGTGAGGTCGGAGAAGAGGGGATTGACCGCCTTGGCCGCTGCGGGCAGAATGTTATCAACAGGCAGACAGAAGGACAGACACAGAGAGAGATTCGGGCGTAGTGAGCAGCAACCAAGTCTGTTGTAGTCTCACAAAAATTGAAATGGTAAAGAACGCACTGAAGCATTAAGTCCCGACATCTCGACATCCCAGGCACCCCCGGCATCCCCGTGATGTCGGCGGGTGCCTATTCATCACGGGGTCACCACGGCATGATGGCCCGGGACAGATGATAAGGGATAGCAGCGAGAAGGATAGGTCTCTAGTAGATCTCCTATCGTACCTCATCACTCTCAGTTCCTCTATATGTAAGTGTTATGTTGCACATGATGTTCTCCCTTAAAGCTTGAACTGGACCAGTTCAGCCTGAGGCATCACGGCGTGACACTTGCGTGACATAAGCATCTCCCCCGCCAATCAAACTCCCGGGCGACGGCAGCCGAAAGCGTCGAAACCAAAACAAACAAAGGCCACGATCTGGTCAGAGCATCGCTCCACCTGAAAAGGTATAATTATCATCTCATACTTAACCCAGAGAAGCTTGCTCTGATGGCACCTCAGCTCATTCTTGCTGAACTCAAGCTTTCCCGCGGATGCCTTCTCCGTGGTGGAGGCCTGCAAAGGAAGTGGCTAGTTGGCTGGCTTAGAGGCTGGAATGTGGGATCCTTGATAGAATCATTCTCCATCGCTTCTCGGAGATCGTCTGGGTCTCTGGTCCGCTGCCAAATATGAGTATGTGGATAGGGGTCTGAGGTAGGTGGGTACCTGTCGGTAGAATAATGGTACTCGTACTTAGGGAGAAGATGTAAAAGTGGACAGGCGAGAGAACTGCCATCCACTGGGCCGCGTAGGCACTGAAACACCACCACTCACACTGCCTTTCATTGATTTGGATCTTCGTGACCCTTTCGATTTGCTGTTATCGAGCAGGTCACACAGACTATTGTTTGAATAGCCATCCAAAAGTGCCAAAGTGCCAGATCTCTCTTTGGGGTGGTCAACAACGGTGAAGGTAAACTGACTAGTGACACTAGTTAGCTAGTTGGTGTTGTCATCAGCCAGGATTGTTTGTCTTTTAGTATACAGACTAATTCTCTCCGCTTCGTCCACTTCCCACCACCACCTCTTCTGCTCCCCTCTTTTCCCTTCTCTTCTCCTCTCAACATCTCCGTCTCTGTGACTGCGCATTGACTCTCCATCTCTACCCGTGAGTCTTTCTTTTTACCAAGCCAACCAATTACTGATGAAAACTTACCCCATCAGCACCGATACGAACGCGCTGGCACTTCAGCGCCTAATTATGAATCGCTAACCACCATGTCCTGTCCACGACCACCCCGACAGCATCTTCACCCTCTCCTGCGCTAATTCTCACAACGGACGCAATTAAAAATCCTTCACAGCGATCTTCGACCAAACAAAGCACCCTCAATCTCCAAACCGACTCTACAACCCCATCGCTCTACCCCAGACCTACCCCAGACCACGGACCACCATTCCCCAACAGACTCTACACTCCACTCTCACCACCCAACCCCATCAACAAGTACAGTACACTCACGATAATCAATCACTTGCACATAATAATCCTCCACGAGAATGGACGACGGTCCACCCCCACCCCCTCCACCGCCCCACGGCTCCAAGCCGAACACCACCCACGGCGAATACCGCAAAACCTCCGACCTCCCGCCCGGCAACTACGACATCTTCATCATCCCGCCGCACTCGGCGGGCTCCGGATTCCTCTACCTGCCGTCCCTGCAAACCCAGCGCAACAGCTTCATCGCCGGCTGCGTCTCCACCCTCGTGGCCATGCTGGTGTGGGTGGCTGTCTCTCCGATCCTGAAGTCGTGGTACGCTGCCACCGTCGCCAGTGGAAGCGGCATGGGCATCGCCATCCTGGCAGTTGGCGTCGGGGTAGCCGGGTGGGCGTTTGGCGCGGCGCAGGCTGGTTTCGGCGGCGGTGCTGGTGACGGGGGTAGCGGAGGTCATCGCGGGAAGCGGGGCGGGTTTGGATTTGGTGGAGGTGGAGGCGGGGGTTCAGGGCCTGGTGGTGGTGGAGGCGGAGGAGGAGGTAACGATTATGCACGCGGAGGGAGCCAGAACTATGGCGGAGCGCCGGGTGGAGGACATCAGCAGCACTACGGCGGAGGGGCATACAATAATAACAATGCTGGAGGAGCATCACCGCCGCCACCACCACCCGGAGGAGGGGGTCCATATGGCGCAGGAGGGCATCAATACCAACAGCAACAGCAACAGCAGCAAACAGGCGGACCGCCACCGCAATCGTCCCCCCCACCACCACCACCACCACCACCTCCTCCTCCTCCTCCACCCCAACCTGAACCCGAACCTAAGCCCCAAAGCGGCGCGGACTGGGAGAAAGCCCGCGAAGAGACGCGGCGCAAGGAGGAACTCCGCCGCAAGATGGAAGCCTTCAAGCGCAAACGCGAGGCCGAGCAGCGCGAGAAGCAGAAGCAGCGCGAACGCGAAGCCATGGAGCGAGAACTGCGCGAACGGCGCGAACAGCTCGAGAAGGAGATGGCCGCAGCCAAGGAGGCCGCCGCACGGGAGGCCCGCGAGCGCGCCGAGAAAGAGGCGGCTGAGGCACGCGCCAAAGCCGAGCGCGAAGCGGCCGAAGCCCAGGCGCAGCGGGAAGCGGCCGAGGCGAAAGCGAAAGCCGAACGAGAGGCCGCGGAGGCGAAAGCGCGAGCGGAACGACTTGCGGCGCAGGCGCGCGAGCGCGAGCAACGGCGGGCGGCGGAGGCCAAAGCCCGTGCGGAGCGCGAGGCAGCGGAGGCCAAGGCCAAGGCGGAGAAGGAGGCGGCGGAGAAGGAAGCAGCCGCCAAAGCGGCGGCCAAGAAGGAGGCGGACGCCAAATTCGCCGCCCTCAAGGAAGCGGCCGCGAAGAAGTACGCCGAGAAGAAGGCCAAGGATGCGCAAGAGGCGGCCGCGGCGGCCAAAGCGAAGGCAGCACCGTCCCCGGCCCCGCGGACCCCATCCCCGACCAAGAAACCGCCCACCGCGCGAACACAGACCGCCTCGACCGAAGACGACGCGCACTCCTTCCGGACATACGACCGGCTACGCCGCCCCTACGGCACGGCGACCACAGCGACGACGTCCAGCTCATCCGTCTACTCGGAATCCTCGTCGTACGCCCCGTCGCAGTCCACGGCGCGCACCGACCCGCCGCCCTCGAACCGCGGACCCTACGAGACCAAAGACCCCGACAAAGTCGTCATCCAGGGCGTCTACGCCTTCAACAACGCCTTCCTCCGCACGCCCGTGGCGCAGCTGGTCGCAGGGCAGGGCATGGTGTCCGACGGACTGGTGCTGCGCATCACCACCGAAGGCCTCTTTATCGACGACGACGTCCGAGGCGTGGGCCAGCGCGAATGGGACGTCAAGGCCTGGACGATGAAGCTGGTAGAGGTCTGGTGTCCGCGGTACGCGGCGCAGCCGCAACCCAGTCGGCCGCCCCCGGGCCCGTTTACCAAGCGCACCAACGAGCCCACGGCCGAGGAATCGGAGTCATGTCTCGCGAACCTCCTGAAGGTGTGCAAGAACCAGTGCCGCCTGGCCCGCGGCGGCGGGAGCGCCAGCGGCCTGCACGTGCTGCGCGCCTCGGTGCGCGACCAGGAAGGCAAACGGTATGTGTTCGTCCTGCAGGAGACCGAGGGCTGGAAGGTGGCGATTGGCTTGCAGCGGTTACGTCGCGGCACGCTGTCGCGCGCGCTGGGCGTGTCGGGCATGGCGCTGAATGAGAGCCGGACTGTGCTGGCGGGGTTGGGGTATTAACCCTCTATTCATCCCCCCATCCCTCCATACCACCCCACCACCTCCCTTCCTCCCCCCCCCTGACTCAATATCAATGTATGACCACTGGCCCACAGCACAGTATCCGCACTGATCCCCCAAACTCATATCACCGATGATGATAATGACCACCTGCATGAACATAGCGAGCATAAGCTTAGATTGTGTATTGCAAGGCGACAGCGTTACACCCTACAACTCCCTTCGCCCTCTCCATTCCCTCTCCTCTCTATCATTCACCCGTTTTCGTTAGAGTCTCCCCGATATCCCCCTCTCGTTCTTCCTTAGTTTGTTACAGTGTACTGTACCGTTGGGCTTAGATTTTCCCGCCCTCCCTCGCTCTTTGATGTGGATATACATTCTGGGTTTTGACTGTGTAAATACCTATGTACCTACCTTCACTTCTCTTGCGGGTTCTGAGGATATGCTATAATAGTATGTATTTATGTATGCTCGGTCATAGCCATTGTTATTAGTTAAGGACCGTACGTAGTCCAACACGAGAAGAACCAGCTGGAAACCTCATAGTCCCCCAATCTTCTTCTATGAACCTCAACCTACAGACATTGACTCCAAAGCACACAACACTTGTCATACCCCATTAGAATCCTCACTCCAAACAGCAAACCCTACAACCTACACGCACTTAACCCTTGACAAAACATAAAGTAAATAAATATAAATAATAATTCAATTCAATTCAATCCCAATCCAGGATCCGATCCCAGCACCACAAAACTAAACAAAACTAAAGTAGAGAAAATCTCTCATCCCAGGTATATAACGCCGAAGGCCATCACGAAACAACACCCAAGAAAAGAAAAGAGAGAAACAGACAGAAGGAAATTGGGCTAACAAAGCAGTAGGGTGGAAAAGCCTTCTCATCTGTCGTTATCACATCATCTAGCCAGATGGGTCTTCAGCACAGAAATAAAAAAAAAAGAAAAAAGAAAAAAAAAAAAAAAAAACGAAAAAAAAAAAAAAAAAAAAAAAAACTCCGTGTTCACGCCGGAATTCTCATTCTCTCCACTCCACTTCTCCTTTGTGTCATTCGAGCGAGTCAATGAGCCCGTTACGTCTTGTTCCTACTCGTAATCGAATTATTGGTCCCTACATTCAGTCTCCATCACGTGTTTTTTCGTCGCTTTCCCTCGTGCGCACAAGTTTGAATGCGGATGCTCCTGCTCATCCGACTCATCCCCACCGATTATACACTATACCGCGCGCCATGGACACCTCGGAGCAGTTGGTCCAGTACGGTGATACGGAGTATAGAGCCGTAAAAGAAGGAAGGGCCTATATCCTGAATCCCCCTGCGCAAGATGCCGCTTCCAAGGCCACGAGGAAGGACCTTAAAGCTGACGACGAATCTCAATCCGTTTTTTACAACCCTATTCAGCAATTCAACCGAGACCTCAGCGTACTCGCAATTCGAGCCTATGGTGAGCATCTATTAGCTTTGAAGAAGCAGAAGGCCGAGAAGCGAAGACAGAAGATTGCGGAATCCGGCGGGATCAAAAGTAAGAAGCGCAAGCGAGAGGAAGCCAACCAGACAGAGGATCATAGTGAACAAACAGCTGAACCCGCTTCTGCAGCGGTCCCTGGAGTTCCTCCAGAACAGAACTCGGTGCCGTTGTTCACAATTCTAGATGCTCTTTCTGCCACAGGCCTGCGCGCGCTGAGGTATGCCTCGGAGATCCCGTTCGCTTCCTACGTCGTGGCAAACGACCTATCAGAATCCGCTATTCGATCCATGAAGACAAACATTGAATACAATGAACTTGAAGAGCGGATCCACCCTAATTTAGGCGATGCACGTGTCTATATGTACAGCCTTCTGGGGCAAGATAACAGTCAGGACAAGATGCCCCATTCCGGCAAGTTTGATGTCATTGACTTGGATCCATACGGCTCGGCCTCACCTTTCATGGACGCGGCGGTCCAGGCGGTCAAGGATGGAGGCCTTCTCTGTGTGACTTGTACAGATGCAGGAGTATGGGCATCGCATGGGTATCCTGAGAAAGCATTCGCCTTATATGGTGGTGTTCCAGTCAAAGGACCACATTGTCATGAAGGGGGATTGCGCCTGATTTTACATGCGCTTGCCATGTCTGCCGCCAAATACGGGCTTGCCATTGAGCCTTTACTCTCTCTCTCAATTGATTTTTATGCACGTGTCTTTGTCCGAGTCCATCGGTCTCCCGCGCAGGTCAAATTTGTTTCAGGAAACATGATGACGGTGTTCAACTGCGATGAGGGCTGCGGAGCATGGAAAACACAGCCTTTGACGCACACAAAGCAAAAACTCGATAAACAGGGAAAGCCCTTCACTCATTTCGGCTTTGCTCAGGGACCAACTTCGGATTCTCGCTGCGAACATTGCGGTTCAAAGATGCATGTAGGGGGACCGTTATGGGCTGGACCGCTCCACAACCCACAATACATCCAGAATATCCTTAATATGCTGCCGAAACTGGACCAAAATATCTATCACACTGTCGACAGAATTGAGGGTATGCTAACAACGGCCCTCGAGGAAGATTTGAACCTTGACATCGGCGTCGCCAGCATATCGCAGAAACCCACCGATGCACCAGCAGTAAGTGCCGAAAATGCTGCCATTGTTCCACGGGTCGACCCCGCTTTAAGGGACAAACATCCTTTCTATTTCAGCTTGAGTGCGATATCGAAGGTTCTTCGTACTGCTACCATCTCCATTGATGCGATGCGAGGTGCTCTTCGACATTTGGGCTATCAAGCGACTCGTACCCACGCGAAGCCAAACACAATTCGCACTGATGCCTCTTGGGATGTGATCTGGGAAATTATGCGGGAGTGGGTCAGACAAAAGTCACCGATCAAAGAGGGCGCTCTCAAACCCGGCAGTCCTGGGGCTGTGATCATGTTGAAGGGTCGGCAGGGTCCCGAAGTGGACAACGACAATAAGCAATTGCTAGATCTACTGAAGAAGGAGCTTCAGTCAATATTGGAGCAAGGGGACAACATCACGGATGTGGTGAGCAGACTCGAAACTGCTTTGGATCGATCAAGGGCCCGTCAGGCTTCAGGGACAAAGTCGGCATGCGATACACAGGTCAACGGCCAACATGACTCAAGAACGTCTCCGGCTGGCCCGGGCCCATTGTCCCGGGTCCAAGCCACTCATAGACCTCACCCTAGCACCTTGGAAGTGGTTTTCGATGAAGCATTAGGGAAGGAATCATCGTCTAGGAAACGGCTTGTTCGATATCAGCTCAATCCTCGTGAAAATTGGGGTCCCTTGAGTAGGGCGTCTGGTAGCGGATAGGTCACCTGCATCGGTTGGGTCCTTTATCCTACATAGTCAATAAGCAGTACGTCAGACAAAGAGCGAGTTACTACACAATGAGGAGTACTTTCAAATTGGTTCGACCTTCCACAGGAAAAGCATAACTCTTTTCGTACAGCTTTGTATACATGTCTTTCTAGGAGTTCTTGCTTTCGCGAGCCATGTCAGGTGCAATGCGCGCAGGCATCACTCCCTCAATGTGATGCTCGAAATAGCATGATGATTACCCTACTAAATAAGGGGCTGATTACCTCCGGCATTGTAGAGCGCGGGGATATCAATCATCAACTTTATCATTGCCACAGGGCCGCGAAGGAAACGGACAGCTGAGACCAGGGAAGAAGATTCGGATAATTTGCCCAATAGAGGCCGGGCACCGATTAATCTATCTATATGACCGTTTGGTCAAAGAAGATAAAAATGATAAATACAAATCAAGTACATCAAGGACATCAAAGCGGCTAACTCAATCCCGCGTCAGGAATTAGAACTTGGACACAGCAACCGCGACGGCCTGCGTATCGCTGTGGCTGATGCTGACATTGACTTGCTTAACGCCAGCCTGCTCGGCGGCCTCGGCAGCGACACCGTGAAGCTACGCGATTTGTTAGCGTTGAACACGACGACGGGCATGTCATGGGTAATACTTACATGAACAACAGGCGCTCCAGTCGAATCAGCGGCAATCTCAATATCCTTCAGTGGAGAGCCAGCGCCCTTGCTGCTAACGCCCAAGGACTTGAAAACGGCCTCTTTGGCGCTCCACCGGCCAGCAAAGGATGCGCGGGGAGAGGGTGCCTTCAGACAATATTCCTGCTCACTGGCAGTGAAATTTCGCTCGATGAACGTTTCATTGTCTATGTTGAAACTCTCAATGTTTTCCACGTCGACACCCACTTTCGAATCCTCAGAGGCGTTAGCTTGAGCGAGTGACTCAATCATCGTTCTTGTGCTCTCAGTTCCTTTCCCACTGGCCTTTGGAGGGGCTGCGGGGAACTTGAGCTCCGACGTTTTCTTGTCGATCGCAACGCGGTAGTCCGGGTTGAGGAAGATCTTGCTCTGTTGAGCATCTTCGTATGGAGCCTTGTCCTTCGCGACGAAGATGCTGTTGTTGATGAGACCATTGTGGAAGTAACGGTAGGCTTTCTTCTGCCTGGCCTCAACCTTGGCCTTGTAGGTCTGGAACTGTGCCCGGTCCAGAGTCGCGTAAAGGTACTTGGGGTGAATTCCAATGACCTGGGCACCCTTCTGACCGAAACCGAACGATGTGACTGAGAAGGCGTTGATGCCATCGGTCTGAATGCTGCGGCTAGGATAGACGATGTAATCGAACTTCTCCATGACCTTATCCACATTGTCGGCATTACGGTTCCCAGGAACCAAGCCGCTATCGAGAACCTGCAAGCAGCCGTTGAACATCCAAGCTCCAGCAGCGCCCTTGGGATGTCCAGTAAGATACTTCTGGAAAATGCCCAACAGCGCATTTCCCTTCTTACGACCCAGATGCTTCATTTGCTGACAGATGACATCAGATTCGTTCTTGTCGTTCGCCACAGTAGAGGTACCGTGGAAGGAGGCAACACCAATATCGTCAACAGTGAGGCCCCAGGTTGCAAGAGCGCCGCGGAGAGGGGCGATACGGGGGTCTTGCTTCCAGAAGTTGTTTCCGAGACTGAATTGGGCATCCTTCTCCTGTCGGACAGCTTCTCGTTCAATGTGTCTGGCCCGCTCCTGCAGATACTCCGATTCATCGAAAGCATCGGAGCTTTGAGACTTCATGGCTTCAACCTCCTCTTGAAGGTAAAGCAGTTCAGATTCTTGCCATTCCTTGATTTGCTTTTTGCGCAGGTCAAGCTGACGCTGGCGGTATTTGATATCCAACAACGGGGACGGGAACTTGCCAGGATTCTCCCGCGCGGTGGTGAGGACACCTTGACCAGGGGCGGGAACAGATCGGCCAATCTTGTCTGTAGCGGTCGTCGTCAAAGCAATGATACCATAGATCGGCACACCCATATCTAAGGCCAGCTGGGCACTCATGATAAGCTGCATACCGCATCCCTGCGACTCCATAAAGCCTGCACGGGTGGTGGTGGTGGGACGCGACATCTCCTGCGGGGTGCGGCCGTGGGCAAATTCATCTTCCGCATTGCTGGTGGCCTTCATGTTAGCGAACTCGTACGATCCTTCCTCTTGGAAGTCGTCAAATCCGCCAACAAAGCAGACACGAGCCTTGCCCTCCACAATAGTCTCATAACCGATATCAACGGATTCGACTGCTGTGGCACAGGCACCGACGGGGGTCTTAATCGGACCGGTGGAGGACAGCAAAAGCATGTTAACCCAAGCGCTCATGGTATTAATGAAGGATTCCTGCAGGATATCCTTCTGAAGCGGTTTGTCCAAGTAGCGATCTTTGTACATGCCTCGCAAGGCATGAGTACCACCAATGCCCGAACCGATGCAGTTACCGACCTCAGACAAGTGAACATACTTGTAGAACTCGTAAGGATCGGTCACACCAGCGGAAAGCATTGCCTCCGCGGTACAGACAAGAACGAACAACGTCACTGGGTCAACCTGCTCGATAATGTCGTCTGGGATACCGTACCGCTTGGCATCCCATCCTGTGGGAATCTGGCCAGCAACGAGACGATCGAACTGCAGGGCCTTGGGAATAAGCAAAGTAGCCCCCTTCTTGAGGCGCACAGTGTATTCTCCCGATTCGGGCAGTTCGAAGATTTCCACTTTGTCACCATGCTCGCGCTTGAACTCTTCGGCAGTTTCTTTCGACGCTTCAAACGGGTCGAGATCTTCCTGGATAACAATTTCCTGGAGAAGTTGCTTCTTCTTGGGATCATATCCCTTGAACAATTCAGGCTCGATGAGTCGGATACCCGAATGCTCGAGAATGTGCTTCTCATATTTGGGTTTGATATCTTTGTCATCCACAGGCTCGCCTGACTTCGCATCGACCCATCCTGAATAGGCCTTGCCCTTGAGAGGACCATTGTGATGTTTAATCAAGCCCATGATCCAGGCCATCTCAACACATCCTTCGAGGGAGAACTTGCCATAGGCTTCCATCTCCCAGCGGGTACGGGAGTTACCCCAAGGCCCGACCTCCGAGAAACCGGTGACAACAACCACCTTATCAAGGTTGACCATGCCTTTGAGATTTCCATTGAGAGGTTGAACATCCTTTTCCCATTCAGGTAATTGCGGGAACTGGAACTTGATATTGGCACGAGGCTCGGCAACCACGCGCTTATAGAGGACCTCGCTGTCTTCACCATTGACAACCTTATTCTCAATGGCAGTCTCTTTGATAACTGCTTGGCGAACATCACTGGTCTCCATGATGTCAGTACGGAGTCTCGTCATCAGGTCCTTGAGATCAGGAATGAACTGAAGGCCACCGTTGAGATCGGCCCAGACAGGATCAAGCTGGCAAAGGTTGACAATAGCGGGAGCCATAAGACCGAGGAGGTTGAAAGCCATCTCCTGCTGGGAGAAGGTACGGACACCAAGCTTTTCAACTCCTTCGGCAACCATGTTGTTACCGCTCATCAAGCCTGTACCGCGCGTCCAGCCGATGACAGCACCACAAATGGTTAGGTAGTTGCTCCAGTTCTCTGAGTACCAGCGATTGAAAAGAGTCTCCAGGGCCAACTTCGACTCCGAGTATAACCCATCATTTCCGAATGTACCGTGATTGGGAGACAAGGGAAGGATGACCTGTGCGGGACGGGTTTCGAAACCGTTGTTTTGCTTCTGTGCCTTGATGCTGCCAAGGAGTCGCAGCAGGTTTGTGAGCATAATGCGATGAGCCAATTCAGACTTGGAATCGATCGAATCAATCTCGCGACCATTTTCCGGGATGGCAGCAAATGGGACGACGAAATCCAAGTCCCAGCCGAGGCCCTTCTTTGTGTCGTAGATATAGTCGACAAGTGCTTCCACGTCCTGCTTACTGCCTTGGTTGAAGGGCACAACGACGAGTTGAGAGCCACGAGCACCATAGCGGGCGTACATGGCCTGGTAGTACTCAGTGACCTCGCGGGAGAATCGACTCGTCGTGACAATCACCTTAGCGCCACCGCTAATCAGGCCCTGAAGTACCTCGGCACCGATGGAACCAGCACCAGCACCAGTCATCAGAACATTCTTGCCCTGGAATGTCAGACCCGACCGCGCTGCCGATTCCAGAACGTCTAGGTAGACGCCGGTAAGTTTCTTGTTGTAATCCCAGCCATGCTCGTTCTTCTTTTTCAAATGTAAGAACGGGATTGTCTCAATCTTTCCAGCCCGAGGGCTGCCGTTGTGCTTGACGCTGCTCCGACCAGATTTCTTCCCGTTGCCGTTCTCCTGGGGCATTATCTGGTTTTCGTTCATGCTCAGGGCGCGAATAACTTCCTTGTAAAGGGCGTTGAACTGCAGCTGGGAAGACTTGGAGAGGCGGTGTTGTCTGCGAATCAACTTGTAGACACTGCGAAGGTCATCTTGCACTTTGGCACGATTACTGTACTCAGAGATAGGACCCCCTTCAGCCATTTGCTTGACATAGTGCTCCAGCTTGCGGGCGCTGGCGCGAGGCACCTCCTTGTAACCAACCTTTCCTCGAGCATCGACAGTGGTCTGAGGTCCGGTAGGAACAGCGACGTCTTTGTAGACAGGGGCAGCATCAAGCACCTCCTTGCAGTTCTCAATAAGCTGCTCACCAAGTTCCTTCGCCAGCTGATACGTCTCGCCCCGGTCGGTCGGGCAGTTATCGATATGGTACTGCATGAAGTCTAGAAGAAGAGGGTTCGATCGGTTCATGATCCGAATGCAGCGGCTCACAATCTCCCTGTCCACAACCTTGAGTCTTCCAAAGATAATGTCATAGTACATGCTCAAAGCATCTTGTCGAGCCCAATTCCAAGAAGAATCATAGACACGTGCCTTGAGGGGATCAAATGCCGGCTCGATACCGGATGCGTAGAAATCGCCATGTTCGGCCTGCCAGAGATCAAGCTGCGCTTGCAGTGTTTTCTGAGTCTCCTGGGAATTGATGAACGCCTTTTGACCAGCGCGCAAATCCATCTTCAAGTAGCGTGCAATAAGCTCCAGCTGCTGCTTGAACAAAGCACGCTGATCTTTGGTCAGAGCATCGATAGCGGCGGGGTCCATGAGCATGCCACCGGCACCGGCACCACCATCGCCACCAGTTGTGGGTGCCGACAGGCTGATACCGGCACTGGCAGCGTATTTGTTGGTCACATCATCGAGATAGGCCTTGGCATCAGGTTCCGAGCCGATACGAGACGGCGGCTCCATGGTAAGCGCAAGAAGAAGCACTCCGTCCTGTCTGCCGGAACCCAAGCCCCATCTCGTCTCCAGATATTTACGGACGGCAGTAATATTAAATCCTCCCGGCATCTTTGAAGAAACCAAGCGAGCAATGAGAGAAGACGATTGTTTCCCCAATTGACCATTGAATGTGGCCTGCATGGATGCACCTAACTCGTCCAACGGCGTATCTTCCGGTTTTTCGGGCGTAGAGCCAAACTCCTTGCCCAAATCTCCGAGGATCTCATTCTGTAGCGTAGATTTACCTATACACACCAGCTTAGTATGCATTGACGCCATCAATCAGGCGGGGATCGGCTCGGCTGAGTACGTACCTCCGACGAGATCTTTAATGGCCTTGCTCAGTGGCACATCAGACAAGCCCTTCTTGAGCTTCTGAGCCACCAATGTCCTGAGAACGTCCACCGCCGTGACAGGGGCGTCCTCAATTGCCGCGGCAGGTCCAGCACTAGGCGCAGAAGCGGCTGCCGCTGGGGCTGCAGCAGCAGCGGCCGGAGCAGCGGCAACCGGAGCACTAGCTGTGGGCTCTGGCGGCGTCTCAACCTCCTCTTCCACAGGGTCGACATCGTAGTAGATTTCCTTCGCATCCTTATTGTAACAGAGTATTTGGCGTTGCACAGAAGTGGCGGCGTCGTATGCTTCATACTTCGAGGCTAGAGTCCGTTTTGCCATGCCACCCAGCGTATCCGCAGGGCCGATCTCGACAATCCGTTCTGTCCGCTTCTCTGCGAGTATGACATCCTGAGTCTCAATCCATCTCACTGGGGAAGCAAACTGGTAGGCCAGAAGCTCGACCAGTAGAGTATGGGCCAACTCTTGCTCAATTTCAGGCCGCATGTTGGTAGAATACGCAAATGTTCACGTGTAGCCGGGATGTAGGGATGTCCAACTTCGGATATGGGAATAGGATTCGTGAGAGTAGGTGGATTGGTTTGCGATTGGTGCGTCAATCGAAGGGAGAGAAGTGGCGGCCAGGTGATGGGTGAATGCCGGAAGAGTAGTGAGAGGGAGGGAAGTGTAGGTCGGAGTTAGGGCAACAGGGAAAGGATGAAGATCATTAAAGTGATAATATAGCTTGGATGAATCCTAACTAGAAATATGAACGCGTCAGTCTAATTGGTTCAAGGTGAATAAATCCTAATTCAACCTTCCGTTCTGCTTTAGATCACCATCCAAGTGCTTAGACGAGAGACAAGCAGCCCGGTGCGCTGGAGAACGAAAGCTGGAAGGAAAAGTGAAAAATAATTCAAGGCAGTTCCGGGTGGGAATGAGAAATACTCACCCCCAGTTTAGGACCACTATCAGTGGGGGTTGATGGAGGGAGGGGAAGTGAGAATTCGCCGACTGACCTCGATCCAGATATGTACCAAGGAAAGTGGATGGGAACCGAGCCGATCAATGATATAAATCAAGAGAATACACTAATACGAATGAAAAGATATTATTAACCGCCCAAGAGGGAGAAGGGAAAGAGGTGGGGAGGGGGGGGGGGGAGGGTAAAGGTGGTGGAAGGGT